GTTTGCCCAAAAAAAGACCATCCGAATTGCTGGCAGGGCAGAGCTTAGCTATTGGGTCAACTTTGGATGGGAAGGGACAAAAAATCGCCGCTGCTGGCAATTTTCCACTGGTCTTTGCTTTATGTTCATCCTTTATAGTAGGTATCTCTCCCATCCCGACATGTAAATGGCTGAACTAATCCAACTTAGCTATACTTGGCTATCATTCAAGAAACAAATGCAGACATAACAAACACAAACACACACATATATATATATACATATATATATACATATATATATATATAGACATATATATATATCATATACCAGCTACAAAATCTATTCTATCTTCATTTTGCGCCGCCATTCCGGCCGCCAGGTCCAACACGCCTTGGACGTGTTGATTACCCCCGTCATGGCACGCTTGGGAGACTCCAACGTGCGTCTGCACGTGCTCCGGCGATCCGGAGGTGGTCCCAATGGGTCCCCTTTCCATCCATTTCCGGTCAAGGGACTGAAAGATGATTGGGACTAAAATGGAAATATTGGGACTATTTTGAGATATCATGGGATAATTGGGATATTTACAAAAAATAGTATGAAATAACAGAATATCAACGGGACTATCATGGATACCTATAATATCCTAAAATCTTATGATTGGGACTGGAATATCATGGGATATCATGGGAAATCATTATAGAATACCATATTTCCGGTCAAGGGACTAAAATATAATGGAATATTGGGAAATAATGGTATATCATGGGATATATTGGGACTATAATGGGAAATCTACTGGGACTTTTGTTGGGATATAATGGATTAATGGGATATCATGGAATTATATTGGGAAGTAGTTATTCAAGGTTTTTGAGATATATGATATATTGGGAATCTACTGGGATATAATGGGATATCATGGGATTGTTTGTTTGTTTAGTCGGTGGTGAGTTTTAAAATATCACATGAGTGTGGAATTGGGGAACGCTTGGTCAGCCTTGGTCAGAGTCAAGGGTAGTTTGCTGAGAAACCCTTTGCTGCGGTATTTAGTACCCCCCCCCAAAAAAATAGAAACATAAAAGATTACAATATATATATATATATATATACATACATACATACATACATACATATACACATATACATGTGCATATATGAGGATGTAAGAAGTCAATGTGTTTTCCTTGACCATGGAAGGATTCAGTCCTGACTTCAGGATTCAGTCACCGGGCATTTGCGCGCTCAGTCTCATCCCACAGATGCCCTCCGGTGAATTGACAACAGAATAACAAAACAATGTGATCTAATATATAATATGGGCATTCATGGCTGTTTTCCTACAACCCCAATTTCTGGTGGATTTTTTTCCAAAATGCTTATGTGCTACCCTGCTGGAGGGTGGCCATTCCTCCAAGAAGTCAACAATTGAGCACGGTATCTCCTTCTAAGTCGGGTCGTATATCCGTATATCCCAAATTACTTCAAAGAGCCTCAATTAATTCAAGTATGCAAGTTTTCAAGAGAAACTACAAGTCCCAGGCGATTTACGCCCGTTGACAGAAACAAAATGACCCAAAGACGAGGTGAGTTTCTCAATTTGGGTCAACCGTGGAGGGAAACGATTGACCAGTCACCTGTTGAGTAACCAAGACCTGATGCTCCGAGGATATTTGTTTACCAGTGAATTCAGTGGAGAATTTGACCCAACTTACATCTCTGGTTGGTGGTTTGGAACCATGGAATTTTATGACTTTCCATATGTTGGGAATAATCATCCCAACTGACTTTCATATTTTTCAGAGAGGTTAAAGCCACCAACCAGATCTACATTTACCTTATTTAGAATCAGAACTGCTGTGAACTAACCCATTCTTCACTGATCCCTGGGATTCTTTTAATGTTTGAGCTGAGGAATCGGCCCAGAGCAACCTGGTCTTCACTCGATGCTCTGCTGAAAAGCGTTCAACTCATAGGCCATAGCATATCCCTGGTTTATATCCCATATATTCCCATATATTCTCGCATTCACAAAAATGATATATCTTACAGTATACCCTCTGGTAAACTAACATAGCTATAGAAAATCACCATTTTTAATGGGTAAATCCACTATTTCTTTGATCATTTTCAATAGCAAACTGTTAGTTTACCAGAGGGTAAATTTTATATGACTAAAACTAGGATTTCCTGGGGTCAATGGATATAAATTACTCACTGGGCACGGGGTTCATCAACACTTACGCGGATGCGCCCCCCAGTGGGTTTCTACCTGCAGATAGTTTGGATGATGTGGAGAAGTCAACCACAAATAGGTGGGACTATCTACATATATATATAATTATATATACATACACATAGCTGGTATAATTGCGGGGCGGTTCTTTAGTGTCACTTAATAGTTTGCCATGGATACGTATTTATATATTCATTTATTTATATATATATATACTTCTCTCTCTCTCTCTGTGTTCGTGAGCTTAACCAAGACGGGCGAAACATAGAAAAAACACCTAGAATTTGGTGCAAGGTATCGAAGATTGGCTACGATAACAGATGTTCATTTCGAAGAGGTTTCCTAACGAACAAGACTATGCTATTTGCCGGCGCAATCAAGTTTCAAAGACTTAGTTGATAGTGGGTAGTGGTTCCAAAACACACCAGGTGGGTTTCACCAGGAACCAGAGGCAATACTTCGATGGGCGGAAAACCGCGATTCCTGCAAGTACTTTAACTGTGTGAAAGAAACCACGAAGTATCCCATCCACACATATACGTGTACCACTGTACAATGACGAGGGCATTCGCACTGGTGGCAGATGCGGAGTGTTCCTGCCCTTTGGTGGGCTCCGTATCATCAAGAGGGGAACTTTGGTCATGGAGGGTTTGTCGAGGGCGGCAAACGCTGGCTGCTTGTCGGCCCGCGTTGGGCAGATGAAGTATTTTCTTCGTCCCCTGGCACTCGACGAGGAGTTCCAATAAGCTGCATTGACCACATCTTCTCAACACTGTGGCACCTGGCTTAAAGAACCTTTAGGATACGCCATGTTTGTTTAGTCACCCAAATTGCTCTGCGGACAAAACCCGGCCGAGACTCCTTTTGAAGCAGAGCAGTTGGAGTCCATAGCAAGCCAGCTCATTGCACCCCATTGCTGCAGCAGCGGCACAGGAGTCAATGCCAATTCGAAGACACGATCAAAACTGAGCCGCTTGCGGCCCTTGTGAGCCAAAAGATCCAACAGAGTCAAGCGGAAAGCGCGATCGCCATTGAGAATGTGCATAGCTGCAAGGGCTTGACCTTTTTGATGCTGGAAATTGAAAAAAACAACCATATTTGTGATGGTCATCCACAATGACCTTTTCTTTCACTATCAATTAGTGTCAGTCCGGAGCCCAGCAATAGGATCCAGCATCCCCAATTTTACCATTACTATGGGTGGTAATGGGTGGTACAATAAGGCTAATAGCGTATAAAAACTACTAATACGTGTATAAAATGCTACTAATACGGTATAAAGCTACTAATAGCGTATAGAAGGTCACTCTGACCGTAAACTTGATATACCTTGATATACCTTGATATACAATGGTTTATGAAATGCGTTACTGTATTAACATCTTCTTATCCCATTTTCTATATTTATGTGGCATATCGGTTGCCATTCTCTTTTCAGGCCTGGCAGTGCCCGTTCCAAGGATATCTCCTTGGAGACAAGCTGTTGTACCGCCTCCGGCAGTTTCTGGAGCGTGGGAAGCTGTTGAAATGCCGTTTTTTTTTTCAAGATTGCAACTGGGATAGAATTGGCATTACATGGCCTGTTGGTGGTTTGGAACATCAATTTTATTTTCCATAATATCGGGGAAAACTTCTTCCCATTTGACTAATATTTGTCAAGATGGTTGAAACCACCAACCAGGGATACAAGGGGGATATACTTGGATTTGCTCAAGATCATGTGCTGCTGTTTCACTTTTTTGTCTGAGAGAATCCACCATTTTAGGGGCATGTGTAGGGACATATGTTGTTTTTTGCTCACTGCTGACAACAGACCCAAGTTTTTTGCAGGAAGACTGACCGCACCACCGCGCAGACATAGATATGGATAGACATGAAACACCAAAATCATCCAAAACAGGCAATTTTTGTATTGAAACCGATGGTGACTTGGGGATCCCCTAAGAAACCCCAAATATAAATAAATAAATATATATATATATATAGAATATCACATATCATCATATCATGATATTGACTGTTGGTTTGGAAAAGGTGAACATGTCCCATCCTGTTTGGGAGGATGATCACTATTGATAACTATCTTCCAGACCGGTTGAAGCAGCTACTGTAAGAACTGTACTTTTGGCAAGGTGAAATGATCTGAATTTGGCCATGCACTTTACCCAGTTATTTTCGATAGTTGGTTGGATCGCTTTTCCAACCCAATGACAGGATGGATTTGTTTATTGCCAAAATTGACTGTTTGAATTTCTTGGTATCGGTATGATGTGTTTTCATCACCAAGCGTTACAGCCATGTTCTTGAAACCGCTCAATGGCACTTCCAGAAGCAATATATACCCTTTGTAATTAAACATAGCTATGAATATAGAGTGACCATTTATGGAGGAGGATTTACCTTTGAATTATTCCAGTTATATGTTTATCTAATACAAATATACACAATATATTTTTGACTTGTTAGGCCGTACTTGCAAATGTTGGCACGGCCGTTGAAGCCAATAGGCTCGTCACTGGGACCCCCAGGGTAGGTCAAGAAAAGAGCGACCAACTCCACCGAGGCCCCCGGAGCTTACAGGAGTGTTGTGCACCTCAAACACAGCCTCAGAATGCCCCGGCTACGAAGAAGGATATTCAACTGTAGGCTGGTGGGTTTTGGATCTAATATGTTTTCACCGTTTTTCTGATTTGGAATGATCCCCGGTGACAATCCATGACATTTCTATATGTTTCACCAGAGGGAATGAAGCACTAACCAGATGCGTGGCCTGACAACCCCACTGACCAATCCCGTCGCCCCATGGCATCCCGGTGCCGCCTTCGCCGGCCCTTGGTTGGCGCCGTTTCTGCCGCCGCGTCTGTCGCCTGCGCTGTGCTGCTGGCGGAATCAATCGCTGGAGGTGCTCAGTAAAGCTTGGCCAAGTAGCAGTGTAGCCTAACTTTTCAACCAGATATATAGAATGAGATATACCAGATATATAGATGTGTTTTTCTACTTTATTATAGATTGGGATATACAATAACCAGATCTAACCAGCTGGACTTTTAGTCTTATTTGCAAAGGATCTAAGGCTGGCTATGCGCGCCATGGTGTTGGAACATTTGCCAAGATTTGCCTACAAAATGACCAGCCAGGTATCTGAGTCGTTTCGCAAACAAACCATACATTGAGCACAGCTCGGGGTGAAGTTCTGGAACGTATGATGACTTGAACCAACAAACATGGGACAAACGTAGGATTTGATGCAACAAGAAAAACAAGACTTGCAAAAAATGAGCAAAACTTGACTGGCGAGCCCAATTTGCAATATTTTTTGGGATGGGGTGAAACAGCTAAGGAGAATATGAGTTGCGATGATGACAACTCAAACGTCTTCAAACTTAACATGTCCAATCTGATCAAAACACGTTTTTTGCAAGTCTAAGCCAATGGTGTTTTAGTCGCACACATTGCTTGTTTTGTTTTCAGCTGTGGAACACGCTAGATTGATACGGAGACCCCTTGTGCCTCATACATAACTTACATTTGAATGATGTATAGAATCTATTTATGGGGTTGCGGCCTTCATTTTGGAGTAAAAGGTTGGCGCGGGATTTCGTAAGCTCTCAGTGGTTGGGTGTTTGAAACTTCTTTTAAAATCGAACAATCATGTTGTAGCAAAACGCATGGCCCTGCTCAGAGAGCAAGATGTTGAAGTCCAATGTCCCTTTATCCTTTGTAGCAAATGGAAGAAACCTCCCATGAGGCTTACACGTCCATTATTAGTTTCAACATTATCATATTCCCTACTCCACTATATATGTACATTTATTTATACAAAGTAAGCCACCAAAGTGATGCGTTTCGTGCCACCTTATATCACACCGTTAATGTTTTCGTGCTACGGCTAGCTGGAAAATCCCCTGAAGTTTTTTTTTTTTTCGGGCAAATCATCGAACTAATTGGTGAGTGTTCCATTGCCATAGTTTGGATGGTATCTTTACATATATATAGTCCTTCTTTCTTTCCTTCGTTATTTATTATTATGTTTGTTTTATTTCTTTATTTCTTTATTTCTGTTTGTCTTTCTTTCTTTCTTTCTTTATTTCTTCAAGACTATATATTACTATATAGATCTAAACTCTTTGTTTGAACACTTTATTTGCTATATCATTGGGGATAAACACTGTACGTAGTCCTCATATGTTCTGTATAGATATCGTTTTAACTATTATATTATATATCGTAACCTTGATGGTTTATCATATATAGTTGCAGTTCTAATATGTTCGAAAATATCTGGGTATATTATGTGGTGACTTCGCTGTGACCTCACTGGAATCATGGTTAATTAATGAGGGGGAAGCATCCCCCCGAATGGCCCAACATTTCAGAGAAGTGTTATGACTATATGCTTATCCACTATTTTTAGGTTGTCTTCCTTGAAAACCTCCATTTGTTAAGGGGATTTTCCATATTAAAATTATTACCCGCTAATCTCTACCCTCTTCTTATTTAACATAGCCATGGAACATTGCCCATTTATAGATGGTTTACCTATTAAAAATGGTGATTTTCCATGGCTATGTTAAATAACCAGATGGTAACTCTCCATGTCCAACCTTCACTCGCAGGCAGCTTCTCAGCTTCCTTCGTCGCACCGTTGCGAAGCTCACGCCCTGCGCGCGGCGCGAAGAGCGGCGCTGCAGCGCGGCGTTCGGAATGGCGCCGGGTGACTGCGGCGGCAGGAGGCAGGGCAGTGCGGGAGGTGAGGCGGGGAGAATTGATCGAATTGTACATCTGCTGTGAGAAACCCAATAAAAATCTAAACAATATGGTGATTTTCATAATTTATTGATGAAAAATTGTGATTCATGAGTGTAGAACCATAGTGAATCCAATAATAAACCACCCCAAATAGAAGAGGTTTATAGTATGTGGGGCGCAAGATAGCCCCAAATGATTGGAAAACGGGATGTTTTCTTGGGTTTACCTCATTATATCAAAGGTGAGACACCCGAAATAGCTAAGCTCACTTACAGCTTGGCTAAATGATTTTTTGCTGTTTTAACTTTACTATAATGATATTAGATAATCGGTGTATAAACCAACTCATAACTGGGTGGCCTCACTTTGTACCTGCTCTTTTTTGTTAAAAGTAGATATTTTTGATATTTTTGAATTTGTTTATATATATATATACATACATATGCTAGTTACTAGTTACTAGATGATACCACCATCTATAACTCAAAATTCTGGAGATGTATATGAGCCACGGTCAAAACGGTTGAAGACTACTTTAGTATTGCAGGAGTTTTTTGTCAGAGTTGTGCACGAAACACTGTAAAGATCTGTAAAGCGATAGGGCCCCCAAAAGCGATAACCTGTGACCATACACGACAGTCCATTAAACTTGGCGTAAACCAAGCAAATACTGTTGTGCACAATCAGAATGGGCCGGGCAAAACCGATGAGGGAAATTCAACATGTGGTGCCCTCTTTCCTGCAGTTACCATAGCATTTGGCATCCAACTCGCTCCCTCTCCTTCTTTCTTTCTTTCGTTCTTTCTCTCTCTCTCTCTCTCTCTCTTTGTCGCTTTCTCTCGCTCTCTCTCTCTCTCTCTGTGTCGTTGTTGTGGCAAATTTCCTTCGAACAATGTCATATGTTGGAGGGGTTATTTAGCGATAACCTTATCTTAGCGGATAACCATGTGTTGCACTCGGTTCCCTGGCCAAGCCATGGAGCGATTTCCATACCTTTAGAAAGGGAATTAAAGGACATGAATACAAAATGAAAGGAAAAAATGAAAGGAACATGCGTCCAAATGAAAGGAAGCTGAGAGGACATGAATGCACATTGGAATGAAAATGAAAGGAATATGAAAGGAACATGAATGGAAATGAATACCAATGAAAAAACAGGAAAGGACAATGAAAGGAAATGAATGCACAATGCAAGGAAGATGCATGTTAATGAAAGGAAAATGAAGGAAAATGCATCCAAATAAATGCAACACGAAAGGAACATGAAGTGTTGCCAAAGCACCTGAAACCAACAAAACAACTGCTCGATCCATTTCCAAGCCTGTTTGGGAATGGATTTTGGCTTCATGTTGGATCTCGAATATGCTGATTTTCACAAACCCTGGGCAGCGATAGCCCCCCCCAAAAAGCGATAACCCAACAATAGCAACTATACTAAGATGTAAAGGATTTTGACGGGAGCGTCATATTATAATATGTTTTTAAACACTCACTTGGTGAAGATGATTCAATTCATTACAAAATTCGACCTGAAGTCTCATTGAACTTCGCATGTTGCAATCTATCAAGTTTGCTTGCTGCCGTCGGATCGGCAATGCATCTGTATTTTTTTGATATGTTTTCCGGATTATTGGCTGGTTGGTGGTTTTACACATGTTTTATTTTCCATTTCACATATGGGATATAATCCTTCCCATTGACTAATATTTTTTCAAGATGGGCACATTGCACCACCAATCAGATATGGCTTCTGATAAGGTATATTATTCATATTCATATCCCAGTATTAACCACTATTAACCAATATTAACCACTATTAACCACTATTAACCACTATTAACCACTATGTACCCATATATTATAAACCCATCATCAACCCACCCAACCAGTTGGTCAACTGGAAAGTTGCCCGCCTTTCCTGGAACACCATGATTCCTTTCCTGCGGCAACCAGGACTCGCAGATTTGAAAGCAAAGCTGGAGAGTAGCGGCGTCACCAAAGCAGCTCAGCGGCAGAGGAACATCCGATTTGCTATGGAATCCTGACATTGCTCAATATTTATTATATAATAGTGGTGTTCTTATGGTTCTTATGTCTTAGTGGATTTCAATTGAGCTTCAGTGAGCTTTACCAAGCTTCTCAACTAACATAGACGCTGAAAATAGTGTTGAGTGCAAGGTAGCCTTCAAACCCCATTTTTGGCAGTGTCGTCATGTTAGTTGGAGGATGGTAATAGCTGCATATGATAGGTTACAATCAATATATGCAATGATTATATATATATATAAATATGTATATATATATATACATATGTATGTATGTGTGTTTCGATCTCTGATGGCCTACCTATCCATGCCATGTAGCAGTAGCAACAAGGAATTCCCATCTTACTGGTAATTCCCCTAATGTCAATACTCCCAAGGAACCCTGGTCTAGTACTGGATACTGGATTCGTTCATTTTGGGAGCCCATGTATGTGGCATTGTGTTTTTTTCCATGTGTTGGCGACATATCACCATGTCAGGATGCTTAAGCCAGGTTTATACCCGTGTTTACTGCTTAAAATCGTGTGTTTTGTTGGAAATATTCCCACAATGGTGTCATCATTGTCCTCATGATCCCTATGAATCAATATGAGCCCATAATTTGCTTGAGATGCCCAGACAAATGTTCCATTAACCCTTGATGTTCCCCACATCAGGGCCCCACATCCCAAATCCATCAAGATCCATCACAAAAAACCTGAACAAACTACCATCTTAAACGCCATCAAAGCTCCATTTTTCCATGGGATTTCCCATGATTTCCCCATGGTTCTTCCATTTGTGTCCATGGATATCCCCACGACCTTCACCCTGGATATCTCCGGTCAGGTCGTGACGTCCCCCAGCTGGTGGTTAGTGTCGGCGGCCGTGCTGGTCTCCGGACTGCTAGGCAGTGCTGGTGTCACCAACTATGGATTTTTTCATAGGGATTTTGATAAGGAGGGCTATTTTTTTAGGACTATAGGGAATATAGTGATATTAATCTGGATGGTGATGTTAATATTTTTTCCCTCTGGTAAATAAACAGTTGGACCCTGATTTTTTTTAAATGGAAACTAATCTTCCAACCCCTATCTGGCAGGGTCTATGTTAATTTATCAGAGGGTAATAAGGAGGGCTATTTTGTTTAAGGACTATAGGGAATATCGTGATATTGTATAATGACAATGATCTTTTTCAAAGGGATTTGTTTACTAAATATTCATAAGGATATGTGATAAATCTTTCGCACGGATATGTCATAAATATGTGTTTTTTCATAGGGAGTTGCATACGGATTCTCTTAATACTCACGACGGATATGTGATAAGTGGATAGACATGGTTTCTTCCGCACTTAATTTTTCATATAGCGGGATGATATAATAAAAGTAGTAATGATGGTAATAATGATAATAATGTTTATGATGATAATATTTGGAGGGATAGTGGGATATTGATATGTAATCATGAGCGGTAAATCATTGACTAGGCAGCTTGGCATATGTGATAATTATGACAATGAGGATATGAATAATGTTGATTATCATAGTCAGAAATGTCAGAAATAGAGAGATTGAAACATAACATCCCCCTAGCCCTGATTTTGAAATCGGGGGCTCAATTGGCAATTGCTTTTTGTTTTTTTGGTTTGGTAGGTTGGTCCAACCTGTTGATTTTCAATGATTTTCAACTATCTCTCCTTTTCCTTTCCTCTCGTCTCCTCTCCTTCCGCTCCTCTGAGCCTCTCCTCCCCAAGCCTCCCAAAATCACAAAAAACGGACGCTGAGCTCAAAACCAATGGTTTTAAGCAAGGAGATCGCCTTTGGGTTAAGGCAAAGCTTTGCGCCTTACTGAATTGGACATCGCCTCGCTTAAAACCACAGGTTTGGCATGGCTTTGGACTAAGGTTTTAGATGAAAAGCGGTGGCCGAAATGCATGCGACAACAAAAAGAAATCCTACCCCCCTAGGTCCAGGGGGACATGTTGACGTCGTACCATTAGTGAAAATGATGATAATGATATAATATCGAGGGATTATTTAACAATAGATTCATAAAATGGACAACCATGATTTATGCGGGTCAACTTGGATGTTAATAGATGTTAATAGCATTGGTTATCATATAGAGCGCAAAATAAAGCGTTTATATAATAATCGGATAGATATCATTTTGATTATCATATTTATTGTCTTACTGATTACCAAAGTGTTTACCATACTGATACCCATTTTGATATCATATTTTGATGGATTGTGTTTTTTTGAGAATAAACAAACATGGAATCTCAACAATGGGCGGAATCTAGAGGGAACATTGGGGATGATAGTATAATAATGTGAATAATGAAAATGATCTATTCAATAGGTATACAAAGAAACATTGTTTATCATATAGAGGGATTAGATGATAATGGTGATAAAAACAAAGATATTTTTATTTGGGTGGAGCGGGGAATATGTTTGTTTGTATTTACATTTAAACATGTTGTTTTTATTTACCTATATAAATACATATTTATGTATGCACAACAAACATGTATATATATATATATGAATATATATACATATACATAAACATGTTTTTCATTGTAAACATAATGCATAATAATGGTAATAATAATTGACTTCTAATGGTAATATAGGATAACTATATGGAATAACACAAGGATGACAATCAATAGCGGTAATTATGACCTTTCATTTGGATAATGAGGATCTTTTCATGTGAATGGGATAATACTGATGATCAATTATGAGATATGTAATAGGGTTGATGATGTTGATGGTCACCAAAAGATCATTTATTGGATTAATTGATTATTGTTGTAGTCATGGTATCAATTGGATAAATACTATATAATAAGATTGCTTTCAAATGGTATGATATGATCATAGATGCCACATTGGATAGATGATACTAGCATACTTCGATGCATAGTGGGGTATTTGTTTTCAAAAAAAGTCTAGTAGCAAATGGAAAATCCATTGGTCATTGGATGGGGAATCTATAGGGAATATGAATGGATAGTACATACTGTTAATATATGCGGTCATGGGATAATATCTGGATTAACAATGACAAACTATAGAACAATATGACGAACACTATGCGATATAAATATATACACATATTTACACACACACACGCATATGTCGATCCTTAACATTAGCTTGGAGTTTCTGTTGATTATTTTTCCCGGTTGGTTAATCCACTCGGGAAATCTATGGGGAATATGGATGGATGTATTTCATCAATGGTAATCATAAGACATATGAGTGATATCACATTATTATATCTTACTACCAGCCATTCCCTAACACGGAAATGGCAAGTATATATTAATGAGAATGATGGGGTATAGTGAATAAACAACACTAATAAAAGCACAATAATCAGCGATGTCGACGGTGAATGGATAATGGAATATATTATTCATAGGGATCTCGATGTTATATATATATATATGTATCTTTACAATGATGTATGATATCAAAATTGATAGGAACTAACGATAATAATATGAATATAATATGATTTAATTATGGCATGATGGTATGTATAGTCCTAGGGTTTAATGGGTTATATAATAAAACGCTTGCCCGCGGAAAGGATAAGACCTCATACAAAACAGGTGAAATTGTGTTGGAGAAGTGACCACTGCATTTTGGCTTTTGGCAAGAAAAACCGTATCGCCATTAGGATTTTCTTCCACATCCATTGGAAAAAAAATGCTGCAGTTAGGAATTCTTTCAGGATTCAGAAAAGATATAAGCAAACCCGATCTTGCCGCAATAAAACGAGATAGTGTGAAAGTCAGCTTGACAACACATATAGTTCTTCAGGTGTATGACTTTTGGCACTGTATCCATGTTTGGCCAGGTGGCGATGTGATAGCAGCCGTGATGGTGGCAGCATGCGCCGATTCTTGGCTGGCCACTTCCGTTTCTCAACTGGGGGGGCACTACTGTACCTTGTATATATATTGCCAATTATACATAGTGGGGCCCCATAGTTATAAGTAGGATTACAACCTCACCTACCTATAGATACATTCCCCAAAAGTCCTTGTATAGTTTTTAAACCAACTTAGTTTATCTCAGTTTTATGAGACCCCCCACACACACACAGATAGATAGATAGATAGATAGATACATAGATAGATAGATAGATAGATTGATTGATTGATTGATAGATTGATAGATAGATAGATAGTTAGATAGATAGATTAGATTAGATTAGATTAGATTAGATTAGATAGATAGATAGATAGATAGATACACACACATATATATATATATTAATATACATGCATATGTCCATACTTTTTTCTTGCCATGTATATGTTGATATTGCTCGCCCTTCACAGGTCCTGGGCGGCCTCTTCGGCGCGCGCACGCCCTTGGGCCGCGCCCTGACGGGCCCCGTTTGCGCCATGTCCTTTGGCGTCTGCGCTGCCGCGGCGCTTGGGCCGGTGCCGGGGGCCGTGCTCAGCACCTTGGCGATGCCTTGGGGGCCTTGGATGGTGGGAACATGTGGGAACCATCTAACGTGAAGAGGTAATCAACAAAAAGATGGGAACCCGTCAGCAAAAAATGTAATGCAACTGAAACAAATTATGGGAAAATTGGGATCTATGATCTAAGCAACAAAAAATGTGGATTTGGCCAGCAAAAATGAGGATTGAACCAACAAAAGTGGAGATTTCACCATGTGAAAATGTTGTGTTTGATTTGATGCGATCTAACTGGATTTAGTCATCAAAAATATGTTTTTTTTAAGATTTCTAGAAATCAACAACTGGAACTCCATCGAAGACAGTGAACCATTAAAGTGATATGAAACATGAAAAACCTGATTACCTGATTCGACATAGGGATTTAAACAACCAACATGTGGCTGTCGGGGTGGAAGCAGTTGGGCCATCACTGAGAGCCCAATAAAGCAAAACAGGTATATATTTGCAGCATCAAAAACTGATGTTGTCGACGTCGTTCCCTCGTCGTTAGCAACTGCCATCGCGAACATACCCGCCAGAGGGTTCGCACAGCCTGCGTGGGGTGTTCATCCTTTGACGCAGTTTCCATCACAGGCAAGCCTGTTGGGGATTTTGGAAAAGCAGTTTTACTTCATCAGGTCCTTGGTGAGATCCAAAACACCGATCCTTGTCGAGTCTATCGACGACTCGCCGTCTTGAGAGAGGTTCAACAGTGGACGTGGATCACTCCAGCTGGCATCAAGCTCAGGCATCCAGGGTATCGGCTGATTGAACGGGTGCACTACGAGTTCAACGTCTTTGGTGCTCTGGAAGTCTGGAACGCATTCTCCAGAGCAGCAGTTCCAAGACCCCATCGTCGTGTGCGATTGAGAAAAGAGCAGCAGAGCCGGCCCAGTTGTTTGCATCCCTTTGCTCATATCAACATATAGCTCTATATATAGATATATATATATAGTGCATCCACTCTGCCATATCCCTTATATATGTAATGTATATATATATATACATACATACATATTTATATACATATTATATATTTAAAATAAATATTAAATATATGTATTATATATATATGTGTGTGTAAGTGTTAGATGTATTTTTAAAAATATTTTCATTGGCATTTCCCAGCAGCTAATCTCAAGGACGTCTTCAGTTCATTGCAGTGACCCTGGCGACGCCACTTCTGTTGCTTGGATATATTTCTCCCCAGTGATGGGGCAGTTGGTTAGGGACGGCATTCTCTGACCAATACATCAAACATGTTTCGTCCTGGTTATCGTTTATTCAATGGCAACCCAACCACCCCGAGTACTGCAAGATAGCCTTTTCTGATATAAAAACTCAGAACTACCTGTTGTAACTAGTAGCTATGTGGCGAACATGTCTTTTCCTATATTATACATACACTGCCTTTTCATTTTCGCGCCGTTGCAATCCAATGGCTTCCAAAGTCATGGATAGCTTTAATCCCTTTGACAATGCGTGGGGCTTGCGGGTTGGTTTACATGGCTATGACTTGAGATTCAAAACCTGAAAATCCACATATGATGTAGTTGCTTTCCTGCAATGTGGTTAAAACAATAATAAACCACCCATTTGGGAATGATTTATACCACCCATTTATGGTGATTTTGTGGATGGTTTATTATTGTTTTAGTTGTTCACGCTGGGGAGCACACTTGTGCTCAAAAGAATTATGTGTTCAATAGTTGTTCCAAAATAACTCCTTTGTCAAGTTCTGAGTAATTTTAAATTTATGCCGGTTTCTTTTCTGATTGCAGCGAATGCCCTTTTAATCAGGGAAACTAAGACAAATAAACTTTACGTGCATCTCAACCAAGATCTATTGGCACCTGTTTGCAAGAAGCATCCAATGTTTGCACACGCCTGCGACAACATGAGGCTTCTGTCCTGCAATCTCAAGGACGGGACATGGAACTTTTGGGCTGATCCCTCAGGTTGCCCTTTGGAAAATTACGTTTGATATCTATGCATCATACATGTGTAGGATTGAGATGTTTGTTAGGTGTTTCTGTCCAACACAGGATATATATATATTTTTCCTCCACCGGCACTACATACCTTATGAGAGAGCCATACAGTCAGATGTCTATACACGCATGTATCTAGGATGATCTAGGTATATAATATATATATATATATTTACTCTACATTATTTTTGTTCATGCCAAGTCTTCGGGAAATCAACTGACCACTTGGAAAGTTCTATTTCAATGATCCTGAAAATTTGGATCGGTGGCAGCAAGCAATAGGTTTCACCTCCACGACTGGGAGATGATGCAGTTGTCCCATGCACTGGTAATTTACCTATGTCGACCCATTTCGCTTTTGTTTCCCCTGGGCCCCTGGATCCAAGTAGATGTCCAAGATGTCCAAGTTTGTAGCTGGACAGAATTTTGGTTGCAACAAAGGGCCCATTCGTTTCTTACATCCTGATTTTTTGTCAGTAGACTCCCAATTTCAAGAAAAACAAACATATATTCTTGTCGGTTTTCAGTTTTCATTGTACCTATTTTTTTCCACTCCACAATCCCCATGCGGTGCTGAAACACAGGGACATGATGCGCAGGAAAACAAATGAGATTTTCAAGAAAATGGGTTGGACCCTACGAAACGGAGGTGCATGCCACTGTGAGTCTGTGTTTTTTAATCACATCACAAAAGCTAACCAACTAAACATTTTGTGGATATATCATGTTATATATATATAATCAATAGATATAAATAGGCGTTTCCAACTAATCATTTTATATATATATATAAACTAAAGCAGACCCAATCGTGGATACCAACTAAACAAGAGGATACCAATCCCAAATCATTCCAGTGAGCAACTGGTTACTGCTAACCACTGGGATGATCCTCCGTTTGCTGTTTTAAACCTTAACTATTGTTTATCAACCCCCGACAATGTCTATGGTTTTCCACTTGGAAGTGCAGCTCCAATTAAAAGATGTCAAAACTAGAAATATCATGATATATCACCATAGATTCTAGGGGCCCTGTATCCCTATATGGATAAATTCACCCTGGTTACACTCATTCGTTTCACCTTTTTTGACCTTTGGCCTTCACCCCCACATCCCAGGGTCCCACGTCAGGAGCTGCGTGGCGCGCCGGCGCGGCGTCTGCTGGGTGCTTTCTCCCTGGGTGCGCTGTGCACCATCTGCGCCGCGCTGATCAGTGCTTTGCTGCTGCGGTCGCGGCTCATTGCCACGCTGGGCGGCTGGGCTACGGCCAGTGGCGCGGCGAACACAAAGGGCGTGCTGTAAAAATGGGTCAAACATGGGAATTTCATGGTGGAGATTTTAACCAATGTTTTTTAAACAAATATAAATAACAGAAGGTATTTCAAGCATATGGAAAAATATGAAGATTATACAGGTATTTGTTTAACACTTTTTTTTGAAATGATGATTTTATGCTGGTTCAATTTCAATGAACTCGCGATAGAATGGGGGACCTGGTGAAAAAATGCAAAAACATATAAGAACCTGGATTCAACCAACAATTGGATTTTATCGCAAAAAATGTGCATGTGTTTTGTTTTTTTCCTCCTCACTGAGGGTGTAAACCATTTTTCCACACCGTATCTAGTCTAGAAAATCCCGGGCTGAAGCGCTCCAGAGTTGCCGAAGCGACCTAAATCCTGGTTGATTCAAGCCGCAGACCTGGGCAGACTGCATCTATATATATATATATATATGTTTATTTTTGGAACCAGTGTTGGTCAAAAATATGGGGCCTCCACACAGAGGGGTACCCAGGTAGCCTTGCTAATTGATGGATATTGATGGTATATAACGGAAAATCCGCAAGTAAATGGAATGGGTGTATCTCCTTTTTAGGTAACCTCCATATACCCTCTGGTAAACTAATATAGCTATTGAAAATGACCATTTATAGTGGATTTACCTATTAAAAATTATGATTTTCCATAATTATGTAAACGTTTACCAGAGGGTATCAAATTTGAGAATCAGGGCAGGAACAACTCTTCCAAGTGCCTGAGATCAACCTTGCCGATTTGTTGGATGAATTTGGTGCGTTTCAGTGCATTCCATGTCGCTTCGATTCATCTGATACCCTCTGGTAAACGTAACCACATAACGAACTGGAAAGATCCACCATTTTTCATGGGTAGACTCACTATCAATGGCCATTTTCAATAGCTTTGTTAGTATGTTTACCAGGCCGGGTAAATTCATTGAAAGATGATCAGATGGAGCTACCTAGCCTGGTCGATCATCCCACAGTCCTCCTACAGTAACTAGTTAACCAGACTTATAACCAAGTCATAAATGGATGAAATCCCACAAACAGGTGGGATTTATTCGGCAGGATTGTTTGGTGACCACTTATGCATATTGTTGGACCGTGCAATGATCGCAGGTCAGGCAATTGCCGCCTTGACAAGCAAGAATATCGGCGACCTGGCACAAGTTGGATTCCCTGGGTGCCATAGCGAAATGCTGACCATATAAGGCCATATTTTGGGGGGATATTCCCTTACATAGGCCTTATATATGGTAGGTACCTCCAATTTAGGTTCCTGAAATGGCCATTGATTTTGGGAAATAATCCGATCACCCTATTATTGAACGTTCCCCCCAAATGACGCGAAAAGAAATCATGTTTTCCGGGAAGGCTTTAATATGAGCAGAAAGGGACTAAAATGAAAAAGAACTGAAGAGTGAAATCCTCCTTGGGGATTGAACATGAACCCAGATCCTACCGAATATCTTCCTGCAAGGGAGTTTGACCCTCAGTGAAATCCCAAGAGATTTTCTCACAAAGATGCGGGATGTGGATGTGGTATCCATTCAGGGGTGTACACATGTGTTTGTATGTGTGCATTTGTGATAGACACTTTATAGGGTTACAAAAATGAAATGCTCATTAGCGCTTGATGAAGTTGCTACATGCACGATGCCACATAGGTGGTTCTACTTCTTTTGATTTCATGATGGCCTTATGGCCCTAATCATTTAGGAATCAGAGAGCCCGTGAAATCCAAAGGTCAACCCCTTGGCGCTGATGTGGAATGCGGGGCACGCACGACCACAGATGAAGGTTAAAAAAGAAAGATGAAGCTTCAGATAAGACACACCATCAACGTGGTCTTGAATCAGGTTTTGGATGGTTTTGGGATGTACTCTACCGACAATTCTTCAAAATCATTTTCGAATAGAACCCACACAGTTTTTAAAGTCCTACTCATGAGTTTCCCATTTGCACCATGTACTCTATCCGGGTGCTGATTGTTTTCCAAGTTTCAGACAAATATCTTTGAATTTCTCTTAAACTGGATCCCTGCGTGCCTCAGGGTGACAGGGACATAGTTGCAGGTAGGAATGATTGGTTACTATTGAAATTCAACTTTGAAAGGATTCAAAGGTTTCAAGAGAAGCAACCTATCAGTCCATGTTTATTGATCACTGAACCTATGGTCATATATGGTTCTTAAAGGTACATCTCGTCACTTGCGTGCCCGGTGGCGATCTGCCATGGAGTTCATCAACTGGTGTTCCTCCACAACTTAGTATTTACATATAGTGAAAATCCATCAGACAAATGGGATGATAACTGGGGGTAACCCAATTTTAGGAAATTTTCATATCTACATATCTACTCTAGTTATGATAAGTATCATTAATGATTAGTGGATTACTAGTTAAAATCATATCAACCTCCATATATACTTCATTCAAATCCAGTTGCTAATCATGAAAATCATCAAACCATACCTATGAAACCGCAATTGAGATGCGACCTCATACAACTACGGAGAAACTTCAGTCCCAGTTGCCTGGAACTGTGCCCCACAGTCGCGAATCTAGCAACTAGGGCCAAGTTCGGGCTGCATATTTTCATACTTGCAAACTTGCAATAGAAAGAAGAGATTCAAGTCCTGGGTTGAGCATGAAGCCAGTACATTGCTTCGCCCGCGGTGGAATATCTCCTGCCAATGAATTTTGGGGATGAGTTTCTAGACTGGGGGATGGGACAAACTCACATGGGATTGAAGGGGTCCACAGAGGAATGCACATTTGCAGCTGTAATGTAATGCAATTTGCACAAATGGGGTTTTCACAAATGGGCATACCCCAAAATTGATGGTTTATAAGGGAAAATCCTACTAGCATAGATGATTTGGGGGTACCCAGAATTTAGGAAACCTCCAAACATGGAAAATCACAGAAATTCCTTTGCATCCCGTGTCAGACAGATAGAAAGAACGTATGTTAGAATATATTTATATTTATTTATATATATATTATATATATATATTTGACACGATGGGGGTCACTCGAAGAAAATGATTTGCGTTCCATACGATTCCATTTGGATTTTTGCTGTGAATACCAGGTGAAGATATGAAGCATGCCAATATTTGGTTCAAAGGGATTGCCCTTCAGGACTGAGAACCACTGGGGCATGCGTTTGGTCTAGCTCCAGAGGCGCCCAAGTCCAGATGTAGGAAAGAATTTTTGAGGGACGTTACTGGGCCACTACTTTGCTTTGTTGTCCTGCATCATTGGCTGACATATCATGAAAGAATGCCCCCCTAATTACACAAAAATATCTTTCAAGGGACTAGACAAGAAGATCCGCGCAATGTTGACGGGAGTATGAGCTGTTGACGAGATCCGCTTCACCTTTTTGTAACGATGACGGAAGCATGAGCTGCCCATGAAATCACGCCAAGGGAGAGTGCTGCACGACAGATTCCTGCACAATACTAAATAGTTTGTCCTTGGGGATTTAGCAATCATTACGGCACAGCTTATCGGAACCGTGTTTTTGACAGTAGATCTGCGTTTCTTTTTTGATGCTTCCTGGTGTTCTTTTTGCTCATGAGGTGCGGCTGGCATCACCTTTTTGCCTTTTTCTTGCTGCAAGCTACCAAAAAGTTGCTTGTGATGGCGTAACTAATTAGGTTAGACTGGTTTTGGCTTTATGGCCCAGGAGCTTGGCTGTGGACTCATGCTTTTGGGTGCTGGGCCTGCTGGGGCCTTCTTTCTGCGCTATGAACCGCCAGCTTTGGCACAACGCGTCCGCTTCAGTCTTTACATGTGTTGATAATTCTGTTGGCCTCTTGTGGGCTCTGCCTGTGCACGTGTGTGGGGACCATGTGACCATGTGTGGTTCTCCCGTCCCTTTCGTGTTCAATCGGGTTCTTTATTGGTGTTGGAAGGTAAAAGGAGGCGGGTTGCATTCTTGCTGTAGTTTACCAATAGTTACATCCCAAAAACCCGCTTGCCGCTCTAGAATGTCGGACCTTGCTTTACTATTTACTGCAACCGGCGACTGCGCCGCGCATCGCGGCACTCATTTCTTCCAGCATGAATCCAACTCGCCAGCCTTCACGCCATTGCTCCCATTGCAAGGAAGCGGAATTAACTTCGTTGCGGTGGCCCAGGCTTTGCACATGACCCTTTCTTGGCAAGGTGTGGCTGGTGTAAATTTCGGGCTTGGGTTTGCCCACAAAAAATGCACAAAGGTTGCTTGAAAAGTAATGAAACTTCAAGTCGGATATTGGTATGGAAAAAACAATCTGATAAAACCATTGTATTTCAGGTGCTGCCCAATGTTTCGGAAAACCGATGTGGCGTTGTGCCAAGCTGCTGGGAAGATACTGCCACAACAAAGTTGGCCCCTAAGAGAGCCATGATTCAAGCCCTGGCATGCCCCCATGTGGAGGACTTTGAACAGGTCAACAACAACAACAGCAGCAGCAGCAGCAAGAAGAAGAAGACGAAGAAGAAGAAGAAGAAGAATAAGAAGAAGAAGAAGAAGAACAACAACAAGAACAAGACCACCACCACCACCACCACCACCAACAACAACAACAACAACAACGAGAACAATAACAAGAACAAGAACAAAAACAACTAATACAAGGAGAAGAACAAAAAAACAACCAACAACCACAACCAGCAAACCCCACCACCACCAACACCCCACACCACCACCACCACCACCACCACCACCAACAACAACAACAACAACCAACCAGCGCCAACAACCACCAACAACCACCAACACCAACCAACAACAACAGCAGCGCCGCAACAATAATACAAAACAACAACGAACACAAACAAGACAATAACAACATAAGCAGCAACAACAAGAACAAGATTGAGCACAATAACAAGAACAAGAACAACAACAACAACAAACCCGAACAAGAACAAGAACAACAACAACAACAACACGACAACAACAACAACACCACGAACAAGAACAACAACAACAACAACACCACCGAACAAGAGCAGAACAAGAACAAGAACAAGAACAACACAACAACAACACCGCAAACAAGAACAATAACAACAACAACAACAACAACAACACGAACAATAACGAGAACAATAACAAGAAGAACAACAACACCACCACCAACAACAACAAGGACACCACGAACAAGAACAAAAACAACAACACCAAGAACAAGAACAAGAACAAGAAGAAAAAGAACAACAACAACAACAACACCACAAACAAGAATAAGAACAACAACAGCACCACGGACAAGAACAAGAAAACCAACAACAACACAAACATAAACAGCAACAACAACAACACCACGAACAGTAACAAGAACAAGAACAACACCACGAACAAGAACAAGAACAACAACGAGAACAACAACAACAACAACAACGACACCACGAACAAGAACAACAACAAAAGCAACACGAACAAGAACAACAACAACAACAACAACACCACGAACAAGAACAAGAACAACAACAACAACACCAAGAACAACAACAACAACAACACCACGAACAAGAACAAGAGCAACAACAACACCACGAACAAGAACAAGATCAACAACAACACCATGAACAACAACAACAACACCACGAACAAGAACAAGAACAATAACAACGACAACAACAACACCAACACCAACACCAACACCACAAACAAGAACAAGAACAATAACAATAACAAGAACAACAACAACAACACCAACACCACGAACAAGAACAAGAACAAGAACAACAACAACAACAACAACGACACCAACACCACGAGCAAGAACAAGAACAACAACAGCAACAACAACAACACCACGAACCCTAACAATAACAAGAACAAGAACAACAACACCAACACCACGAACAAGAACAAGAACAATAACAAGATCAACAACAACACCAACACCACGAACAAGAACAAGAACAAGAACAACAAAAACAACAACAACAACAACAACAACAACAACACGAACAAGAACAATAACAAGAACAATAACAAGAACAACAACCACAACACCACGAACAAGAACAAGAACAACAACAACAACACCACGAACAAGAACAAGAACAACAACAACAACACCAACACCACGAACAAGCACAAGAACAAGAACAACAACAACAACAAGAACAACAACACCACGAACAAGAACAAGAACGATAACAAGAACAACAACAACAACAACACCAACACCACGAACAAGAACAAGAACAAGAACAACAACAACAACAACGACACCAACACCACAAACAAGAGCAAGAACAACAACAACAACGACACCAACACCACGAACAAGAACAAGAACAAGAACAACAACAACAACAGCAACAACAACAACACCACGAACAAGAACAAGAACAAGAACAACAACAACAACAACACCAACACCACGAACAAGAACAAGAACAATAACAAGAACAACACCAACACCACGAACAAGAACAAGAACAAGAACAACAAAAACAACAACAACAACAACAACAACAACACCAACACCACGAACAAGAACAATAAAAAGAACAACAACAACAACAACAACACCAACACCACGAACAAGAACAAGAACAACAACAACAACAACACCACGAACAAGAACAAGAACACGAACAAGAACAACAACAACAACACCACATACAAGAACAAGAACAAGAGCAAGAACAATAACAACAACAAAAACAACAACAACAACAACAACAACAACAAGAACAAGAACAAGAACAACAACAACAACAACACGAACAAGAACAAGAACAAAAACAAGAACAAACAAAATAATTCCTATGTGCTATTGGCGCCAGTACCCAAGCTGCAGCATGAGGGGAGGCCCATGGAGGCCCAGAGAGCATCACATAGCCACCATATTTTCCAAACAGCCAACGTGCCTGGATGTCACACCCAGGGTGCTTTTCCACTTTCAAGAACATGTAGTAAAATGATGGGAAATGTTTCGTACATGGTGGATTCCTCCATTGATATGTTTCGCTATGTTTAGACAGGTATGTATGGAAAAAAATCACTTGAATACGAAATATTTCAAAAATTCGATGAAGGTAAAGCTGGCATGCCGTAGTGATTTGTTTGTTTTTAAAGCGTTTGTTTTAACGCATTTTAAACAGTGCATGTGATGGCTAAGCATGCGCATAGTTTGGGTCATCGGCCAACCCACCATGCCAGTGGATGGCGGAACTCAAAAATTGTTCTGGCTGAAACTGGTGGGCGGTTTCAAACAACTGTTCAGTCTTTCATCGGGACGATGATGATGATGACGACGATGATTCAAAATCATAAATATTGCAAAACATACACTGATGCAAGAACATTCGCCCCTCACGATCAACCACAACATCCCCAAACTGGACTCCAAAATCAATTCATCCAGTACAACCGGTGGTTTTGGTGGGGTCCAAACCCCTTTTCACAAAGGAAACCCCTCATTGTAGCGGCGAGCCTTGCAGTTGACAGTGCTGTGGGTGCCTTGGTTAAGCCCGGGGTGTCACATGGCACAGGGATCAACAGGTGGATTTGTGTTTGAACATGCGGACGAAATTTCGAGGAACACCCACCTAGTAAGAGTTAAAAATATGGCTGGTCACCATATTAAAAACACCCAATTATACATGGGATAAACCAAAACTAGCACATATCCAACGACAAATCGTTGGATGATCCTCCAAGGACCCCTAACATGCAACTCTAACAGGGAAATCGTTGATCTTTAACCAACCCCAAGTAGCCATCTAACCATCATGGTTTTGGGGATTCTACCTATATGACGGCCATGTTGTCATGGATTTCGGGGCCCATATCCGGGAGAGCCTTTGTTGTCTAGTCTAGTTGTGTTGATTTTGGACCATGACTGAAATGAAATATCCGCCTAGAGCCTATAACATATCACAACGTGCTACATAGCAAACTATATCAAAGTTGATAACATAGTTTTTTTACTGAAATAATATGTTTTAATATATCATTGACATAAACAAAGATATTTTCCTTAAAAAGTACCGCCCGTTGCGGGGGAGTTCGGCCTCCGGGATGGCCTCACCCTGAAAGATTTCCATAAGATCAAGAGTGCCATGGTAATGGGTCATACTGCTGGGTAATCATAATCATTTGATCATTAACATTCGTCATTGATGGAAAAACATATGTTATAGTAAGATCAAATGTATTTTTTGTGTGCATGATGTTTTTGCAGCGCCATTTCCTTGAACCTAATCCATGATAGTTGCAAGATGTGGCAGCAAGGCAAGGGACTTTCAAAGTTCCCAGTGGCACTGCCACACATTGACATGAATAAACTCGAAAGGTTACTACACCTGGCAAAAATATGTTTAAGAAAACATGCCGTGTTCAGTAGGTTTCCTACCACTGCCATTTTCCAGAATGGTTCGCTTCCAGTTGCTGGTGGTGCCATTGACCACTTTAGGTCACATCTTTGATCATGTGGAGGGGTACTTCAGTTCTGATTTTTTTTGCCAGGATAAAGTAGGCCAACCAACTATTATTTGGCGGAAGTTGATTGGAAAGATTGGCCACTTGATGGTTTCTCAGCCAAAGTTGTTCATCGATGTTTCCAGTATATCCCATAGTGATCTATAGCACCTATGACCTGGATTGTTGGCAGCCCAAGAGTCGTGAATTGCATCCCCAATTTCCTTGAAGAGTTTTCCGCGCTCACATTTATATCAGTTCCAATTTCAAACCCTGGGCCCGCAGACAATTGTTTCGGTGCCAAATTTTGCCAACATCCATTTGTTTGATTTGCGCTGGCACATGTTGCATCCACACAAAACAACAAAGCAAAAATTGGAACACTGGCTGGTGGTTTCAAACTTTTTTCCACAATATATGTGATAATCCTTCCCATCGACTAATATTTTTCAAGATGTTTAAAACCACCAACCAGAACAGATTTTCGGGAGTTGGGATCTGAGAAAATAACGGCCAGTTTTTGCAAAGAGGGGCCTTCACCAGTTGCAAGCTGCGGGTTTCAACTGCAAACAAACACTAGAACTGCAAGAAGTATACTGGATGGAGTACAGCCACGAACTTTGATTTGGGTGTCTTGGGGCTAGATGGATGTACAATCTCTCCCGCCGAGAGTTATTTTTTGGTAGGGGAAGAGCAAACCACCAAGATTGTGTTCCTTATGCAAATCGAGGTCAGCATTTATATAGTTGGTGTATAATTAACTCGGTTAGCTATGGATCATGGTGGATATAACATGATATAATATAACTATACTATTCTTTTTTTAAACCCAACACATCACTTGTGGGGCGCCTGGGAGTAGGGCCTGTGATGTTCACAACGGCTTCGACAGCGCACCGCTCAGGTGTTGTATATTTTCCGTTGGCTGCAAGCCTCACCCCGAAGAACACTGAAGCGACAGAGGTGGTAACAGAGTGCCTGGGCTCAAACAGTTGGTCCGTTTTGGCTCAGATGTTGTTTGAAAAGGACATCATTCAATGTATGGAAAAACATATGGAAAAGCTTAAGTTGTCCGTTGTCCCACAAGTTTTTTTTGGAATGAGGATGGGAATATGGCAGAATTTGGCCATGTTTGGTCCATCTCATGTCAACCTGGGAATGACGCTGGTTGATCTGGTTGGCCCTGTAAGTTGATCAACCAAGTCTCTGCGAAGGGATTCATCCTGGGATAACATCATGGAGGCCGGGACTAGGTCAGGATTCTCGAAGATCAAGGCTGGAGACTTTCCACGAGCTTTTCCGGAGCAGTAGCATCAAGAAGTGGGAGCTTATCATGACGGAGCAGTCAGTATTTATGATAGACCGCAACTCAACTTATGCCCTCTGGTAATGACTAACATAGCTATTGAAAATGGCCATAAAAATAGTGAGTTTTCCCAGCTCCAAAATTGGTGATTTTCCATATGGTTATGTTAGTTTGCCAGAGGGTAGGTACTAAATCCCAATGACCTCCTGAGCAACTCTGATGACCATGATGGTGATGCTGATGTTGATGTTGATGATGAAAATGATGTCATGTGACGGTGAACTGCACAATTTTGTTATCGACTGGCGTAGGCACGCACCTGCCCCAGTGTGATGGAACTGTTGTTCGTGAATCGGAAACACAAGTATTAGTGATGGGGTTACCCTCTTGTAATTGAAATAATCATATTATATATTAATAGGTAATTGTGTATAAATTATGGCATGTTCCATAGCTATGTCAAATTACAAGAGTGTATCAGACCTCAACAAGTCCAGCAAAGTTGGCTTCAAGCAGAACATCTAAGTTCACGATAATCCTTTTTTATGCATTATTTACAGTTTCAGTGTCACAGGTTTTGCTCATATTTGTTTATTTGTTCCAGATGACAGTATCCTAGAATCATAGCCCCTTCTTGATTCATTGGACGTGTCACCCAGTATCAAAACAAGATTGTAAATACAGATTTGTAAGATGCTAAAGTTGTATGCCCTCCAGAATTGACAAATCATTTCTGTTCCGTTTGGGTTGTAAACCAAACGCAGCATGACAAACCAAGGACCACGCGCTTTCCCAACTCTTGGAGTTTGACGGAGTCGTGTCGTGTTGGGAAATCCTGGTTGATCAGCTATGATCACAGGGTGCTGCTGTTACTATAGTTTTTTGTTCCTAAACTGTAGTGCTTAACTTTATATAGTGTTTAGTTACGTAGATACTTTGGAACTTAGGATTGCGAGTGTTGGTTTCCGGTTCAACATTCAGTTGGGAATAATTATCCCAACTGGACTTTCATATTTTTCAGAGGGGTAGGTATACCACCAACCAGATCAGGATTTTGACGCTGCTTCATTTGGGAAGAAAGTGGCGTTGAAACAATTAAATTTATGATGGCCCAACCCAGCGACCTCGAGGTGGGCAATGAGAAAAATATGTGTTTGACCGTGGTAGAATTGCAAACTTTCATGTGAATCAAACAGGGTCACGGGCTGATTCCACTTTATTATCACTGGTTTTGTCTGCAAATGGGGTACCCAAAATGTGATGATTATTTACCATTGTCCCTACCAACATCTACTAAAATATGTCAAGTTTAGGCATATATCATGTTCAACCGCCAAATCAACCCCAGAATAAAGACGCAACCTGAGATGAACATCCGCTGAGCCTGAAAAAATGAATCAGGAATCACCAATAGTATGTTTGTCATTGATATCCTTTTTAAACCATACACACATATATATATATATATTATAAATCATAGAAATATATCAATATATTCTCCAATGCTTTGGCTCTTCGATAGCTGTACCAAGGACTGCGCTTCGACGTTTCTGGTGGCCCTGGCCATTGCCTTCCTGTCGCATCAGTTCCATGGCAAGCGGGGTTGTTTCAAGGTTTTCACAATAGGAAACGCACCATGAATCGGGAATCCATTGTGGATATGTTTCATTTTTTTTTTCGGGGGTGGCCTTAAGCTATTGCAAATTTTAGTTTGGTCGCAAGTTTCCTGTCAAGCCGTAGCTATTTTACGGCCCGTAGCTATGCCCACCACATCCACTGGCGTCACTTTTGGTCCTTTTGGGAATCACCTGCCGCACCTTCTAAAAGGACATGGCAACACTTACACCATCCACATTTCAACATACCCTCTGGTTATTTAACATAGCTATGGGAAATGACCCACTTGTAGATGGTTTACCCATTAAAAATGGTGATTCCCCATGGCTATGTTAAATAACCAGATGGTAGTTTCCTTCAAATCAACCCAGGGTTAAATCACCACACAATGCTGTTCAAGATCAGTTTCCATTAGCACCCCAATGATACCCAGCAAGTCGTGAACATCCATCAACTTGCTGCGTCATGGTTTAGTTGGAAGCCCGGTTCCAGCTATAAGTGGATATATAATCATAGTTACAGGGTCATGCCCCAACAAAGATGGGGGTTGAATGCCATGGTTATACCCGTAAAGGCAACCTCAACTGCAACCCCATTGATTGTATGAGGGTTGTTGTTACCTATTGTGGGAGCCTCACCTTCGACGGTGAACTGGGCACCTTTGCCGGTATTCACTTACCCTCCGGCAATCAATCGCGTTCCATGGTGTTTCACTTTTTTTGATGTCTAAAAGGCATGGTTACACTTTTATTGAGGACAGCGTTCCATGCAGAAAAGCATTTAGGCATGACTTAGGCATGACTTCTGGGATGCAGCGTTTACAATGGCAAATGCCATTCACAAACACGCTAGGCATGACTTAGGCGTGACATTGTTGTTTCCCTTTGTCTCGCCACTGTGTTGGTCAACACCAACTTAGCTATAATATCCAAAGTCAGTTATATATCAACTCTAAATCCATATAAATCAATTCTTTCTGAATGAAACCACCATTTTTCCCTGGTAACTATCCACTGTTTTTCTTGTCTCACCATTTTTGGGTTAAATCCCATCAAATTCCCATAAAATCACCATTTCTTCTAGTTCAACCCAGCATTTCTCCCTGGTAAAACCACCATTTTGCTGGGCTCCCAGCAGCCGCTAGCCACGCAGGTTCTCCCCCGCGGGGTACGCCTGCATCACCAGCAGCATCTTGGCCGTCTTGCTGGCCACGCTGCCGCAGGCCGAGGAGCGCTGGCCGGCGGGGGAGATGCTGGGCTGGCCCTTGATGCGGCTGGGCTGCAAGGTGGTGTTTACCAACCATATATATATATTATAAGACACTTATTTTTCATGGCGTAATCCCACTTATATATATATATATGGATGGGAGCTTTCCATAACTGGGAAATGCACAATAGTTGGTTGGTTTATTTCATGGAAAGGCTTTTTAACATGGATGATAATTAGAGGGATGGGTCAAAACTTGTGACATTACCATATTTGGGGAGAATCAACATTGACCAGCTATTTAGGGCACCGTTTGGGTACCAGGGTTTTGACTCATGGTCGAGCAAATGACTCCAATCTCTGGCTGAAAGGGTGAAAGGGTGAGGGTTTTGACTCATAGCCATTTTACTATGATTTGCCATTACTAATTAATGATTATGACATTGTACCCCAGTGATAACCATAACTATGTCATAACATTGAACCACTGGTTGAATTTCTATAGTGATGTGCCCTCCTGTATGTAACATAGATGTGGGAAATACACTTTTTTTGAGGTAATCATCAAACTAAATGGACCGTTTCCACATCTATGTTAGTTTACCCCAGGATATCTAGATAATTTCCATGCTTATTCACTGTTTGATTTTTTTTTAGTAGCTATATCTCCAATGTATGGTTGATATCTCATTATATCTAGATAGATGTCACTGGAATGATGGTGAGTGTACAGGGGTAACTATCCCAAAATAGCTGAACTTTTCGGTTTTCAGACGGTATGAGTGCTATCCAGTGGTCAGGAGGGAGCTCTTCCCAGCTATGGTTGTATCCATACTCCCTACTGTATATTGATTTGGCCAACGAGCTATGGACCACATGATAGCTGGTGGAAAAATGCCTACATTAGATGTTTTGTTAGACATGTTCTTAGATTGTGACTAAAATCTTGTTAATGATGAGTAATGTCCAAAGCTAACTATATATATAATATGATATGATGTGATTAAATATAAATATATATATATATAGAGAGAGAGAGATTATGCTGCCTCTGGCAGTCTTATTCGGCGAGATGGAGAGAGAGAGAGGAAGAGAGAGAGAGAGAGAGAGAGAGAAAGAGCACACATATGTAGATAGGTGAAATGGTCTTTTTGGTGTATATATGTATGTGCTTGTGTTAGAGTATTTAAAATCAACAAATCACAACATATTATGATAGTCGACGCATGTTTGTTGTCTACAACTGGCACTGAAACCGGAACAAAATGTCGGCAAATCCCTTAGAAAGAATGACTTGCCCTCCAGCCATTTGTTGACAGAGTTTCGGAAAATAGCCCATTCATAGATGATGAACTCACATTGACGGTTTTTAAAGAGGTGTTACATAACCAGAAGGTCATATCTTGAAAATAATCAATAATAAACATGGTGCTTGCACAGGGTTTTCCATTGAGTGGGTCTGGGTCAAAATTGGGAAGCCACGTCGGGTCTTTGGACATCCCCTGGATGTGAATAAAGCTTGACCGATACCTGTGTGATGATACCTGTGTAAGCTACCAACGAACGGTAAAGCAAAAACTATAAACCATTCCCAAGGACTGACCATGAATAGCCACACATGGGTGATGTAAAGCATCCCCAAATCTTGTATAAGCTTTGGAGGTGTTGATAAACAAATATATCCAGACACAAAGAACGTGTGCATTCTATCAAGCACACGACGCGTGATGATTTACTGGTTGAAACCAAGCAGCACATAGTGATTTGAATGATTTGGGTTGGCGCACTGCGTTCAACAGTATGATACCCTCTGGTAAACTAACATAACTATGGAGGATCACAATTTTTAATGGCTAAATCAACGAACTAAATGGCCATGTTCAATAGCTACGTTTGTTTACCAGCGGGTAAATCTCCATTTTCCTATGGTTTTCCTATGGTTTTCTTTTGGTTTTCCCATGAAAACCTCCATTTTGTGAACTATGACATTCGGATTAGCCACAACTGGACATGCTGCCGATGACCTTGGGAGCTTGGACGGCCCAGGTACATTTACTTTGCAGCGGCTGGTTTCACCGTGGGCGCGCCTTGGCCAAGATGATGCAGTTTCAAAATGTTCGTGAATCACAACCAAAAAAGCAGTTCTAAAAAAATGAAAGGTTGGTAACCCCAGAAATATGAGTTAAATATCATCTACAACATCCTACAAAAATAAAAAATCCATCTTTTTGGTGGTTTTATACTATACAGTGATATCTACCTATTGATATAAATACATGTGTTTTGGATTAAATGCAGTATACTTGTAAAATACATTTCTGTATTGGTGCAGTATTGTATCCTCAGTCTAATTTGATGCATAGAATGGAGAATATACATACATACGTACATATATACACATAAATATACGTATATGTATGTATATATATTTTTATATATACATGTGTGTGTAAATATGTGTGTTTATACATAATAGTTTGAAAATAGCAAATATATGTTTCTATATTTGAGCCATTTCTGCTAAAACCATAGATTGTGGTTTTTGGGTGTCCCAGATTATGTTGGAGGGAACAGTGGGAGGAAAGCGCAATCTTTGGACACAAACCATGGTTTGAATCAAACAATCTTTCAACCAACCCATCCCATTGACCTATAGAATTACTTGTTTCTATACCATTCTCCCAGCAGGTCCCCATGAATTTGTTGTTGTTATTTTTCCTATTAAAAAACCCTGTTGTGCATGGCTATTCCAGCTTATTGTAGGTAATTTGATCACTAAAAGGGGTGGACATTTGTGATTTGACTTCCTGATGCAGCCACTTGCCCTCTAGTGTCTGGGAAAGTATCTTATAAATACAATACCATCACGATATCATTTTTGTTGGTTATATGCGGATATAGCCCCATGGTCCTCATATACCCCCCAATGGATACATCTTCTTCGGGGTGCATCCCATGTAATAAGTGGAACTAAAAGGTTATAGCCCACATAGAACATCATATAACATCATGCTTGACTGGGTTAGATGTGGTGTTTGCCCACCATGAATGTAGATCGTGGGTAAGTCTTTGGGGATGGTGGATCCTTTTGCTGCTAATACTTGGAGGATCATCCCACAGATCGTAAGTGGTTAGTAACTGGGGTATACTGTAATTTTATCTCACCCATTTATAAATGTTATAGCCTATTTAGGAACTTACTACCCGGTATATTCTAAGTGAAATATAGCATTTATAAATATAGGTGTAACGTTGGTTGCAATCCACTTAGCCAACATTAATGTTTGTAAAACAAAAAAACATCAAATGAACATTTTTATAGGTGATATTTGTACCATTTTTTGTACCATTCCCAGTCATCCACCATTAACTATCATTAACCATCATTTATCAACCATTAACCATCATTAACGGTTACTAACCATAGTACAAATTCGAGTAAATTCGATCATTTTCTCCCTTGCGCTTTTCAAGGCAGTGCCTGGAGAAACGTTGCTGCGCTTCTCTCCGCTGAGCCTTGGGAAAAGCCGAGCGTGGACAGTAGGCGATGATCTCGAAAGGTGTGATTTTCCATGGTTTATGTTGCACCACCATTGGCATTGTCATTTTTCCATGGTTTATCATTAACCGTCATTAACTACTGAAGTCCAAAATCTATGGTTGACTTGGCCATTTCAGGAACCTAAATTGGAGGTAGCCATATATAAGGCCTATGTAAGGGAATATCCCTACAAAAAAATGCCTTATATGGTACAGCACCTCCATTTTAGGATCCTGAAATTCCCATTGATTTTATGTTGCACCACCAGGAAGTCCAAAATCTATGGTTGCTTGATGCACAAACTCCATTGGTTACATGTTTTTTCAGGGCCTTTCTTAAATGGTTAACGAATAGCCCATTAGATACATTATATGGATCAATAAACACCCCCGGAACCAAAAGGCATGTTCATCTCTGAGGATAAAATTTGGCATTTGTTTGGTTGCTTTCATATTTCATCTATCCCCATAGCTGGCCACATGTGGGGAAACACATCCCCAGGAAGAAAAGAATTGTGATCTCTGAGGAGCCCCGCTATAATTCGCGATCAAATACCCCCATGATTGCATATTGTCAGGATATCTCCTGGAAAAATATTTGATCAAAATGTATATCCTAGTTGGGTATTTGTCCAATCCTTCCCCGTATCGAATTTGGCAAAACTAGAAGATATGATCCATTCATCGGTTATACTAGTAAGAAATTCACCCAAAAAATGACCAGTCACTTTGCCTTAATTGTATCCATCAACTGGTTGAGTTAGAAATTCCACATAATAGGCAAAATGTCCCAATCTTTCTCCATCGATGTGAGCATCAATTTCGGCATTTTGTTTCATCCCCATATGTATATATTTGTATATCAATCATATATCCCTAACACTGGATATATATATATATATATTTAAATACAGTACCCATTTTCGAGATGTCATGAAACTTTGGAGCATCGTTCAGGATTGAGTTTGGCATTCTGCTCTAGCCTTATATATATATATAGCTATACATAGAGAGAGATGGATGGATGGATGGATGGATGGATGGATGGATGGATGGATGGATGGATGGATAGATAGATAGATAGATATAGATAGCTATAAATATATATATATATATCCCCGGTTAAATGTCCAATTTGTCCCTTTATTTTTCCCCTGAATCTTTCGTCGGTGCGAGGATCGCTTTTGGCATTTTGCCCCATCCCCATTTTTATGTATATATATATATATTTATATATATATTATATATATACATATATATATATATACCAGTTATCCATCTATATCCCGAACTTTGAAGCATCGAAATCAGGATCGATTTCGGCATTTTGCTCTATGTGTTTCACCTCGTTCTGCTCCTGGCGGCTGGTCGTCTCTTCCAGCTGCAACAAGCGGAGCTGCTGGTGGCCAGCAGTGCCAACATCGGGGGCCCGGCCACGGCCAGTGCCTTCGTTGACGTTCCAAAACATGGGGAGTTTATGGTGAAAACCATGGAAAAACCATGGAAAACCAGGGGAAAAACAAGGAAAACCATGAACAAAATACCAGTTTCTCGAGATTTTGGTTGGATAGAGTTTGGGAAACAAAAGGTACGGACATATTTGGTATATGTTGATGTTTGTTAGGTTCTTTTTGTTTGAAGGGCATCGGAATTAAACTTTATGCCGTTGTTTGCAATTAAACATGAACGACTTCCTACCCGTGTTGGATAGGAAAGTTGGCAGGAACCCTATTATTGTGTTGTTTCTGGGCAAGAAAACATGGATTCCGGCAGTTTCTTTAGATGAGATTGGGATGCTTTGGGAAACCGGTGAGCAGTGAGTTCCACAATCAATGTAGGGTTCTGGCAACCTGTTGTTAAAAACGTGTTGCCAAGATCTTTGAGGAACTGCTTGGAACCAGGTGTGTGATAAACAATTGCTAAGTTGGTTTATCACATATGATATTGCCAAAAACTGTTTGCGACATGACACACAACGCCAAAAACTTGACGATTACTTGGATGTGCATCGGCATCGGATATCGGGGTTGATCGGTTTAATCCCAGTTATTTTCATGGCTTACCCGGCCTGGTAAACATACAAAAAGCTATTGAACATGGCCATTTAGTTCGTTGATTTACCCATTAAAATGGTGATTTTCAATAGCTATATGTTAAATTACCGGAGGGTAATCTCATTAGAGCCAATTCGTCAGTGTTGCTTTCTCACCTACTTTCACGAAAAACCTATAACATGCTATAACTACCATAACCCCATGAGTTCACCTACTGTTTCCAGCTGAGGCTCCTTAGCCACCAGTAAGTCTTGGGAGAGGTTGAAGCGCCCAGCGCTGATCGTGGGAACCTTTGGGACGCTCGGTCGGCCCGCTCGGGGAGCGACCAGTTGATCCATGGGAATCCGGTGATTTTTTACGGTGGTTAATATATACCAGTGGTTAAACATGTGGTTAAACATGTGGTTAAACATGTGGTTAATGATGGTTAATGAGATACCATTTTTTTATGTAGCCTCATTTAACCTTGCCATGGTATAGATGGCCCATTTATAGTATATAGATGGTTCTCCCATGAAAAATGGTGAATCGTTCCATAGTTATGTGGCTGTTTACCAGAGGGTAACCAATAAGTAAGGGGATAGTTGATGTATGACAGGCTTCTGTTGGTTTCTGATTCCAGTGCCAGGTGTACAAGCCCATCCTTTTGTTCGCTATATCTAGCTTTCAATCCGACTGCTATGTCGGCTATAAACAGTCTTAGCAGTTTGGCACTTTACCTTCTGGTGAAAGCTAAACATTTTTCCTGCAAGCCAAACATTTGCGTCCAGCTTGTATAGTAGTTTCCCAACTAGAGATTTATCCGACACTAAATAACTGGGTCGCACCACCCTCTCATTCAAATTTGCCATGGGAGGTGGGTTTCTTACTTTGAACTCGATAGTTATAAACGTAGCTATGGTATTGGATGGCTCATATACATAGATGATAAAAATTATGATTTACCTCTTAAGATTGATGGTTTTCTATAGCTGTTTGTAGTTTTGCCCTACACACGAGGAAATAAACACAAGATCAAAAAACAAAGTCAACAGAGTGCAAAAAGAGAGAACCTTATCATATTATATATCACATTTATTTTCCTTATATATACCTTATATAAATATGTTAACTATATATATATATATATACTGTTAAATTACTAGAGGGTAATATACATATTGAATATATGATACTGGTTGGTGGTTTGGAACATTTTTTGTTCAATGCCGACTGACTAATCGTTTTCAGAGGGGTTGAAACCACCAACCAGTTTTTATCATTTATGCATAATTTATTTATGTATATATATATATATACATATGTGTATGATTGTTTGTCTTATTTGTGAATTATTTAAGTTATCGTGGGTCTTCAAAGATCGTGTGTTCTACTTTTTCTGGATGCTAATTTAAAAAGTAGACGTTTTGGTCGATATCTCCAAAAACCGGTCGTGAACTTCATGCCCTCCACTGCAACCTTGAATTTTCTGTCACTCCCCGACCCCCTGCATTGATTATAGAATTTGACCATAGAAAAAACCTGGAGTTTCAAATTGTCTCCCACAAAATAAGTCGTGCACCCCCATCCGCATGGTGATGTGCACACACACAGGCACAGTGTTCAAACTTTCCATCATAGCCATGTTTCTTTCAAAGACTTAATTCTGTGAGAACCATGAAAAAATGCAGAATGCTCAAATTGTCCGATTTTTGTTGGCATATGGTCTAAAGCATTCAAAAAACAAAGTGACCTAGTTTTTGGGATTTGCAAGCGTTTGATGTTTTTTTGTAGTCGTTTTGAAGCTTTTTGAAGGAGTTTTGAAGGTTTATGTAGGCGAGAACTTTCGCATAAAACGCGCATATCGCACACAAACAAATTAACATATATCTATACGAAATGGTGAGCCAAAGAGTCTGTCAGTGGCACTTCAAAGCCGATTGACGAGCAAACATAGCTGGTCAGAGTTTAGCGTTTCGATTTTATTCGACTTATGGTGGATAGAGGGTAGGTGGTGGTTGACCCTGTCGATTTGGGGCCACTTGTCATTGCATCATTTAGTTTTATCAATGGCCCAAAGTAGACAATTCAACTGAAATAGGATTAGATGATGTTGAATGTGTAACATGGTAATGCAGCATGAAATGAAGCCAGGGAAATCATGGGTAAACTGCAAAAGTAGGGGAAAAAAAGGGCAAGAACTACTTTTTCTGACTGATATTTCCTCAACCTAGTCTAGAAAAAAGTTCTACGAACGAAGACCGGTATGGATTTTGTTCATGTTTCGGCCTGTTATCCCATATTGGACGGCCTCGGATTTTCCAGCTGGAAAACCTTCACTTACTTCGATGACCAGAACCCAGCCAGAAACCGATTTCAGTTCGGGGATGGCTTCCAGCCAGAAACCACGTTTGATGACGCCGGGTATACATAGCAAAATGGGTTGGTCATGTGTTAGACTTTATTGGCATATCGGAGTACTGCAGTTTTGATGGGAAGAAGGAACAACATAAGTAACCAAACTAACTTGATTTTCTGTCAGGTTTAAGTTGAAAAAAAATATTTTTCTTGCTATCCGTCACTATGCCAAAAACAGCAAAAACGACCAAAAACCACAAAACTCAATTTTCTGCTATTTTTGACCTTGAAAAAATCAATTCGTTGATACTACGTTTCCTGTCCAAACCTCAACACATCTCTACAGCTGTTGCATGTTGCATGTTATATCAAGCATGGTGACACTTCTTGTGCTACGACAACGAAACCTGGAAATCTGGAGGGAACCAGCCAAAATGATAAGGATATCATATCTACATGTCCACGTCTACCTTGTTTGAAAATAGGGTACCGAAAAAAAAAAACATGATATACCCTCTGGTAAACAAACGTGGCAAGCTGGGAAACCCCCAAACTAAAGGTTTCTAGCTGGTAAAATCATCGAACTAAATGGGTGTTCCAGCCAGCCACGATTGCCGGAGTAGTAATCAATATTCACGAATATACACTAATGTTGTTAAACCAATAATAAACCACCCATTTTGGAATGGTTTATACTAGCTATTTATGGTGATTTTGGTGATGGTTTAGGGCATTGTTTTGTCCACATTATTCAACTAGCCACGTGCGGGGTATACATAACGTGGGTCATTTGAATAATGTGGGATGGTCAATTTTGGTTTTGACTATTGTAACCATGGTATTCAAATAACCATGGTTTTCAAATAGCCATTTATTCAAATAGCCTATCTTCAGACAGAACCACATGAGTCAAGCAATCTTTGTTTGGGATGGGCGTGCTGGGACGATGAAATATAATGGCGGGGTGTGGTTCCCATTGGCATTTTCCACTGCACATGAGGTTTTCCTGCATCTACTCCAAAAATATGTTAGTCGTCTTATTACTTGTCTATGGAATTGAGTTGTTTTTTACCTTTGTCTAAATCAGACAACTGCAAAATATTTCCAACTGATTGGTATTCCACCCAACCAACTGTTTCATTGTTGTATTGATAGCATTAAGTATCCCAACCACCCACCCGCCGGCAATTTGACGTAGTTACAGAATAGATAGCCATAGAAAGATACCTTTTATGATGATTTTCCTCAAAAAACGGTGGTATTTTAAATGTGTTCTATAGTTTTTTGATGTTTTTTGTATGTTGACAGAAGGTAGTTACCAAAAGCCGGGTTGGGCTCTGGGGGCAAGGAATGCTATTGCCTCGACCTTTGGGCTCCTGTTTTTCCAAGTTCTGAAACGCTGGCCGTGACGGGCGGGCGAACCAGGTTTTGTTGGTTTTCCAAAGCCATCTAGCCTCTGGTAATTGAACAGTTTGCGAACTGGAAAATCACAATGTTTTGACTAAATAGGCAATCTTATGGAGCTGTGTTAAATACAGTACCAAAAAAAGAAAAGGTTATGCATATTTGCTGTTCGTGTTCTTTTTTCCGCTTTGTGTTGGGACACAAATCACCTAACTATAGAGTTCACACAAAGCCACGTGAACTTACAAACCAAGTTAGCAAAGAAACGGGGGCACCACCAAGGGTCGATTATGAATCTGCTTTTCATCTGAAGAAATGGGTCATGGCAACCCCGGATTAATGTGAACTGCGCTGTTAACCCTTGGGAGAGTATTAATTTTAGTAGCAGATTGTCACTTTTTTGGGGTAACCCCCTGAGCAATCCAGTGTTGACAGTTGACATTTGGGAGGAAGCTAATGAAACACGCTTATATCAGTTGGTTCCATTATTGTTTGTTGTTGTTTGGGTTTCCAACCAGCTGAACAATCCTAGACATGGTGACTGCTTCTTGGGTTTCATCCAGAACATGTTATTTTTAACATTTTTTTTCGGAAGCCGGCAGCGTCCATCACTGTGTTTACCCTTCGTTCCTCGGCGTGATTCTTATAATTGCTCATTCTTGCTGGTAATTGGGGCTGGTTTGCTATTGTTGTTCTTACGCTCCAGTAATTTAACATAGAGTTAGAGAAACCAGCATTTGTACAGTAGATCGTTTTCCGAAGGAAACCATGGGTTTTCCGCATCTATGTTACTGTAACATACCAGAGAGTAAGCTATAGTGGTGAATGACCATCATTATCATCATCAGGATGTTGCTTCCACCCGCTCCATTCTCAAGCAATCGCGCCCTCTGGATGAAAATGCGTGCTGATGCTGAACATGAAAAAATGCGGCTGCTCTGGTCGTGGATCAATACGCATCAATGGCCCTGTGCTGTTCGGTGTTTTTTTGTTGGATACATGCGCGGAATGGAGCCCATTTCCATCCAGTTTCAAAAATGGAGAACCTATGGAAACATCATGTTCCATTGGATAAATCATTTCCATCCAGTATTTTCCATTGGAAACATCATTCTCTATAGAAACATGATTTTCTCATTTTTGTCCGCCAAAAGATTGGAGTAAATCCTCCTGTCTTTCTGCATGATCCCTTCCTTGCAGGAAACAAGCAGCGGCGGGGAACGCAACAAGGCCCACTTTGGAGTTCTGGACACGGCTTCTTGGCCGCGTTTCAAAGTGGCGACGGTTTGCCCCCAGCGAAATCCGGCACCATAACACCATTGGATGGGGATTTTGCAGTGTATTACACACATATATATATATATATGTATAACTATATTTTGTATATATATATATATAGCTGTAAAATATAATGCACGTGGACATCAGCAATGATGGTTTGGCTACAAGCATCTTGATCATCAACAATGATGGTTTTACTTGCTGGGAAATTTATATTTTGTTTAAAGTCTCAGCTGGCAATAGAGCCTAAGGGCCTAAGCTGGCTGGTGGTTGCCTCAATTGACTTTCCAGTGGGGTTCGATCTCCGTGCACCAGGAGAAAACCAAGAAACAAGACTAGGAACTTGACAAGTACCGACTATTTTTCTATTAAACGATATTAAACGTGATTCATCAGTTCATATTAGTTATTAGTTTATTCCGTCCTAACTCCCTGATCTGTGGAATCCTTGGGTTCTCTGTCGCAAAGTTGGTTTCTCATTGGCAAAGAAGCATCGCAATCAAAAAGTCCACAATCATGCAGTGATTTTCTTGTCAACATTGTGATGTTCCATTGCTACATTTGATTCGCAGAGGGCATGCCATTCACGTAAACTAAAGTGGCAGCTTGACAACATTTGACAACTCTATCCTTCAATCGTCTACGGCACACACGCATATCCAATAGACGTATGTACTTACTTTTCATTGTTTGAATATCTATAGAGGTGCCCCTAAATCCAATGGTGTTTCATCATGTTTCAGGATTACCTCCATTAAAGTTGCAATAAAGTGTGGTATACTAGCCATTTGCAGAAATACCCAAGAATCATGCGGTGGGGTTATATATGTCCATTGGCTGATATCACAACTTATATTCCATGTGTATACATATCATCTCAAGTTGGTGATATCCATTTGATTTGACCATCTGTATATCATATCAAGTTCCTACATCCAGTTGGTGATTTGAACAAAAACATAATTTACACATATTAACGCATATCCAGTTAAATCAGTATCTGATACCATGTATACATATGGGAAACATCTATAACTGTTTTAAGATGTATATCCATTACCAGTTGTATACATGGGAAATAGCATATGTATATCTAGATCCCATATGTATACATGGTACCATGGTATTATATCCATTACAAGTTGTATAACATGTATATGATAATGATGCATTACCATTACCAGCTGTATTACCATTACCATTTTAATCAGTATGTGATACCATGTATCATTTTCCCATCTTTCAGCATCTGAAAACGCGCCATTTGCACCGCCATTCACCGGAACGTCACCGTGTCGCCATGTCTTTCCTCCGAGGTGAATGCGTTGCTGCGCACTTCTCCAACGAGTCTGGGATCCTGAACGCTGGGCACATGTGGTCATGAAAATTCCATCTTTAGATATGGACTCTCACACACACATATATATATAGATATAGATAGATAGATAGATAGAAAGATAGATAGATAGATATGTATAGATATGTATAGATAGATATGTATAGATATGTATAGATAGATTTGTATAGATATGTATAGATAGATTTGTATAGATATGTATAGATAGATAGATAGACAGATAGATATATATATATATATATATGAATATATCCAGGTAGGTCATGATAGAACTATAGTTTTATAAACATACTTAATGACATATACACTACATATTCTTTTTAATTTGTATGCATATATATATATGTGTGTGGGTGTGTGTGTGTGTGTGTTGGGCTTTGTCAATTGTGGGGCTGGGGGACCACACAAATTACGCACATGAGTAATCAAACATGGCTAGCTGGGAAAATCGACGAGCTAAATGCATGGAGATATCCTGCTATGTCAGCCCCTCATGCTAGTTACTTCTGTAGAGTGTAGGGACTGGACGACAACCTCATCACAAATCATTGTACTATAATACGGGGAATACCCTTTGGTAATCAAAAGTGGCAATTGCAAATCCCCTTATAAGTGGACGTTTTAATAAAATCAACGATATGTGGGGAATACATGGGGAATTGTCCATTGCCACATTTGTTTACCGGAGGGTACTTAAGGGGAATAGTTCCAAGGACGGGATAATCCCGTTATTTCCGAAGGCCAGGTACACCTGCCAGTAAATCATCGATGAAAGTAACCCGCCTCACGTGGGAAACCGTGTTAGTAATTTCCCGCTATTTTTGTAGGACGTCAATGTTATATTCTTGGAGGTTGCTACACATGAACTGAGCTTTACCGGCCAATGTAGCAAACCTAATAATGAACCAAATGCCATAACAAGCCAAGGGAACACCTTACCCAATAAGCCCAAATTAGGGATTGTTGTTTATATAGTGGTTTTTATTTCATTCCAACTAGTTGCCCATCAAACATATTATTTCAGTCAGGCTTTACCAGCTATAGTCTTGAGATGGTTTGCTATTGGGTGTACCACCTGTTTGAGCTGTTAGGGGTCCCAAAACATGCGTTATTTGTTTTCCAGGATGTTGGTTGGATGATGTGTATATCATTGTTGGTTGTATCACAGTTAGATAAAATCACTGTTTTCCACTACATCACCATATCATGCGTAGTTATTTCTATTAGATATTCCCATTAGATTCCCATTACCTTCTGTGGCTAGCTGGGAATTACCCTATATCTATATATATATATAGATATATATAGATATATAATTATATATATATATAAAGGCTTCTTGCTGAGGAAATCAACGAGCTAAATGGTGTTTTTTCCGGCAAGCCACGTTTGGTGACACCCGAGGGCAAGTCATCCCAACTTTTGGAGGCCGTCGTCATATGATTCTTGGTCCCAATAGACTCCAATGTCAGTAAAGCAATGTCATCTACACCACCCATTTACGGTAAATTTGGATAAATTAGGGTAATGTTCACTGTTGCTTTGCGCAAGTTTTAGGATGAAAACTTCACTGCCCTTCGCAGTTCTTGGCTCCTAAAAACGTTCCGCCCTGCCTTTCGCATGCCTTAGTAGCGAAGATAGCGCAAGGTGCGCGGCTGATGGGATTAGAAACGTAGGAGGAGCTGAGCAATCCAAAAAAATACCGAATTGTACACGATAAATGGATGGTGGTTCTTCAGTCCTTAGATCTCTAAGTCACCATGGTTGGTGAAACAATACTAATTCATGTTCATGGCCTAACGACTTGGATGATTTGGGGTAGTCCAATGATTGCGGAAAGATGGGTGGGCCGCTGGGCCATCGGCATTCCCATGCACTGATCAGCGAGGACACCACACATGTCGTTTTTTTGTTGGGGAGCCATGGGCAAGACATAGTCAATACTACCCAAAGCTTCATATTCTCTGTGCACCAGAGCCATATTGGCAGCTGGGATACCAAGGTACGCTTCTAAGATTCTAATATATTGAAAGATATAAAAGTTGGAGGTAGGTCATGATTTTCATCCCAGTTGGTCATGATATCAACTTTACAAAAGTTTGGGGATGGTATCGACGAGTGGGAACTCCCGTCATGGTTTCAATCTCAGCCTCGAAGAGAACTCCGATGGTATCATCCCATGGGCCCATGGGATAATACCCTTTTGTTGCCAGCATGCACATGATTTGAGAGCGATACATTTGTAAAACACACGCACACACATATATATATATACACATATATAATAGCTCCTGTTTTGTGATGTTTTCAATAATGAAATGTTTTGATATTTTGATGATCTGTGTAACAAACTCATATGAGCATTTATGTTGGGGTACTGTATGTGGGAGATCCAAAAGCCGCCCAGATATGTCGAATATATTGGATCCTGCATCACCTTGTTCCACTGGTATGGAACACCAATGAACCATGGAATTGTGACCAAGACTTCCCTTGAAAATGACCCACATGTGAGCAAATCGCAAGTACAGATCGACTAGTTGGTGAATTTTTCCCTGGTAATTGATGATTAATGAATGATGATGATGAACGATGAATGATGAATGATGATGATGATGATGATGAATCCGCTAGAGATGATGGTATCACTCCAAGCTGAAAGTTTGTTTTTAATGCTATAGCCTTGTTTGTCGGGTGAAACCACCAACCAGGCCGTGCCTTATTTGACGAAGGTGCGGATCTATATCGCTTTGATGGGCCATGGAGTTAAGTGGTAAGCATTGGATATTCATGAGGTATTAATGGGATATTCATGCGATATTAATTGGGAGAATGCTATAACAAATTTGAATTCCTGAGGTGGTCCCTGGGATAATGGTAATTTAATGTTGGGATCAAGGCATATAATAGCAAAATACCAACCATGATGAATTAATGTCTATATTAATTCCATTTCACCATAGTGAGAATATGTCAAACAAATCTAGCCTTATTAGGTATTTCATTTTTTTAATGAATTTCATTTATTCACATCATTTCACATGATGAATATATTCCTGGCTGGTGGTTTGGATTTTTTTTATTTGTCCATTTCATATATGGGATGTCATCCTTCCCATTCACGACTTCATATTTTTCAAGATGGTTAAAACCACCAACCAGTAATATATCTAGTTATATCACCATTGTATACATTGTATACCATTGTATACCATTGTATACCATTGTATACCATTGTATGTTTACCAGAGGGTATATCCAACAATATCTTAGTATTGTCCCATCATTGTTCTGTTAACATCCCTAAAAAAACAAATTAAACCATAGTAAACCCATGGTTTTCCTATGGCTTTCCCATTAAAACCTCTATTTTCCTATGGGGTTATGGTTTCCTATTTTAGATGAAGAAAATTCCTTTTGTCCATGACAGACCCAACGACCCATGGCCTGAAAGGCGTTGTGAACTGTTCGTTGGACAGTCTGTTGGAGTTTCTTGGTGTTGTTGGTATTGTTGGTTTCTAAAGGAATCTATATGACATTATTTGACTATACTATATGTATATAACTTTTTTAGAACTTTTATAGAACTATTTGTCCAACTATAAATCCAACTATATGCAACTATTTGCAGCTATATGCAACTATATGCAACTATATCTCAACTGTATCCAACTTCAGTAATGTAGTAATATATTCACAATGTCATAAGCCATAAGCCATAGAAGGTGATGGTTGAAATCCTAGCGATTTACAGTAAAAGCTGGAAACCCAATAGCAAACCTACCCTTTGCTGGGAATGGTTTATGACATCGGTTTACCACATTAGTGATCTTTAGTGAAAACTTGTGAGTGCAAAGCAGCAAACAACTGAAATATTGTAGCTTTGGGGTTGAGCAACGGCCCTGTCAAACTGCCCGCAAAAAATGGAGAGAGCGAGACAGAGATGGTCCAAACGTCATTTCACCAGAAGTTATAGGCCTACTGAGAATGTAGGTAGATGTCCCACTTGAAACAGCCTGCCCGCCCGTAATTTATGAAGGAATACACACCCAGCAACCAAAGTGTGTCCCAAAAATCAACCATAATGAACCAGAGTAAACATAATAAATGTACATGAAATTGCTAACTTCGTACTTTACCAACTTTGGAACCATGGCCCAGCACCTCAATGATTTCACCATTTCACAGTGATTTCGGCGCCAGGTTTGGGAGGGTTGCACATGGATTTTTGGGAGCTGCACCGTCGTTTGGGTGAATGTTATGAGGCGCGGAAAAGGTGATCAAAATTGTTTGGGACCATGGGATTTAAGCCATAAAAGTGATGAAAAATGGGGAATTAACCCATAAAAGTGGTGGAAAAATTGGGGATTAACCCATAAACGTGGTGAACAATGGGGGATGACTGTGGTAAACCCAACTAAATCACCAATGGAAATAGTGATTCATGGTGATTGATCCATGAAAAATGGTGATTCAGGGGGGTATTACTATGGTAGTTTCAGTAACAAACCACAACCAATAGTAGATGTTCATTCTTGGGTATAGGGAAGATGAAAGATTATGATAACATTTGTGTTTTTCTGCGGTACCTTATCTTCAGACAAACCTATATAATCAGAAAATACCTACCATATGCAAGGTTGGGCGCCCAAGATAGGGCAGTTGGTAAACATCACTAGCTTAACTGTGGTTTATGGATTTGTAACAAAGATACCAACTCATAAGCGGGGCACCACTTTGCAGGCATAGTTGGCGTATGAAATACGCCATCTCTTGTTGGTTTTTGTGGAGAAAACAAACAAAGCCAAGGCGATAAACCAGTAATTTTCAATTGTTCATAGTTGCTTATTGGGCTGTATATATATACACATACATTTTTGAGATATTTCCTGACGTGTTATATATTTAACGGGTCGCCTCACCATTTCATGTCGATTTGTTCTCGATCGAAACTTGGGACACAGGCTCATTCCCGCGATTCTTGTGCGGATGACCATGGAAGTCAGACAATCGATGGTTGGCGGCAGGACAAGCTTTAGATATTATACATACATGTTATACATCGTTTGTTTGTTTGTTTGTTTGATACATCGTGTATCAAGATGCTTGAACATATCATCATGTATGAATACCATCCCTTCCCTCTTTCACATAAACCATCCCCCACAAACTTTGGTAGATGTAGGGAATAACAGCACATATTGGGATCAAACAATGGGGGTGTTTAGTATCAGGGCGATGGGGTCTTTATGGTTTCCAAGACCAAACAATTTTTGGCCCTTACTGGCAATCCAAAATCCCTTAAAAACAAAGTGGTGCTTCAGCAACAACCAAACAAAGAAGGGTGCTTTGAAGACAGGGAAAACAAATGATGCGCCAGTGTTTGATCCAAGGGTCCCAAAGCATGGCCTACCCTCTAGTAACCTAACATAACTGTGGAAAATCACACTTCTCAATAGGGAAATCAACTATACATTGCCACTTTCCATAGCTATGTTCATCATTATCAGAAGGTATTCCCACTAATATCCCATTATCATCGCTATTAAACATGATCAAACCATATTAAACCATATTCAATTATATTTAACCCATATTAAACTATATTAACCAAGGTTAAACCATATTGAACCATGTTAAACCATATTAAACCATGTTAAACCTTATTGCACCATGTTAAACCATATTAAACCATGTTAAAACCATATTGAACCATGCTAAACCATATTGAACAATTTTAAACCATATTGAGCCATTTTAAACCATATTGAACCATGCTAAACCATATTGAACCATGCTAAACCATATTAAACCATGTTAAACCATATTGAACCATGTTAAACCATATGAAACCATGTTAAACCATATTGAACCATATGAAACCATGTTAAACCATATTAAACCATATTGAACCATATTAAACCATGTTAAACTATATTAAACCATGTTAAACCATTTTGAACCATGTTAAACCATATTATAATGTTTTAATTACTATAAATGGCTGACCTCTTCCGCACTTCGTCCGCGACGGGCACCTTTTTTCGTCCAGGCCGATCTGGGAGCCCAGCACCGCGCTAGTAACCTGGCGGGACGTCAACGATGGCGGGATGGCCTGGTTTATTACCTTCTGGAAAATCATTGGCAAATCCTATTTTAATGGGAAAACCATAGGAAAACAATAGGAAATGGAGGTTTTATATGGTTTACTATGGTTTAATATGGTTAGATAGGGATGATAATGGGATATTAATGGGAATACTTTGATAATGACCAACAGCCTGGTTTATACCCCCAATATCTATGGTATACTACTATTAAATCCCCATATATGAATGGTAATATCCATCATTTAATATCCTATTACCCAGTGTTTAATCACCAGCATTAAACTAACATAGCTATTGAAAATGGCCATTGATAGTTGATTTACCTATTCCAAACATTTCCAAACGGTGATTTTCCGTAGTTATGTTAGTATACTTTGCGGTATAGATCTGATTTCTAGTTCACGGGGGTTATACACCAACATATGACGGCCAATGTATCAAAGATTGGCCATGTTCTTCCATGCTTCTTGCCATGCGGAAATGTTTTTTCAGCCGCCCTAGGCGACGGAACATTACATTGTTCCTCCCGAGACTTTGGCCGGGAAAGTCCCATATGTGCATCAGACATGAAGGAACCTGGGTCCGGGTCCCCAAGGGAAGTTGCGGTTGCAGGTTCTTGTTAGCGCGGCGAGTCGTTGTGGTGATTTTGATGGATCTTGGATGAGTGTGTTTGGACGTGGGGTGTTGCCGCATTACATAGTGTTACCAATGTAATGGCGGGAATAACGGTGATAACCCATTGCAATTTGAGGTAGTCTATACTACAAACCGGCTCTTGAGAACATGCGAAGATTATGAACTCTTTCAGATCTGGAACCTTGATGACACCGTTCTGTCAAGTGCTTCAAGAATGAACTGTGTCATTTTTTCGGGATTCTAATGACTTACTGATTTTTGGTGATATGACTCATGTTTCGAGGCTCTTCACCAAGGTTTTTCACTTGTTTGGGATTCGAATGATATGCACGTGCTTCTTGGATGCCCATTTTGTTGCCATTCTATGGCTGTGGGTTTAAACTTGACACCAGGAAAATGGATACCCTCTGGTAAACAGCCACATAACTATGGAAAATCACAATTTTTGATGGCTAAATCAACTATAAATGGTAATTTTCAATAGCTATGTTAGTTTGTTAATGAGTTGATGACGAAAGAAACAAATCTGCGGAAGCTTGGAATTTGATGTTGGCCCCCAGATTGGAATCCATTGCTGTGCAGGTTAGCCATTAGGTCATTGTTGTTGCTTGGGTATTTCAGGATCAGATGGGTTTGTCATTCATCCACTGCAAGTTCCACTCTTACGAAGCTCTGGAATAGTCAGCTCAGATCTTCCACTTTGTGCATTATATTGTTGTCCATGCATCCCTGGGGACCAGCACCAAACCATGTATGCAGGAATATGTACTACCTATAGAGATAACGGAAAAAAAAATAAACATTTTACTGCGAGTGATCCCCACCGTGACAAATTATTTTGTCATAGTTTCTGACATCTCATTTGGAAGCATATATGGTATATATTTTCTGACATCCTATTCTGGCATTCTATCTGGCATCCTTTCTGGCATCTATTCGGACATTTTCTCTGGCATTCTATAGGCATTCTTTCTGATATTCCATCTGGCATCTATTCTGACATTCTTTCTGGCATCTATCGTTGCAACTCTGATAAAATCTGGAGACCCTCACCTGGCAGGTGGGCAACTTCAATTCTTTTGTTTATTTTTATTGTTGTTTTTTTCCCATGGTTTTCCTAATTTCCGGATTTCCACCCATGTTTCTATCGTGTTTTTTGGGGGGCGGGTTGACGCCGAGGTTCCTGGAAAAAAGGATTGCGCCGCCGCCGCCTTCGGGGTCACCCAAGATGTTGTTGAAAGAAGGGTCCTGTGACTTGGAGAAAAACATCCCAGTGGCGCACGGCATTCCAGGTAGTAATTGATTGTTGTTCTGCAGATACAAAGGGTAAAACACCCGAAAGATATTATATATATATAATGCATCACTTTTAGTAAGTTCACAGTCAACAAGCACACGGTTCATTTTTTGTTTATAGCATGTTTTTTTGGATATAAATATTTTTCCCAGAGGGTGATTTTTCAGGTTAAACTACTTAAAGATCGCATGAAACCCTACGACATGTGGCGATTGAGTGAAGGGAGGCGCTGAAGATTAGTTGGTAGTTTAGTGGGGCTTCCGAATATCGCCAGCTGAAATCAATCAACTAGTGGTTTTAGTAATATGGTAAACCCGATCATAACTATCCCTAGCCATGCATGGTTAGTAAAAATAATTCCCTTATGGTCGGTTTATCACATTTCTGACTTCCGGCCACCTTCAAGGAGAGCCTACCAGCCTTTCTTGTTCTGGAATTGAATGGAGCTGTATGCGTCGTTTAACAGCCATTGATCCTAATCATACAAGTGATACAAGTGACAGGTGAGTGTTGAAAACTCACGGCTCAGATGTTTCATGTGGAGGATGACAGCCAGACTGCTTTCATGTGGATAAAAGCTGAGGGAACCGCGAAGGTAAAGGATTGAAAATTACAATTACCAATTTTGTCGGCCCATTTATTTTTGGTGGAATTTCCAGCTATCCTATAAGGGACAAGGTAAATGATTCACAAACTGACGTATGTCCAGTATCAGGGGTGATTTTGTTCATGCATCAGAAGCAGATGTGGCATATGAACCGTTCAAACAGATCAACTTATCACGTTACACAGCATGGTTTCTCTGAGTTTCTTTGAGAATAGATGGTACCCTCAAGAGTTGATGACCCATTGACGAACCATTGTTTCCCATTCTTTCCAATGGTACCCTCAATGGTTTCCCATTGTTTCCCACCAAACTCTGGCCCTTCTGTGGCTACGGCGCCGAGTCGACGGCGTCGCGGCGTCCTCCGCTTCGCTTCCTGTACCGGGCAGCAGCAGCGGCGGCCTCCGGAAGAAGAAGAGCCGCTCACTAAAAAGCCCTGTGGGTGAAACGCGTGCCTTGGTGGCGGAATGAGGAGAAGGATCCAGGAATGGTACCGTTCTTCGTAGCTTCTGGGAAACATACAAAAAAACCATTATCCCGGCAAGAGGCCCCAAACAGTGTGCAGTTAGGATTCTAAAGGGAAAGGCGGAAAGGACCTAAAAGCATCAGTGGCTGCAAGCTAGCAGGACAAGAGCGACCCTAGTAGTGAAAAGAAGAGATACATGATACCAGGTAAGATTCTGTAAGTTCCCTTTGCAAAGATCTCTGTAGAAGATCCTGCGCAATATCTCCTTGACAGGTTCTTTGTAGAAGCTGCTGTGCAAGATCCCCGTGTAAGGCTATCTAGACAAGGTGTCTAGAGGAGATCTCCACAGAAGATCGTTGTAAGGGATCTCAAAGTAAGATCTCTATATATAAGAGGTCTCTTGGCACGGATCTCTATAGCAATGGCTCTGTGCAAGATCTCTTTATAAAACCTTTGTACAAGTTCTCTAGAACAGTGCTCTCTATAGGAGCTCTGTTGGTGTAAGAGACCTCTTGCAGATCCCTGCGGAAGATCTCCATGAGAGGTCTCTTAGCAGCTTAGCACGATCTCTGTAGAAGCTCCCTAGGGTCTCTTGGCGGCATGTCTGTATGAGCAGTCGAGATGCACATGGACATTTCACAAGAGCCATTTTGTTTGGAAAGTTGCAGGGAAAAGGCCGGACACGAATCCCGGGGCCAGCGTTTTGTGCGAGCCTGCGCCGTCGAAATGCACATGGACATTTCACAAAAACATCCCTGTGTATATTTCCACTATGAAATGGCTTGACCCATGTTCCATTCCAAGGGCATTTTTGCAAAACGGAGGCATTTTGTAAGGTTTTTTTCTGGTCATTTTGTAAAAAGCGTGTTTTTTTTGGAAAAAAGATTGCGGGGTTTCCCGGGGAAAGTTGGACATGTACAAGTAAGACATATTTCCAAAGCAACCATTCTATAAGACACAAGCTTATAAGATGATTGGGTTTGGGGCCTGGAAATAAACTTGGGGCATGCATTTTGTAAGGCGCCAATTTTTGTTTTTTCTTGGGTTCACCGGTGTTTGCTGGGGAATCACACCAAGCCTCCTGCCCAACCCATTTTATAAACTCCAAACCATGGATCTTTGTAAGGTTAACTGCTGGGTCCCTTACAAAATGGTTGCCCTGATGTCACGTGGTAGATGTGCAGGGGGATACAAAAGCGATTTTGTGTGGAAAATTAAAGGGAATAGGCTGGACACGGATGATACCACCTCGATTGAACACCGGGCCTTAACTCTGACCGTAAGAACCCCTCAGTGTGGCCACACTGCTTGGGGAATGACAAATTATTTGCAATAGGTAAATCAACTGTAAATGAACCATTTTCCATAGCTATGTTGGTTTACCGGAGTAACACCATGTGAAACAAATTCTACACAGGAGATACCCCAGCCCAAATTGTTTGAGGGTTCTTTGGTAGGGGGTTTGCGGCTCGTTACGTGTCGCGGGTCTCTAATCGACTCGCGCCGTGCCTATAGCGATTGCTGTCGTTTTGAAGGTGTGAAATGTCATTTCGCTTCGCAGGCGTGGGACCTCGTGGCACTCAGGCGTGAAGTGTTGCGTGGTTCTATAACCGCGTCGTCACCGTGCCTATTGCGATTGCTGCAAAACGTGACGTTTTGAAGATGTAAAATGGCATTTCACGTGGCAGATGTCGCACTTCGTGGCACTTAGTAGTGAAAAAACAATTGCGCGACACCCAATTCATACCCCTCGCTGTCCTTTGCTTCCGGGAAGTCAAAAAAACTGGCTGGCATATTTTTTTTTTTGCTTCTAGCCTTCTAGAAGACACTATTGGAAATCAAAATATTTTAGGCTGTCTGCTAACTGTTTTGGCTGGCAGCCAGGTTTTCGCACTTCTTGACAATGGCTGGTAGCCAATTTTTTGGCTGCCAGTATTGGAAATGCAGCTTAGTAGTTGGAATTTGCTAAATATCACCTTATTGCATGTTAGTTTTCAAACAACCAGATGCATTTGTAACAATTGTAATTACCAGTCAGTTACTAGCCATTGGATATCAAAGTTTGGTCATAGGTTTGGGATAGGATTGTGTGCTCAACCGAACTAGGCAAGTTCAGTTTTTCATTTATGCATCCAAAACTGTAGTTTTCTGTGGTCAATGGGTGGGAATTGATTATTTGGATTGGTTCATAACCCCATATGCAACCCGGTTAGTAGATCCCCTGATCGGGTTTCCCATTGTAAATAGCGTATATATATATATGTATTTATTTTTACGGTACGAACAGCATGTATAAGAAGTTGAAATCCCATCACCACTTCACCTGGAAGCTGCCCGCTGCAGGTAATGTTGGGTCTGGTGGTGTTGCTTCTGGCAGCGACGGCAACGAAAAAATTGAAAAACCGCTTCGGAAAGTGAGTTGCTCGGAGCGTCAGTTGCCGCACTGTTCCCTTAAAGATTCACATCTAAAATTTATGTAGGGCCTTGCAAAATTTGTAAGCTGGTCTATTTCCCGAACCACTTAGATCTGCAGTTTGCCCTCTGGTCATTTAATCGAACTACTTATGTATCATCACCACTTTGTAGTGGGTAATTCATCTATAAATGCGCCATCTATATCATTCTATACCATAGCGGCGCACTGTTAGTTGAAGGTGTGTTAACCCAGCACTGACCAAGCCCATTCTGGGTGCCCGAAATTTCCACTGTTGTTGCGAGTTTGTGGTTCCATATGTAAACAATTGTATATATATATATATGTGTGTGTGTGTTTGGTTTATGGGGACTTAAGGGATAGATTATTTAATAATTCCATCCCCCGTTCATATATTATAAACTCCCCCAAGAACCGATAAACAAGTAGGGGATGAAATCATATATTTGGGACCATAGAATGGGGTGTTTAGTGTGAACGGGGGATGGGATTATATGTGTCACGGTAAAAAGAGCTTGTATAGTGTTATGGGAATGTGAAATGAATTTCATGAATGATCGCGAAGATTCAAACAATTTTCCCAGAACTGCAGGGCATCCTCTTGGTTCAATGCACTTTGCTGATGAGGCAATGTTGGGAATTTCCCGCTTTGGTTGATTTTTTTTTTGCGACACAGTCATCGTTAAACCATGGGATATGATCTTCCAATGCTATCAAGACTTTCAGCCTCAGACAGTGCCCACAAAGATTTTCAATAGCCAATTATGGCTGCAAACATTTACTTTTCACCATTGGTGCGCCTTGGCACGCGGAAATTAGATCTTTGGTGCCCTTCCGGCCTGTAGTTAGACTCTTAGTTACCTGCCACTATACTAACAACATGTAGAAAATCAAACTTTTTAAATAGGTTGATCATTGAACATCATTGAACTAGATGGTCATCTCTGCCATAGCCGTGCTAGTTTACCAGAGGGTAAGGCAAGATGGTGACAGAAAACTCCTAGGTGTGTCCCAAACGGTGCCAGCCATGCCGCCAGTGTGCCTGGGCTGGGTCTTTGAAACCAGCAAAACTTGTGATTTAACTAACAGGAATGCGGATTTAAACAACAGAAATATACAATTATACATGCATAGTGATTTCACCAGGGACAGCTGGGATTTAACCGACATAAATAGCGATCGAACCAGGGCAGATGTGGATTTAACCGCGATTAAATGTGGACTTCACCACCCAAAACCTGGGGTTTGACCACCGCAGTAGTGGGTTTTCTGAAGAGCCTGAAACAGGTATCGACTTAGATGATGACCTCACTTAGTGGCTGGTTTGCTTTGTGTCAAATTGAATCAATCCGCCGCGTTGCCAAGTTAAACACAGCTGCAAGATTTACAGATTGCTTGTCATCCCAGGACTCGCAACTGCACAATAAGCCAATAAGTTTCGTGTGTGATTGGTATGCATGTATATACCCTAAGGGTCCAGAACTATTGTTAAAATAGTCTCCGGGAAACAACTATTAAAGTGCATCGGCGATGGTTTAGGGTCATTGGATATACATGAATATGCATGGGTATTCATAGTTCATCATGGATCCACACTGGCCCAGCCCATCTGAACTAATCAAGAGGCATGGACACCTTCGGTGAGGAATTGGTCATGAAATTCACGAATGTTCCTCTTGAATTGGGAGTAAGTGACATTATCGAAAGGAATAAGACAATTAAAAATCTGCTATTTTCATCTCAACCAATCTGAATCAATCGCGTTATATTGACACCTTCAAAGATGGAATCTGTCATGGTAATCATGAACGCGTTCCTCTTGATTTGGGAGCCAGTGAACGGAAGGAATGAGATTGCCGATCGGTAGACAGGAATGAGATAGCAAATAAATGAACTGTGATGTGGGCCGACACATAGCGTGAAAAACAACAAGAAACAGCATGAAAAAAACGTGATCAACCATTTCAGACCGTGGAAGACCATTTCTTTGCGTGAAAGACATAGGCCCTAAAATGGCCTGAAGCACTGTGAACCACTGTCCATTTTGGAATGGCTTGCTGTAACCCTTAAGACACATTAAGACATGATGTTTCTCATGTGACCAGCTGGATGCAAAACAACCGTTCTTAAGGAATGAGGATACAAAAGAACCGATGTCTATATCCATTTTTTGATCTTTTGAGGGGGATCAGGTTGGATATCACCAGGTTCAATGTCGAAAGAGTTGAATGTCCGCCCACGTGCATGATATCGAAGTTTGCTAGGAAACATGTGCTGCTCTTTTTGTGTGCAGTTTCTGTGCCTGGGATGTCGTTTTTTTTTCGAGATTCTGAATGGGAGCTCAGCGTGATTAGGCATGATTGCCATAGACTATTGGGAAATTGGTGGGTATAGACTTTACGTGTAAGACCATTTTTTAAATAGCCTTTAGATCCTCAGGGTATATATATATATATATACACATTTAGTTACATTTTTGTTTTTATCCAAAAATATGCAACATATTCCAATACATATATATATATGCAAAAAATATACATAGGGATTTGTATCAATACAATTCTATAAAGTTTATATTTATATACATTTATGTGTGCGTCTTTTTAGCAGGGGGAACTAAACCATTTGGCCACCACTGCATCCCACAGTGGGTGGCAGTGCTTGAGGACTGCGAACTCCTCGCTTTCCTCGGACGATCGTTCGGCAATGATCACCTATGAGCCCCGGACTTGCTGGGCACAAAAGAGTGCCTTGGCGGAGGCAAATTCCGGAGAAGAGGGAATATTTCATGGATATATCATGGGATAATGGAATAATAAATTCAAGTTAGGATTAATAAGCCCCGTAATTAACCATACCCGGCTCTCCCCCAATTTTAGGGGCAATACGTCAATTAGGTAATGTCTTCTTCCCCCAACAATGGGTGCCTCCCCCAAGTGAATCATAACCGTCCGGAACCTCCAGGTTTGGTATAAACTAGGATTCCTGATGGTCCGTCTAACCAAAAAAGAAACGCGCTTTTCAAAGAAATATATATATATATATATATAAATACATATTTGTATGTAAATATATATATATTATATAGATAATTATTCATATATATATATAAATATATATATATATTTATTTAATGCCACAAAGGGTACCCCATGAGTGGTGCCAGAAAAAAGTGTGCGCCCCGCAAAAAGAAAGACAACCTCCGCCCTTTGCATTGTTTTTTTCTTTTTCCCCTTTGTTTCCTTTTTCTTGTCATCAACGAGGGATGTTGTTTTATTCGGGGTGGTATTGAATTTTAGGGGTGGTTATTGAACCGGTCTTGCCACACATTGAGTATAAGTCTATTAGTGGCCTAGTGGATATTAATGGAGAATAACCTATATTTACTTGTCGCGTACTGTGTTACCCTCCGGTAATTTAACATAGCTTTTGAACATTGCCATTAAATTTATAGTTGATTTACCCATTAATAATGGTGATTTTCTATAGCTACGTTAGTTTACCAGAGGGTACATTCTTTGAATGGAAAATCATCATTTTCTAGAGGTCATCGAACTATAGGGCTCCTTTGCCATAGCTATGTGACAAATCACGGGGCATTTCTCCTGCTCACCATGCCACTTGACAGCCGGTCCAACAAATGGTGACTACAAGGTGGGTGCTCCAGTTCGATAGCTAAGTTAGTTTAAGTTGGTTTATCATTCCGATTGGTAGGTTTTTTTGGGAGATATATCCATGAATCCATGAATGTTTTTCCGACTGTTTTTCCAACCAACAAACACAACTTGCGGTGCACCAGCTTGTATGTCAAGTTTTCGAATTATATGGAATTACGGTCATTCTGCGCAGGACCAGCCCATTCTTAGTTGAATGACGATTGATGAGGGTTGCTCCAGAAATGCTGGTTTCGATATGGGACACCAATGGCATTTGTAACAATGAGACTAAATATAAATATTGTATATATATATATATCTATGTATATATTGTGGCTGGTTCTATCAGGAACTAGACCCCGCCCTTTGGACTGTTGATGTGGCGTGTTGTTGGGTATACACATACCCCCTTGGCATCTTCAAAAATACCCCTTGGCATCTCCAAAAATACCCCTTGATATCTTGCGAAAATACCCTTTGACATCTCCAAAAGACCATTTGAAATATTACAAACATACCATTTCCCATCTCCACTTAAACACCCCTTGAAGGCCTCCAAAAAAACCCTTCACATCTCCAGATATACCTCACATGTCCAAAAAGTTCTTCAAGGTTGGGGCATTACCCAGGAAGAGTACGATGGGGTATTAAACCGTTGGTTAAATGGATAGTTTCGCCTTGGTGATGGTGTTTTTATACCTTACTGGAAGGGTTACTTTTTCCCAACTGGAAGGGATATGTTTACCCGAAGGGTTAAGGGTTATTTTTACCACAATGGAAGGATTCCTGTATTTATACTCCAATGGAACGGTTCCCCAAGTATGTGGCAAACATTTTGGAACCTGGGACCCGCGGATGTTGACCAGGTTCAATATTGTTCCATCCCTTCTTATTTGGGTTTTGCCCAAACCCATTTATGACACTTCTATAAGTCTGTATGCAAACAATGGTTGAATGTTTGTTTCACTGAATGCCTTCCGTGGGAATACGGTGAGTTTTGGGCTGATTCCCAACACAGTTTGTAAGTGCTCTTCAGCAATGGATTTAAACAAAATGGCTGAGAAAGCCAAGGCTAGCCGTGAACCATTAACGCAAGAAGTATTCAACCCTTCTGTTCCTTTCAAAACACTCGCAAGTTGGATTGCCAGGTTGGGTCGCCGCTAAATAACCCAAGTGTGATGCTTAAACCCCTGTTGTTTGAGTCCCTTATATGTGTTGCTGATGCTTATTCCAGGAAAAAAAACACACCTGAGTTCCAGCCTTAAAAACACCATCCAATTTTTGCAGGTCGACTCGGACGGCGTGGGAGCACAAGCATTAATGCTATCAACCCCTTGAATGGAACTGCTAGCAACACCTTGCACGGACTGAAGGGGTTGGATGGTTTTGGGACTCGGAGTTACTTCATGTTTTTTTTGGGGGGGAGGTTAACTACTTGTGGGCGCATCCTATTTCGCAAGTCGGTTATGTCCATGTTTTTGCTCAGGGATCAGCAGGATTTATCGTCTTGTACTTGGGGCGGCAAACTTACTTGGCAACTGGGACGCATGCACATCCAAGTACCGCGCGAATAAAGACGAAACAGCCAAAAGGGTTGGGAGGTGAACAATTTCATACCCAGTTGATTGGTGGTTTCTGTTATCAAAAGATTTGGGAGTATTTGGGCTGAAACCACGAACTAGTACTTCATTTGTTTGACATTTCACGTTTGCTTTTTCTTTTCACATGGTGAATAAGTGTTTGTTCTTGCTTTTATGTTTTCCAATTGGAACTTCACCCGCCGGGGAATCCATGTTTTCGGGGTCATTTTTCTACGAAAACTATGGGTCCATGTGACTTCGCCCGGACAGGAGCCGATTCAGAAGGCAGGACGGTGGAGTCGATGCTCAAGAGTCAGAGGGGTGCTAGGACGCTTGGCCGAACAAACATCGGACACAAATCATTTTTTAAAAGCAACTAACAGTGCTAGAATAATATGTAATGTATATCCACACATACATATATATATATATATATAAATGCAATATAGATAGATAGATAGATAGATAGATAGATAGATTAGATTAGATTAGATTAGATAAGATAAGATTAGATTAGATTAAATAAGATAAGATGAGATAGGATAGGTAGATAGCTAGATAGATAGGTAGACAGATAGATAGGTAGATAAATAGATAGATAAATAGATAGATAGATGGATAGACAGACAGACAGACAGACAGACAGACCGACAGACAGACAGACAGACAGATAGATAGATAGATATACACAAATACATATTATATAAGTATGTGTGTGTCGGTTCCTGGAATGCTTATGAGATTTTTTTCTTGTGCACATAGTGCACATAATTACATACATATACAGATATTTTTACACACACACACACTGTGGGATGTCTAGGCAGACACACCTGCAATACCCGTAGATATGCATACACGGTAGCACGTGAAAATCAAGGTTCCGCATGCTGGTGAAACCTGATTGATTTCAATGACTCTGTGTCGCGTCGTAAGGGAAATCTGGCAACCCTGCTTGGCTAGGAGCAATAGATGTCCTTTTCCCATTGATTGGTTGATGAATAGAGGGGTTTGTTTATCCCTTTAAGTGAAAGGTAAATGATGATATATGGTATACCAAACTGGCCCCTCTATTTTTACCAAAAGGACATTATTGCTAGGAACAGTTGAGGCAAAAACGGCGATGTTTTGGTCGCGCATCTTCAAATCATGAAATCCCATGGGCGACTTGGAGGTCCCCTTTGGGGGAAAGCGGCTAAATGATACTGTACATATGTGTCGAATTCCTACTCATAGGACACACTCAGGCGTGTTCAAATTGGCAGGAAGGCCTCAGAAGTATCAGCGCCTGATCTTGAGCCATTGGAAAATCTTGTTCGAGGGAAGGTTGATCTTGGCAATGGAAAAACAGTTCCTCAAGGAATTCAAGGTGATGGCCATGCCGGTTCCCTTGATCTACCGAGCACAAAAAACCACCTGGGATGCCTTGAAGATCCCGGAAGTGTCACCGTGGGATCTTGCGGATGCTGGGGTAAATCCAATTACTACAAGGTCCGTGTTCTAGTTAGGAGTTGCTTATAACACCCATTACCAATAGATATATCATGATATATCTAGTAAAAACATCTAAAAACCATAGTTTGTCGTGAATTAGGCTTTGTAAGCAAACATTGACGGAGGCCCCCACATCCGAGCGCCAGTTCTTCCAGCGTCGTACTTCTGGATTCATGGCATGGAACTAAGTAAATCTTAGATTATAGCTTGAAAAAAAATAAGCCCGGCATTAATTTCCTGATTGATCAAGATTAGCAATTTCCCGCTTTTTGGACAAAACAGCGATATCAAGTGGGTCGACTGATCGCGGGCTTATCATACCTTCGAATGATCGTATGATCTGTGAAGAATTCTGATCATGGCCATCCGTGGATCATTTGATGATTTCAAAAAGGGACACAAAAAGGGAACCAAAGCCTGAAAATCCAGCCATGACTTGAGAAAAAAATAGAGGTCCCGCAGACTTGATTTACATAGAATTATAGAGTTCACAAAACAAGAAAAATACCAAAGAAATAAGGGATTATACTGCAAATTAAAGAGACTTATAGAGAATTATACTGCAAATTCTAGGTATCAATTTTCACCCCCTTTTTTTACTTGTAAAACATCATGCTTTCACCGGTTGATTTTCCATTTGCGGACGCTAAGGAGCCTGCAGCCCTTGAATCCCAACGGACATCTCAGAGACCCGGTGGATTTTTCCCATCGTCGGGAGGGATTGGTTGGATGATTTGTTGGGGTCAACAACCAACACATCCATATTGACGCTTATAGCATATGATATTGGTGGTTTGGACATCTTTTTATTTTTCCATATATGGAATAATTAATCATCCCAACTGACCAATATTTTTCAGAGGGGTTGAAACCACCAACCAGATATGGTATGTTTTAGTATATTGTCTCCATAGTGGTCATAGTAGATAGATCTATGTATTTTTTCAACAGTTATTTAATTTTGGAATTATGGGAATTGTCTGGAACTATGGGGTATATAGGATCCACCAATTTGTTTGGGATGGAATAGAGATCCCCTCTGGTAAACAAAGAGTTTGCTATTGAAAGTGGTGATTTTTAGTGGAATTACAAATTGAAAATGGTGATTTTCCATAGTTATGTTAGTTATGTTAGTTTACCAGAGAGTAAATTTAGATTGATATACCAGCACCATAGAATGAATATGGTATTGTCCAACCAAACTCATCCTCGTCAGACTTTTGGAAACCATCCCCAAAACAGCTTATAGCAATTCCAAAAAGAGATAGAAGAGTTGGAGACATGGGCATGATGAACCAAAACATCATGGAACGAAACGAATAACAAACTGGAAATCGTGTTTTTTTTAAAAAAAAAAACTTTTGGGGCTTACAATAGTTCATTGTGATGATGTTTCACATAACTTGCCCAGATTGGCGATATGTTTTTCTTTATTTGTTTCTTTATTTTTCTTTCTTTATGTTTTTCTGTATTTTTTTATTTCTTTTTTTTCTTTCTTTCTATCTATTTATCTATCTTTCTTTCTTTCTTTCTCTCCCGCTCTCTCTTTCTCTCTCTTTCTCTCCCGCTCTCTCTCTCTCTCTCTCTTTCTCGATCCTTTTTCTCGTTATTAGGGTTATTCTCCAAGCTTTCTTTTTTTTCTTTCTTTCTCATCCCACTTGGAGCTTGCTATCTTTGATTTGCCTATGGGGGAAACATGATTTGGCTTTCCTGCAGATTCGGGACTTGAAGGTTCTTCCTCGTCTCCTGCCTTTTTTTTCGCTAGGAAAAAGCAAAAAAAAAGCAAAAAAAAAGCTGACCCAGGATCCCCCCAGCCAGGTCCCGGGGTAGGGTCAGCCAGGGGTTGGACCCCCCAGCCCAGGTCCCGGGGTAGGGTCAGCGAGGAGGTTGGACCCCCTTCTGGGAATGTCGGGTCCAGCTGAGTGTGCAGGCCTCTTTCCATTGTCACCTGCGCTTTTTCCATTGGTTCTTGCGTTTCTTGTTGCCATTGCCTGCTGGTTTCATTGCTTTCCTGGGTTTTTACTTGTTTTTTGCTTTTTCAAATCGCCTTTTTTGGCCGTTTTTTTCCAATCGTTTTTTTTGTTTTTTTTTTTCAGGCGTTTTTTTTGCTTTTTCAAATCGTTGGTTTACAGGAGTTAGCTTGTATAGCAGACAACATAAACCTAGAGACCCTCCTGACCTGGCAGGTGGGAACTAGGACTCAACTGGTCAGCAATGAACAGATTCGGGGTTGACCAGCCAAGACGTGGCTAGAAAACATAGGTTTGGAGCTGGACATGGTCACAGCATGCAGGGACACCCTTCAAAGAAATATTGCCCAAAATTGTTTATATATAAATTTACATGTCACATCATGTCACATCATTTTCACCATGTAGACAAAACATATCCTTTTCCACTGGCGTTCTAAGGAAACATCTGGGATTTTGCTGGGGTTATGATCCTGGGCGTGGCACCTTGGTCCACGGATGTTCTCGACGGCTTGGCCGGATTGGTACAGCAAAGACAGAAAATTGGACCCTCCGGTGATCAAACAGTATTTATTGGGAGGTTTGATTGGGAAACACATCTAAAAATACTGTAAATTACTGTTGTTCGTTTTTTAATCCATGCTTTGCAGTATTTATAGATGTGTTCCCCAATCAAACCTCCATTTCTAGAGGATTTTTCATTGCCACGTTTGTGGCTACCGGAGGGTAGATCTGTAATATTTACTGTATGTAATGTGTGTTTGTTCCCCCCTGCGTTACTGAAGAAAGACACTACTGCCCCACATTGATGTGCAGGTTGTTAGGTCCTTCCGCGACCCGGCTGGCTGCGAAGGATAGAGAGTTGAACCCCCTACTGTACACTCTGAGAACGTTTTTTTTGGCCAGGTGTACTACCCTGTCATTCCTAGGATTCTGTGTGAAATTGTGTCACATTTGTGGGAATATGAAAAACAGACATGTATCACTTTAAAATCGGTTTGTATGAAAATAGGGTACCCCCACGTCCCATGGTTTATCACAATTTCCCCATTGAAATTGCCAATTCATGGGGTATCACGAGTTTCGGAAAATGCGAGGCTTGGACGTTGCCAAATGGCAACCACATGTTGGGCTCCGCTTGGATGTGTCTCAAGTTCTCAGGAAAATGATGTTATATAAGTTATATACATATCAGTATCCCGTTACCCTTTGGTAAACGTTAACGAAAAACTATGGAACGATCCACCATTTTCTAGCTGGGTAAATCCACTATTTCAATGACCATTTTTCAAGAGCAAACTGTTAGTTTACAGGTATGTAACACACATTTAGATATACCCCCTCCGGTGTCAATATGACGCGCTGCAGGGAAATCCCCGAAGCCAGCTAGCGGTTTCTAGCTGGGAAAACATCTAATATAGGTATATAACACACATTACTTACATTTTTTTGTTGAGTTTGTAGACACTCCATATATAAAACTGCAATATGACTGGAAATGGCAAAGTGTAAATGCAATACAGCTGGAGATGGCGAGGAAAAACACATAAACGTGTATATATAATATAAACATAGTGTATATTATATATATACACATGTGTGTGTGTATTTTGTATTATTTATATATATATATATGCCCTGCTATATTAGTAGGGGTGAGCTTGGCAGTGGAAATCATCATCTACAAAGGGGTGAATTACCTTGCAAGGGGGGTCTTACCTCATAAGTTTGGCTTTGGAACCCCATTGAATAACTACAGAATACTATAGACATGTCAAGCATAAACGATAGTTATATCAGATCAGAAACCAAATTCGCTAATTTTCCTTGCGCACCTGGTATCTCTTGGTATTACTCTCCCACAAGGTGCATATCCCTAGGACTTGGTGCTGATTCCCTTGCTCTTTGTGCAGCCGCGGCTATATGAGCTCTTCCCGTCCTTGATGCTTGGATGAAGCCGCATGACGCGGAGCTGTTGAATCTGGCTACACGGGGTATACGTTGCGACTGTTATGTGTTTAGCCTGTTTGACTATTGATGATATCTACTTGAGCTATGCATCGAAAATCTTGGCCAGAACCACTGATAGCAACATTTCATAGTTCATTCTTCAATGTGAGATATTTTACTCATATATCTTAAACTTTTCAAATTTTGGAAAGATTATAGGTGGCCGGGACAACCTTGAATTTTGGAAACTCCCGCCCGGCTGAACGAGCTGCGGTTTGCCTGGCAAGGTCTTCACAATGGTTAGTTGTTGGTGAATAATTTTCATAGTGATATATATATGGTTAAACAACGGTCAATGATAATGATAATGTTCATAATGATAATTAATGTTCTTAATGATAATTATGGTTAGTTGTTGGTTTTATCGTGATAATCATGGCTAAACAATGGTTCATAGTGAGATGGTTCGTTTTATCAAAGGAAATCTACTTAATTAGGGAACTTCCGAGTTGTGGACGCATTCGTCCAAGGTCTGTGGGCTATTGATTTCTTGGTTCGGATTGGTGCTGATATACTTTGAAATTCAACACATTTAGGGTATATTTTGCAACGTTGATCTAAAGAACACACAAATATATGTGTGATGTTTATTCTTATTTTGATCTCCAGAGTATCCAGGATTGGTCACGTCAACTAGATTTGACATGTTTAACCCCATCTTCCTCCGGAATACTCTCCACTTGGACGGGAACTCTTGTAGATGTATATACCCTCCAGTAAATTAACATCGACTCAGACCCTGCCAGATAGGGGTTGAAAGACTAGTTTCCACCATAAATTGGTAATTTTCAGGGTCTACGTTAATTTACCTGGGGGTATAATGTACAGATATCAGTACCATTCATTTTGAGATATAGCAGGCAAACAAATACACATTGTTTTTTGCTTCATGAAATGGCAATGAAATGTAGTGATGCCATTCAAATATTTACAAACAATTTTTTTTTGGTGCATCACTACATTTATATAAATCAAATGATTGCACCAATGTGTTTGCGTCCCTACATTATTTGAATGTTATTTATTGATGCCATATTTCAAAAACAAGCACATGATGGAAATCTGTCTTGTCTGTTTTTTCCAAACGCATCTGGTTGGTGGTTTGGAACATTTTCCATCATTTTTCATATATTGGGAATGTCATCATCATTAACAACTATTAAGCACTATTAACCATATATTGGGAATGTCATAGCCCCAACTGACGAAGTCCATCATTTTTCAGAGGGGCTGGGTAGGTCAACCACCAGACATCGACTGCTTCTCCAGTGAACTGGATCATTTTGTCGAGCGCTTCTTTGGTAAAAGTATGTGGTTTATAATGCTTAATGCTATGGTTAATAGTGGTTAAATATGGTGAATAGTGGTTAATAGTGGTTAATGATTGTTAATCATTGGTATATCATATGATCAATGGCCATCGAAGAGAGAAAAACGGAGGTACTTGTACGTATACCATATATAAGGCCTATGCAAGGGGACATATCCCCAAAATATGGCGGCCTTAACAATGCCAAACACATGTTAATTGGATGAACTTTGCTACATTGCTCAACCCACTAAATCACTATGCTGCTCAAAGAACTCACCCAAATGGACACACGTCTTAAATTTGAAAAGGTAAAACCACCGCGTTCATTAATTTTCACAGATATGGGGTTTTGTTTGATATTGGGTACCCCATGTCATGTACAGCAATGCCCCCTGAAATCTGACGGTTGGAACTCAATGCCTTGCCATGAAGTGGTGATATTTTTTGGGCAGATCCAAACATCATATCAAATCGCTTGTACCCCCCATTACAACAAATGTCACCATGATATCCCCAGGAAATCCTAACCATATCCCCATTACAACCCATGTCACCATGATATCCCCAGGAAATCCTAACGATATCCTGATATACCACTACATCACCATATGAATTCGTAAAGCCCAGGGCCATCGAGTCCAAAATGGCTGACGCTTGGTAGAACAGTTCAAACGCCAGGAGGTCTAAACAAGTTCGGGGCGAAGCTTTGATGACCGTGAACCACCATTACTTGCCATTGTTTTTTTTCCAGGACTGACTATTGTTTTTACCAGTTTACAACTATTCACAATGTTCCTACCAGCATTTAATTTACCAATTGTTTTTTTACCAATTTCAACGAGCATTTACTTGCATCAACCATTCTTTGCCAGTATGGCTCATGGATTTAAGCATCCAAAGTTCTTGGGAATTTACCATCAATAAGTTGGGATAGGAAAAAAAGCTGGTTTAACTTTAACGGTTTAACTAAGAACAATTGGTGGTTCCATCAGACATAATGGGTAAATGTCGGGTGAAACTGACTGGATGGATAGTCTAGTACAACCTAATCTTTTGCCATGAATGTGTTGCAGAATGGATACAGTATCTATATTGGCCAGTCATTTTTTGAAGGGTATCTAAAATTGGCCAAAGCCGTAAGTTCTTTGGGGAAACAGCCTGGTGAATGGAAAGCAAGTGATACTTGAGAATATGGATCTGATTCCTCTCAATTACTCATGAATGGTTTCAGGTTATATCCTTCCAAAAGCAGTGGTTTTCCAAATCAACGCAGCCGAAGTGATACAAGTGCAGAGGGTTGGCCTACAGTATTTATTTTTTGTTGTTTTCGGTGTGTTCAACTTATATACACACACACACCACACCCGCATATATATATATATGATTATATATGTAGCCACATATGTGTGTGTGTGTGTAAATGTATGCATATATATATACACTTATATACTTATGTTATATGTATACACCTAGAAACACGCATGCATCCATCCATACCTACCTACTTATTTGCATACATACATACAAACATGCATAAACACCCACGTACATACATGCGTACATGCATTCATCCATTCATACTAACACACATAAGTATACAAGTGTATACATGTACTTACATCTTACATTTTACATATAGGTAAAGATGCATGCGGTGATACGTGATGATGTTTTCTGAAGCTACTCATCACCGTCGCGCAGCCATGTATCAGCGCGGCAGCTCCAACAATAGTGGAAACATATCCATCACTCAGAAATGTTGATGGTTTCATACGGCAGGTAGCCTCTAAACATACCAACAACTATGAAGAATCACCTTCTTTAATAGGTAAATCAACTATTTCTATGGGCCATGATTCAATAGCTATGTTCGTCATAACCAGAGGGTAGTTCCATTAATATCCCATTATCATCGATATTAAACCATACTAAACCATATTAAACCATGTTAAACCACAGGTATTTGAAGGTTCACATGTCCAGCAACAAAATGGTCAGGTTTGCTATTGGCTCCTGGATTTTGCCCTGAGCTTCTTTACAGGCCGGGCAGCCTCACCCTCCGAGGTTCCTGGGGCGCCTAAAAAAAGGATGAACTACCCTCTGGCGCGTGCTTTTGGGTGGCGGATGACTGGAAGACCCATAGGAAAACCATAGGAAAACCGTAGGAAAATGGAGGTTTACCCTCTGGTTATGTCAAAATAGCTATTGAAAATGGCCATAGAAATAGTGGATCTACCCATAAAAATGCTGGATCTTTCCAGTTCGTTATGTGGCTGTTTACCAGGCCGGGTATCTGATGAAAAGCGGAGAAAACCACGTGGAAATCCATGATGGCAAAATGCCGACAGGATGGGAAAATGATCATATTCTGGTTGTTGGTTTGGATCATTTTTTATTTTCCCATATATTGGAAATAATCATCCCAACTGACGAATATTTTTCAGAGGGGTTGAAACCACCAACCAGGAATCTATTTTCCAATTGGAAAGGTTTTAAGTTCCCTATACCTGGTGTTCCAACGGGGATATGCTACCCAGTGCAGCAAGATGGTTTTAGTTCCGCTTGTTTGACTGGAGTGATACGTGCATCATAAATCCAAACCAACAGAAACCTCATATGACATAATTCTGAGATACCTATTTCAAGTGCCAAAAAACGGTATATATGTTCATATATATATATATACTATATATATATATATACTATATATATATATATGTGTGGTTATACATATATATATATATGGATATATATATATATATATATGTATATGGTTATATATATGGTAACAAACCATCCATCCCCCATCCTTAAGTTGCACCACCGGCTTCGAGGATACCTCGAGAAGGGCACCCTAGTGATGGATCTGCGAAAGATCGCGTGTCGTTATTTGAGCACCTGGTTCGTCCCGGCTGCTTGGAATCAGAATTTGGCAGCTGGGTCATGATGGGGATGTGATTGATTGATTCCCATCAAAGAATCCCATTCTACTTCATAAGCATGTAAAATCTGAAAATTATCTACCTGGAATATCATGGGATATTATGACTATCTCATGTTTAATATCCCATGATTAACCCATGACTAATAGTAGATATTCCCACAATTACCCTCTGGTAATGACTAACAGTTTGCTATTGAAAATGGCCCATAGAATAGTTGATTAACCCAGCTACAAAATAGTTGATTTTCCACCCTCCATTTTCCTATGGTTTTCCTATGGTTTTCCCAGCTATAAACCTCCATATTTTCCTATGATTTTCCCCTCGTCACAGCATGGACGCATGGGATAGTCATGACGGTTAATCATGGGATAGTCAATCTACTTGGAGGATCGGGATCCTCCAAGTAGAGGGGAAAAAAACAGGATCCAATGGATACAGGTCTTGGTTTTTTAACTTTAAGAATAGGTATGGATATAAACTTCCATGGGACAAACATAGCATCTTAGAATGACATGATGCTAGTTAGATAAGTAGGTTGACAAGTGACTTTAGACTCGTGGGTTTTAGGCAAATATAACTATAGATGTTTGATTTAAACCATTTTGTAATATAGCTGGGGGCCGTGGGAGGATCGCTGCTGGATCTGAGGAAAGTAGGAGTAACTATTCCAGAATGGCCTCATTCAAGGCTAGGGAATATTGTCACCCGTCCAGGTTTGTCAATTGAATTTCCCCTTCCATATATACAATATATATACAAATATATCAAGATTGTTCAGCACCAAAACCATCCATTTGTCGTATGGGTGTTGAGTAATGAGTAAAGCCGTTGAAGCTCTGACTAAGATTTGAACCACACAGCAAGATAAACATCAAAGATCAGAATGTATAAGCGTGATTTTGTTTTTATCTTTTCACAAAAATATGCATATGTGCAGGTGCATATATATATATATATATTTATTTATTTATGTAAGTCTATGTATATATGTACACGGTACCATCATTATCATTTGTTAGTAGTTACTGTATACGAGAGACTGACTTTTTGCATGGCATGGCATGGCCCCAGGACCTGACAGTGAACGCCATCGACGTGGTGATGATCTTGGCAGAGTCCATGATCTCCAACGATGATGCCCGGATGTTTTGTTGTTATTTAGTTTAAAGGATCAAATTATAATAGATAAAGATCAACATCAACATCAGCTGAAGTGTTGTTATTTGTTTGTACCCCGATGTTCTGTTCTGTTCTTTTCTGTTCTGTTTATCATCATGGTCATAGTCATCGTCATCGTCATCATCATCATCATCATCATCGCCACCGCCACCACCATCACTATCATCATCATATACAGTACACAGATGGGCTGGGCATATTTGTTTTTTTGAAATCCGGATGATGGAGAAGGTTCGATTGGTGGATTGCAGCATCTTTCCGTCCCACGAACGTGTCCAACTTGAGCAGGGGGTCAACAAACCACCACGCATCTCAAAAATATAGCAACCAATTGAGCAGTCTTCTTCAAAACCCCGATTGGTTGATGATTGTATGGTGTAAACTAACATAATATGGAAAATCACCATTTTTAATGGGTAAATCCACTATAAATGACAATTTTTTAATAGCAAACTGTTAAATTACCAGAGGGTACTATCCAGTATATTGGGGATTATCACAATCCATTAGGGGAACCGGGAATCCGTATATCTCAATTTGTGGGAGTTTGAATTTGCGACGATCTCACCAAGGACTCCTCAAATTAATGGGATATTGCAACTATTGATTGCCCACTTTGTGATTTTTTTGTTGAAATGAGTTGGGTAGACCCTTGGGTGATTTACCCTCCACTAATCCAACATAGCTGGAGTAGAGAGCCATGGTCTAGATTGCCCGTTGGTAGACTATGTATATACTCAATAAAAAAACAAAAAAACTATTTATAGACTACCCAATCATTAAATCTTACTTTCTATTATATACTGTATCATGATTATAGGTAGCTCTATGTTAACAATAAAACGGAATAATTTTGGGAACAGTACGAAAACATTTGTGCATCCGTTTGAAGGTGCTTTGCGCGCTGAGTTATGTTGAATCACGTACAACCCAATAACTATCCCTGCAAGTTGTATATAGAATATTGTATAATTATCCTGCAGTAGATAGAATATCGGATATTCAAAGATGTTCTATTTAGTCAGGATTTTCGGACATTTCCCTATCTACTCCAGGATGACTATCAACATTTTGCGAACTGGAAAATCACCATTCTTCAGGGCAAAATCACCCCACTATAGCTGGGCCATCCGCAAGGGGGGCGCTGCATTCCAGTTCGTCATTTCCATTGTTTAACCCAGGTATCGGCTTTGAGGTTATACAGTTACATGGGGATGGGTCAAAGCCTATTGGGAGGAAGAATCCAATAATCATCCATATGACGTTAATTAGTATGATGATATAGTATGATTCATCATCCATTAACCAGCTGTTTTTAGGGTTCCACCCGGGTGCCGTTTGGTTTTGACTCATTTTCCCCGGTGCTGAACAACCTGCGATGTTCCGCGGTGCCCTCAGGAATCGATGCGAGCGAGTACTCGTGGCTATGGCTGCAACACCGTTTGAGGTTTCAGTACGCATTGCTGGAGTGCAAAAAAAATGGAAACAAATATGAAAAAAAAAACATGAAAAAAACAACAAAACCATATTTTTCAGGCACCAAAAATAAGAACACCAGCCAAGTAGTCCGCAATTATAATCTAATGGTATTATTTCAGACATGACAAGTAGCCACCTGAAATACAACTCATCACTATCCCAGATATTCCATCTACAGATCACAATGAATCACAATGACTCACTAGATGTCATGAGTGTCATCATCAAAAACTCATCAAAAAATACCAAGATCACCGTATCATTGCCACCTGAATCACTAAAAGTAGTCTGAATATGTCTGAATTACATACTGATGATATATATATATATAGATTTACCCTATGTATAAAAATATGTGCATATATGTATTTGTATATATATATACAGTATTTAATATATAACCACCATATATTAATACATCATGACCAGCTAAAGTCTCATCGAACATTTGCTCTGCGAGGCCTTCTCCGCTTGCTGCGGCTCTCACGCGTGGTTCGCCTGGGCAAGTTGACGAAGTTTGCCTCCTTTCTGAGATCCTTGGTGCCGATGGGCCCACTTAAATGGTCAGCACTTGGAGGATCACCCCACTTAGTAAAAGGTGGTAATATTTTTAAGTGTTTAACCATGGATAATAGGTGTTAATATGGTATAATATGGTCCTATCACCACTTTTATAATTAACCCACTTAACTAAGTATGGTGCTTAACCAGTTGCAAAGTATTAATAAGTGGTCAATCACCATACAGCAAACCCATTCAGAAGGGATGAGCCACGGATCAGGAACCAGCTAACTCCATGGCCTGTCCCATCCGTGTTTCATGGGGACTAAGATCAACTAACTCCCCCACAAGACATGGTGGGTTGAACACTGTCAGAAATGGTGCTTTTACACAGTTAAATCATGTTAAATCATGTTAAATCCCAACAACAAAAAGATCTAACCAACAAATAATCAGATGTAAGTGGCATGTTGTGGTTCGATATATGTACATACCTAGTTTGAAACACACATTTGACTGCAAATGCCATTGTGTATTTGGTTTGAGTATTCTTTGATCAAATCAAAACTGCGGATATACACACATAGTCATCAGTTGAACACAAAACTATATACTTATATAATCTTATATACCCATACTTATGAACCACCAACCACCCAAAAAAAACGTAGGGGATCGTTCTACGACTCGTAGCTGGTTCGAAGTGCCAGAACCATAACCAACTTAGGAGACTTCACACTTTACATCAGCCCCTGCGAGAGCAGAGTTTAAACTACTTTCAATAACGATTTCTTTTGATTTTTAGAGTGCTATGATCATGGTGATCAATTGTATTTCATAATATGCTTTGATTTCAATATAATATAACGATTATCATTCAATACTTTTTGTGTGGATTTTTAGAGTGCTTGTCAGATTGTAGTTGTAGTAACCCCAACATGTTTTTCATCAACCAGATTGAAAACTAAATTTCAAATCGACTTTCGATTTGGATTTTACCAACTTGTTTGTTTTGTGTGGTTGCAACAACCCCATGTTCATGATTCTCTTCCCAAAGATTCATCATGTTGGGTTGATGACAGGCCACAGTTCGGAACCAACTAGGCCATGGGATAGGTTTTGTGGTGTGATATGTGTATCTATATATATATATATTTATAGAATATAGATTTTCTAAGTGATTCTGAAGTAGATAGAATATGATAGAATAGAGAATGTTCAAACATATGTTCATTTTAGTGTGGATTTGCTGAACGTTCCATATTCCATCTACTCCAGGATGACTCTGTCGCGCTCTCTCTCTCTCTCTATATATATATATATATACACACCCAAAAAGATAGAAAAGTAAATCCCTAGTGATTTGATGCTCATATAATTTTCTATTGTTTGGAGATGACGCTGTGTATATATAGATATATGTGAAGCTGATCCAGCTGGCTGCCCAGGAGACAAGTTCGAGTCGGAAGTTACGTACACTCAGTTTTCACTCGCATTCTGACGCCAGGGGGCTGCGGGCTGTTGCTGGAGGTAGTGATGTATAGCTCTATGGGGATATACCAGGAGATGCCGATATATAAAATTGGATTGCAATTTGGGTATCAAACGGGCTTACATGTGCGTGAATTTTGATTACTCAATCATTCAGATTCTTGTAGTTTCTCGCTGCAGCACAACTAGATTTCCGGAATGAAATGCTCAGCATGGCTCAAGCACCAAGGAATCAACGTAGTAGCGTCCACTTTATGAAACTTTAGGGGTTCAGATAAGAACACCTTCCAAAGAATATGATCTTGTTCAGGGACTGCCAACCCCCATCAACCCTTCTGAACGGTGAGGGGTACCTCTAGCAGCCTTACACTGAAATATTTTTTCAGAGGTTGCTGAGCCGTGGCAACTGGGATTCAACAGTCGTGATCCTGTCAAGACTGCGCTGAAGATCAGGAAAGTAGCACAGGTACATTGCTAAAATCCATGGGACATAGACTGCAAATTACCGCTTTCCATGTCATGACTTAGTATCACCAGCTTTGATTTGATGGGACTGCCCCGCGTTTTCCAAGGTAATATTGATTTTGGCTATGTGCTTGTTGGAGCACATCATTGCATGCGGTTGGTTTGGAATCGGCTTCCCGGACGGCAGGGGGATGGGAAAGTTGGGCAGTTCAGGGATGTTCAGGGTAATTCAACATGGCCGTGGTATAGACTCGATCATGGATGACCAAACTTGCGGACTATGTACATCTATTGGTCCCCAATAGACAAAATATATGACTTTCCCTGGCGAATTATTAGATTGCCAGAGTGTTATTAAATTAGTTGTGGTTGGCCTACATTTTCCCGGTTGGTGGTTTTCAGTTTTCAGTATGTGGTGTGATCGACTGTATAGTAGGGATGAAGATCCCCGATGACTACAGTTATGGCCATTTATTAGTTATAACTGGTTATAAATGGGATATACATTCTATAAATGGGGTGACTTAGTACTTATAACTGGTAAAGGGCCAAAACTGTAAAAGATGTTCGATGTTGAAAGCACCAACGGGAAATCGTTCTTAAGCTACCGGGGATTGTTTTAATCCATGAGGGACCCCCAGGAAACCATTGGAATACCCAGCGGATCCAGTGGCATAGCACAACAATCCTTGGGAACAATGGGAGAAGGATGGAACGATACACAAATTATGTAAGGTAAAGATCCTGTTCAACATTGTGGAACGCCTTTTCTATTTATATGTGCTGCTTTTCATTGAGACCCCGCTCACCAGGAAATCACTGTAAATGATGATTCATTCCAGGAACTGAATCCAAGAACTGTCGCATATTTCCATGTTTAGAAGCCAATCTCATCCCCACAATCTGAAGAAATTTCGCTAAGCAAAATGAACCGATCCAATAGTAAAAGACCGAGGTTTCTGTGGCTTTTGTTTTTTTCGTGAAGGAGAGACATGTATTTTGATGTGCCCAGATTTCGTAACGAAACTTGATTTCTACCAAGTCTTGGCGGGATGATCAGGAAACCTATTCTGCTTGGTGCGCTTGGTGCTGACTGGAACAGGTGAATTTTTAAATGACTTTCCATTTAGCCACTGGTCGGTGGTGAATAGTGGTTAATAATGGTTAATGAAATATAACTGGTTGGTGCTGACAGGAACATGGCTTATATGACTTTCCATATATATAAATACATATATATATATATATTTATATTTGGGAATGTCATCATCCCAACTGACTTTCACTCCATCATTTTTCAGAGGGGTTGGTCAACCACCAACCAGTATTGAACTACAATTTTTGGACCTGAAAAAATAACCCCGCAGAGTGATGCCTAGCATTTAGCTACCTAAGTTGGGGCCACTAGGCTATTTATGTTCCTTTCCCCGAATATGTGTGGATCCCTGGATAGCTGAAACTAAACCAAAAAAACATAGCTGGAAGGCCCCTAAAACAACTACGATCTATCATAATTTTCCGAAACATAGTTTTCCCAGAGTCATATATATATATATATATGTATATATGTATCATTTATACCATTGATTTACCACCCATTTCCTGATTAAATGATATAAATGCGATTTAATGTGGAAATCATCGATAAATGCTCGATTTTCCAGAAAGCCAAGGCTCTATGGAAACTGAAAGCACGTGGCTCTCACGCTCCGACGCCCGAATCAGTGGGTAGTATGTATGGAGCTAATCAGTGGGGGAAATCATCGACAAAAACCATCCCAATATGCCAAGAGCCATGTATGTATAACTGGTTGTTGGTGACTGGAACCATGGAATTTTATGACTTTCCATATATATATATATATGTATATTTACACATATATATATATATATATATATTGGGACCTTCATCATCCCAAGTGACGTTAACTCCATCATTTTTCAGAGGGGTAGGTCAACCACCAACCAGTATAACAATCGAATTGAATCTTTCATGGCTCTAGCCATACGAAAATAACAGGAGTATGGGCCGTATGGGTTGCTTTTTTGGATAGGTAGTGGATGAGTGGGATAATTAGAGGAAGCATAGTTAATGGTCACCAGCCCCCGTATCGGGGGTTCATGAAACTGGGTATACCCCTCAGCAATGGGATGATTTTTAACGACCCCCAGGTATAGATAGTTGATGGGATGGTTTACTATTGGGTTTACCACATTACTTTAAAACTGGTGCTCCTAGTTTTGACGATATTGGGATTCAACCAACAAAAATGAGGATTCATAGTGGATTCAAATAGCTGGATATCTACCAAAAACCCTAGTTAACTTTCCTATAAACTAAGTTAGCTAAGAAAGGGGCCAGTCAAGGTTATGAGGACTTTGCTGCTAATGCCAACACGAAAAAATAATTGCCTGCTACTCGGATTGCCGGAGTCTATATTTCATCCATAGCGTCGTTGCTTTGGTTCCCATGAATGATGCTCAAAGAATTTCCACCCCATGGATCCAAAGCACCTTCGTGTGAAACAAAACGTATCCCCAAAATATCCAGATTCGCCGGAACGTATGGCAGAATGAATGCAGAATGTACAGGGTAAAATTATTGTTACCGTTCACGGGAGTCCTCAAGACCCATGCGGTATGCTGGGATGATACGATGAAATTTGGTATTTGAGGTTGTGTGGGCTCACTACAACGCGCAGTTCCACTTGACACGTCGGTATATGATTTAGCCATATATATATATATACATGTATTATGTATGTATGTATGTATGTATGTATGTATGTATGTATGTATGTATGTAATGTATGTAATGTATGTAATGTATGTATGTATGTATGTATGTATGTATGTATGTATGTATGTATGTATGTATGTATGTATGTATGTATGTATGTATGTATGTATGTATGTATGTATGTATGTATGTATGTATGTATGTATGTATGTATGTATGTATGTATGTATTATGTATGTATGTATGTATGTATGTATGTATGTATGTATGTATGTATGTATGTATGTATGTATGTATGTATGTATGTATGTATGTATGTATGTATGTATGTATGTATGTATGTATGTATTAGTATGTATTAGTATGTATTAGTATGTATTAGTATGTATTAGTATGTATTAGTATGTATTAGTATGTATGTATGTATGTATGTATGTATGTATGTATGTATGTATGTATGTATGTATGTATGTATGTATGTATGTATGTATGTATGTATGTATGTATGTATGTATGTATGTATGTATGTATGTATGTATGTATGTATGTATGTATGTATGTAGTGTATGTAGTGTATGTAGTGTATGTAGTGTATGTAGTGTATGTATGTATGTATGTATGTATGTATGTATGTATGTATGTATGTATGTATGTATGTATGTATGTATGTATGTATGTATGTTTATATATATATATATATGTATCATATACGATCAGGATGTCAGGACTTAGAACTATAACCCAACTTACGGCTGTTATCTTCACCCTGGTAGCATATTCGCTGAGGAATGGAGCGATTCATCCTTCACCCTGCAGTATACCACGGCGCTACGTTGGGCAGCTCTGCGTGAAGCAAAAACCCAGTCAGAAAATCACCGTTGGCGGTGTAGCCCATTATGTAGCTACCAGAAAGCCTAGCTAGTCAGATGGAATAAATGAGGGTACCCCCAAAATGGATTGTTGATTTCAGTGGATGATTTGGGGGTACTCCTATTTGGGGGTACTCCTATTTCAGGAAACCTCCATATTAGTTCCAGCTAATCTGGCTAAGTAGTGGGCATCACCTTATCTGGTGGTGGTTTGGAACATGTTTTATTTTCCATAATATATGGGATAATCCTTCCCATTGACTAATATTTTTCAAGATGGTTAAAAAACCACCAACCAGTTATATACGGTCCATGTGTGGAATAATCCCTTCTCCTTCCCCGTATTATTAAACGTTGCCCAAATACCAACTAGGGTCAATTTTGAATTTATGGAAATTTAAAGTTGTAGTTGCGCCTCTGGCGTATGCAGTGACTTCCTTAAGCTTTAAGAACAGCAAAACTGTTCTAAGATTTCTAAGAGTAATTAATTACTCAATTGTCTCGATTAGGCACTTTACTACTGTACATCTAATATCGGCAAAACTTGCTCTCCGATTCTTCCCATCTCCCGAGTCAGTGAGCCGCATCTAGAATTTTACATCCACTTGGAACATCCGGCCGGGTCAGCTTACTACATAGAATGTAAACAAGGGATCTGGGATTGTTGTTTTGCTGTTTATGGGCTTATGCTTGTTTGTTTACAGAAACGTATCAGAGACTATTAGACTATCTTGACTAGTTGGTGGTTTGAAACAGTTTTTATTTTTCCATATATTGGGAATAACCATCCCAACTGACTTTCATATTTTTCAGAGGGGCAGGTAAAGCACCAACCAGTTAAGATATCTTAAGTCCATTCAAGTCCATAAAATGGCAAACCCACAATTTTCATGATTTTTCTTGCTGGAATTGAGGTTGACATCCCATCCGTTGATCCAAGACTTATAACTGCGAATTTCCTTGTTATAATTTGACTCTGTTTTTAGTGAAGGTTAATGATAAAGGATTGTTATGGCTCATAATAGTAGAGAATGATAATTTCTTTGCTTTTTTCCTATCCTTATCAATGCCATTGTAATTACTGTCATTGTTGCGTATATGTATGCATTTATTTATATATATATACAACATATATAAATAGACATATAGAGACATAGGTTGAACTGCTTTTAGTTGTGTTTGATACCCTTCGGTAATCAAGCATCGCTAGCTGGAAAATTCACCGTTTATATATATATATATAGTTCGATGTTTCTTCGCAGCTTTAAACATCCCTTAGTTTGGTGATTTCCATTGCCATGTTTGATTACAGGAGAGTATACGTATAGGATTATCGTTCTGTCAGCTTGTCAAAGAGCTTCTCGTACTTAGACGCTTATCGGTCTAGGTTTATCAACATCAGATGATTGAATTCCTAACAGCAGAAGTATCGGTGACCATGTTGATCGGTCTATGTTTCTGGATGGTGAGCATGTTGCTAAATTATACCATTCCTTTCAGAAGAACTCCGTCTTTTGGGTGACTATTCTCCGGTTATGCGGCCGTGACGAAATCCCTGCTATGCACGGCGATGCAGTTTGTGTTCACCCCGGTGAAGCCATGGCGCACTGGGTTGGGAATAGGTGCCCATTACCAGCGAACATGCGTGAAAGCTTTGGAAAACATGACGCCCTCCGAAAATTTAAGACTTTGCCATGAAAATTGGTAAGTTTATATAGTTTATACAATAGTTATACAATAGGACATTCATCTCATGGTTATTGCATGAAAATTTTGCGAAGTAGGGATTGACGATTTCCATGATGGGCCCCTATATTTACATCCCAATTCCCAACAAACAAAACCGTTTTGCAGGTTGAGATATTCCTAGGTCAATCTTACATGGATACTTTAATCCTTTAGTCTTTTGGTATCAATGGGAATATCTACTAACCAGCAAAGAATTTATTTTTTTGCAGGGTATCTAAGATTGGCAATGATTCCAGCACCATGGCAATGGAGCATATGGGACTGGGCAACAGTATGAAAAAATCATGTTCCCCATTATAAACCGTAAACCATCAATGAGAGAGGAATACATACCTATTAAGATTAAGCATAAATTAATCATTGTTATTTTGATTATTCACCATCAATGCTTTCCACAAAAGAGGGACGATCCCGTGGGACGATCCCGTGGGTTTATAGTGGATGACTGGGAGTACCTCCATTTCAGGAAACTTCCATGTATATCAACCAACAAAAAATGATGGTTAATTGACGGGTATGATGGTATTGTAATTGACATACACTGGTGGACAATCTATGGTTGACTTGTTGGTGTCATGGGTGTCATGATTTTTTTGAACTTCAATGGCAGTCCTATTGAAACCGGGGGGCCCCACTGGTTGTCACGACGAGGCCTTTTCTCAGCTGGGTGTGGGTGGAACCGAACTTGAAGCAGTGAACGAGAAGGAGGGCATTTATTCCGAAACCTGGCGCAAATTCAAAACAAGGAGGGCACAAGGGCGGAGGTTGGTTCCTCCAGTTAGTACGTAGCATATAAGCACCTTGTCTATAGCCGAATAACCCGAAATTATATGTATATATGTATATATACATATTATAATATATCTTAAATACATGCATTTTGCCGGGTCGCATTGTTAAGTTACGCATGCACGTAAACAAACAAATAAAATATCCATCCACTACATTTTTCTTTGTTACACAATAAACTGTGTTTTGCATTGGTTATTAAGTGCTCGCCCATTGGGATGGGCATTTGAGAGGGGGTGGGTGCAGGAGTGCGTCCCATAGCTTCTTCCATGGGTTTGGTTAAGGACTTAACAAGCGGTTATATGAACCCATGATTTTGAAAGGGTTATCATGCTTCCATTGTTTGGGAGGATAGCACTAGCAAATGTGCTAGGCCACTCTTACATTTCCATGAGTTTTGTTTTGCACCATGGGTTTAGTATAATTAAGGAGATTTCCAGATGTTCGGAACCATGAGATGGGCGATGGGGTGTTCAAAAAAGAACAGCGGGATGGGATTAGATCTGGGAGAGTGCGCAGCCATGAAATCAACCCTGAGAGAGATCCGTTAGGGCCAATGGACATATGTTTCCACCAGAAAATGATGACTTCCTATCCTCTGGTAATTCTAACGTTGCAGTTTTGCTATGGGAAATGGCCCATTCAGAGTTGACTTACCTATTAGAATGGTGATCTTCCGCTAGGCTCGTTGATCAGGTAGTCATGGTAAATCCCGAAGTGGCCTGACAAATCTGCCTGCTAAACTAAATCATCCGGGATTATCTATGTTCTTTTACATAAGGATGTGTTTATTATCTCTTAAGGGTGTGTCTGAAACAGGGTCTCTCAAAAACTGTTGATTTATGATCATGTTTCCGATTAAGATGGCCCAGTTTGGGGGTATACCTCATTTTCAGACACACCCATGCATTTTACCAAAACAAAAACATCCCACACATTTTCCACCCATAAATTCGACGAAAATAAACATCCTCAAATTCCCCAACAGCTCTGTCGCTGTGTGACTTGCAGAATGTGGTGGCGTTGATCTCCTTAATCACCTTTTCCAGTGTGGTGAGCTCTATGACCAGCTCCTCGGTGACCGGCAAAAAGATCAGTTATTTTTCTAGCAGCAAACATGGGGTCCATATACCTTCTGGTAAACTAACATAACTATGGAATCATGAAAATCATTATTTATTATGGGTAAATCCACTATAAATGGCAATTTTCAATAGCTATGCTAAATTACCAGAGGGTAAATCATCCAATGTATGTGCATGTAGTTGTAATTTAAACGGATGTGTTTTTCAGCGACAAGAGTTTGTGAAGAGTGGGCATACCCTTGTTTGGTAAAGGGGTCAAATTAATTGACAGACAATCACATTCGGGCGCAGCGTATTTTCAGACAAGTCAATGGAGTTGTTTCTTTTCAGCAGTACTAAGACAATAGCTATTCAATAGCTTGCTTTCAGCGCGAAGCATATGAGAGAAGCATAGGTATATCAACAAATGAACCAAGTCGTATACATAACCAGATATAACAATATATAACCATCATTTAGTATATGCTTTAATGTTTCTTCTTTGAATATATTTACACTAGCCGCATAAACATATGCAAACTTCACCGGGAGCAGATCCAGCGGTTTCAGAACAACTTCATCAAAGTAACTCCGGCTGGTGTAGGTTCCGCCTGATAAAAACGTATTTGGTGGTTGCAACAGATATTGGTCAGTAATGGTTAATAGTGCTTAATAGTGGTTAATAGTGGTTAATTCGATAACTGGTTGGGTTATATTGATGGTTAATGATGGTTAATGATAGTTAATGATGGTTAATGATTGTTAATAATCACTGGTTGGTGCTGACCGGAGCATGGTTTTTATGACTTGCCATTCAGTTGGGAATGTCAAAAATCCCAACTCACGAATTCCATCATTTTTCACAGGAGTAGGTCAACCACCAACCAGATATTGTGGATGGTTAAATCCCTCTTATCTAAAACTACGCACTGTGACAAGCTTCATTGCCGTTCATTATTATTACTATGAGCCAATGGATATAGTAGGTTACCCATCCCTAAAAATGCTATGATGCTAGCAATTGACAAACACATTTGTTTTTTCAGATGGGTGGCGTTCACCACCGTAGATGGCGCCTTTGAGGATATCTCTAGAGTATCGCTCGTTGTAGGATCCTTCCACTTACCCTCTGGTAAACTAACATAGGTATTGAAAATGGTCATTTATAGTGAGTTTTCCCATAAAAAAATGTGATTTTCCATAGTTATGTTGGTTTACCGGAGGGTACTGGTGAATAAGCCTGATAAGTCATCTAACTCGGGTCCGTCTTGTTTATAAATGCTTAACTTGATGTATTTATAACTTAATGTGGTTAACAGTGCCATAAACCCACCATCCACCAGGAAAATCACCATTTTTATAGGTGGTATGGTTACCATTCCCAAATGGGTGGTTTATTGCTTTACCCACATTAAATTGTTCTTACCTCCATGGTTTAACAGGGGATATACCAGTTTTGGGACCATTTATTCATTTCCTAGTTTTCAGTAGGGAGGTTGTTCAGCCACCACGAGTTTTTCGCAGGTCTGGTGAGTACTTTGCAGGGCCAAGGGAGAGAAGAGACGCAGCAGTTCAGCCCCTTGGGGCTTCCAAGGGCCCATGGACGGGCAGGAGGGCGGAAGTTGAGTTAGTCTAGTCGCGTCCTCCCGAATCATCCCCACAGAGATAGATTTTTCAGTGAATATTCATTAACTATTTGAATGGGGATCACTTTTCTACGTTTTTGGGGTTGCTATATGCTAGAATGCGTTGTTTCGATTGCTTCTTTCTGGCAATTTTAGTGGATCATTGAACCAGACTCCTCAAGCAATTCTCATCGGGGTATCTAAGATTGGTCATATCGTTTTGTTTATATTAACAGTTGCTTCATCATCATCATCATCATCATCATCATCATCATCATCGGTACTCAAGGCAAAAGTACCACCCAACATCTTGGGTTCTGTGTCAATTTTTCCTGTCCTGCTCCAGTCTTATGTGCCGGATTGGCAACCACCCTTCATGTGATCATTCCATAAATCCATCCTGCTGACAGCGTGCAGCAAAGTTTTTGCTGCAAGGTTTGCTACGACGCTTCTTGCGAGTGAATCACATCCCCGAAAATCTCAGCCATCGAATCACGCGCTTCTTGCACTACACTTATCATGTGCCCCGGCGGCTTCACCTTGCGACACGCCCAGGGGAAACAAACTGGCGCCCAGGGGGTGATCAACAACTGTGCGCCACTGACTTTATCCCCCTCCGTTCCTCGTGTTGGGATAGGGATTACGTTGAAAACTTGGGAAACTTGGCACATTTGGCCACATTATGCCACATCGATGTAGAGCTAAAAATTCACGTCCCATTTTTGGACATGTGAAACATTACGTCAAAATGACCTTAAACATTCCACCACCCCTGTTGACAAATCAGCCCTGTGCTTGCACAATTGCAACACATATCTCATATCCGGTGCTAGCAGGCCAATGTTTGCGAGGAGAAGGGGCACATTTGTATTTGTTTGCGGTATATGTTCATTTAAACAGATATGTATATATATAATATGCATATTTATTCATGTACATTTTACCATAAAGCCGGGTTGTATTAGTTATAAATAACCAACGTTAGCAATGGGAAGCACCGGGAAAATACCTTAGCGGCCTTAGCGGTTTTGCGGCCGAGGAACGCACGGCGAACGTGGACGACCCTCAGATTCTGATGTTCTTGCGTCTCGTCGAGGAAACCACTGGTTGGGTTTTGGTAACTTTGGAATCCCTATGGTATAATATGGTATATTATAATATACATGAATATACTATGGTATCATCTGGGATTCTTATTGTTTTTGTTCGCTTGAAAAAAAATGAAATACCCGAAAATTTGTTTAACTGTTTGATTCTTCTGCAAACTAGCTGAACATTGAGCTTTTTGGCAGGGTGTCCAAGATCATTGGCCATGAGTAGCTGTATCATATTCCAACCTGCCATTCTGCTTGGTAGTTTTCAGAGTGTATCTCTTAGTTTTTCTGTGAAAAAACGTTGTGCCCTCCTGCTTTGTATGAGATGACTACATAGCCCAAAACTGTGAATTGGTGTCACTGAAAATTGGGTATACAGTCTTGCTATACCGGTACTGTACTGTATACCTCAAGATTGCATGTGAATGGGAAAGGGATGACAATGACAAAAAAACATGGAATTTGCAACACTCCATTGTTGGAGAGACCCCATTGGATTATTTTGGTGACATTTAAAAAAACGGATGGTAGTTTGGCACATTTTCTATTTTTCCATATATTGAGAATAATCATCCCAACTGACTAAGATTTTTCAGAGGGGTTGAAACCACCAACCAGAAAACAGTGTAAATGACAAAACACGAAACACATGGTCAGTTTTTTTTAAACAGGCTGTATAGTATAGAAATGAGTCACAATGAGCATCGTTGACGAAGCAAGCCAGTCCTCAGTATGCATTCCAGGTTCCTAGGAACCCTCGTGGGACATCTGTTTTTTACATACTAACCAGCTATTTAGCATGCGAGGTATCGAGAATTGACCGGGCATATGAATCCTACTATATATATATTATATATATATATATTAAACATATTATAAATATTTATACGTGTGTATTTTCGGACCAAATGTTATAACGGATAAGTTTAATATGGAAACCTGACTGCCAGGTCGGCAAGTCAAGGTATACCACATGGTTTTTCATACCGGCTTGGTGAATTATGAAATCACTCATTCAGTACTAAAGAGAATAATTATATACTCGTTTTATAAGATGACTATACATTTATGTTTCATTCTTAAATTTATGGACTTAACAATCGACATTGGGGTAACTATTTCTGAAGGACATCTATACCGGTCTATACCTATTAGATTCTACGATTTATGGACCAACAAAACCTCCCAAGAGTCAATCTCGGCAATCTCCCAACGGTCAGATTTATGAAGCAACCAGTGCAGTTCCAGATATTTTTGTGGATCGATTTCGCCATGATTTCGGTTGGTTTTTTGTCCCAACTGACCCATTCAAGTAACCTCAGCTGCACCCATTTTTTAGACCGTGAAGATTTCCGATGTCCATGAAATTCCATTGATTTCCATGTCTAAAGTATACAGGATTGTCTTTTCCCTATGTGAATGTTGGTTTATAAAGCTCATTAAATATGGTTTATCATACTGTAGATGTAACTATAGTTAATGGGGTATCTAGCTGATATAATTCCATGAATACTATTTCGTTATATCTACCATAAACCATAGAATTCAGCCACTTTTTTCAGGTCTTTCACGCCTTCGCTCGACTGGGGCCCCACCCTGGGGCGGAGGATTTTTTCATCCTTTGCGGCGAGGTCCAAATCGCTTCATGCTGAGCTGCAATTGGAGCGGCATAGATCCTCGGTTTCTGCCCTGAAAATGGAGGTTTTCATGGGAAAACCATAGGAAAACGATAGGAAAATGGAGATTTACCCTCTGGTAAACTAACATAGCTAAATGGGCCATGTTCAATAGCTATGTTAAAATACCAGAGGGTAACTATAGGGGTGTGTCTGAAATATGGTATACAATGGAGCTAAATGGCTATTTTTATTGGTGACAATTATGATAATCCAATGGATTTAAAGGTACACTATTTTCAATCAAACCCATAGATATATGTATTATAAACCTTAGCTACCGGGGCACCACCTTGACTGGATTTCAGTTGGGCAAATTTGGAGTTTTGATTGACAAGAATGGAGAGTTGACCAAAACCATGTGAAATTTGGGCTTTGATATGGTTGCTGTTCATGAACCAAAGCGAGGAAAGGGCATCCTTGTTGCTTTTGCGATATGTGTACTTTTTGCACCTGCTTTTTGTATATTTCCCTAATTTGAGTTGATTCCAAACCGTAACATTTTTGTTGGTTCAGAACCTGGCCATTTTTGGGGCCCTTAGAACCCAGGGCCATTTCTATCCAGGAGAGCATATCGACAAGATCCAATTCCTGCATACTTTGCTGCACAATCCTTCGATCAGTTTTCAGGCGTGGGATTTTTATGGGATTCATCGGGGCTTTGAAAATTGGGTGCCCTCTGGTATCCATTCAATCCCTCAGTTTGGCGCAGACTTGGTCTGAAGGCGACAGAGAGAGAGAAATCTATTCATCGGTATTGCTTTTAAGAAATAATTGAAACGCTACAACTGGGGATATTTTCGGCGACAATAGCCCCAAAAAATCATGTATATTTTGTTAACCATCTTGTAATGTTTGTTTCTTTGTGGTGGACTTCGGCACCTCGAAAACTGCCAGCTTTGTTGCTGGGTAGACCTATTGGGAAAGTTGATGTGCAACGCATTTCTGATAGTGGGGCTGTTTCATGATGGGTAAAAAGCCCATTAATCATGCGGGGGTTGTTGTAGGGGAATCCATTTGCAATTTTGCGACGGGAAACCAAAATGGTTTGAAGGCGTAAAGTGCACACAGATGTTGTATGTATATGCACTCATAGGCGGTATAGGTACTTTATATGTTTTTCTTCATAGCTATTTGGTAGTCAAACGTGGCATCAGAAAATCATCCACGCAGTACATATATATATATATATATTTGATTTTACCAGCCATACCGCCATGTGTGGCGGATTTTCCAGCCATGTTTGATGACGGGTTTGTTTGACCAGAAAGGGAGGATCGTCCCATTGGGGTGCCTGTAGGGTCGAGGGTTGAGTTGCTGTGCCACGCGCTGGAAACTGTTCCAAAATCAGTGGTTTGGGAGTGAAAAAAGAACTGTTTTGAAATAGCGTTTAAAAATGCCTTCAAAACTCTATTCCTTCTTTTTGGATCAGATAAAACTCGTGTTTTGAGAGTTGTTTGGGGTTGGTTCTCATGATTCATGCCTTGGATTTCGTCAAGTTTTCCAGGGGAAACAGCTGCAAAAACCTCATTTTGTCATCGGGTAGGGTGAATCTGCTGACCAATTCACGCTGACATACCGAGTTGTGACTAGGAGCCAGGTCTAAACTCTCCATATTTCTTCCTGCATTTTTCCGATGTTTCAAATTTGTCTTCAACCGATTCTGTCCCGAATTGATGTCATGCAGACAACTTTTGAAAACTGGCACTGAAAGGCAATGTTTAAATGGCAACTTCAATGTTTGTTCAAACGATTCCTGCCATCTTTGAACATCGGCATCGACGCGACCTCGGATATTTCGCTTCGGCCTCCAATCATCGCCAGGAGGGTCAAGTGATGCAAACTTTGGCGCAGAGGGCCTTGAGTTCCCATGACTTGGGGGAGGATGACGCGGCCCGACAGCTGGTTCCCGGGGTTTTGTTGATGGAAATCCTGCCAAGGGAAAGTTACGGAATCATAAGTAGGAAAACCATCAGACTGTTATATGGTTGGTGGTCTGGAACATTTTCTTCCATATATTGGGAGTAATCATCCCAACTGACTTTCATATTTTTCAGTGGGGTTGAAACCACCAACCAGATAAGTAGGAAAAACATCAGACTGTTATGAGTCTTACCCTCTGGTAAACTATCATAACTATGGAAAGATCCACCATTTTCAATGTGCAAATCCACTATAATAAATGGGCCATGTTCAAAAGCTATGTTAGTCATAACCAGAGGGTATGGGAAATTCATCGATGGAGGTTTTCATGGAAAGTTCATGTAGGGATGCTCTATGTTTAGCTTGGAATGCTAGACAGTAAAAAAATGCCCACGAAGCCAGTAAGCGGAAGACATGTTCAACCCACGAACTGCCCCTTGACGTTTACAGTTTACTTTATATAGGTCTCCATTTGACCCACCGGGAATACAAACGTAGCAACGGAAACTCCCTGTAAATGGATGTTTTAATGAGAAAATCGTTGAACCAAGTGGCGGATTTCCAGCAAGCCACTGTTGATTACAGGTGGCTTCCGCTGGCAAACTAAACTGCAAATGCAACTTAGTAAATTTGCAGTCGATCTCTCAGAAATATGTCGATATATATATATATATACACGTATTCATTTGTATACCAGGTGGGACCCTACTACAGTTATAGGTTGGTTGATAAACTCCATCAACTGAATAAAACATAGTTAGTTATAAACCAACTTAGTCATTTAGGGCCGGGCCCACCTCGCATACATATATATATATATATCTATATACGAGTAACCGGCACAATTAGCGTAAAACGAAAGTAGTGGGAAGTGGACATGGGATGTTCAAATTTGTGCGAACACATTCACAACCGATAGGGGACCACCCACTTTGGCCATGTCCCTTGCGGGTAGTAAGCATTCTGTCCGCCACTTTTATCATAGATATTATTTATATCTCATGTTTTATACATATTATATCGTATAAATATTACATATTTCTTATTCTGTCCGCCACTATAATTAGATATACATATTTCTCAGCAGAGATTGGTTCCTGCACAGTGATGCCCCCCCTAAACTGGTCCGTTGCCCTATGCCATGGGATTGGTTTGTGGTATGTCAAAGCAGTGGAAATCCACCATTTCCAACTTAGCTGCCGAGCCCTTACAATCCCATGCTCATTGATCATGTTCCCAATCTTTGTTAAACATCTTCTATTTAGAATTCATGTGTTCCCCATATAGCAACCCAAGTTGGGTAGAAACATACAGAAACCTGGAGGTAAGCATATTCTATACTGGACACACGTGTCTCTCTTTTTTGGGGTTACTCTCTCCGTCTCTCTCTCTCTCTATATATATATATATGGTCATCCCCCAAAATACCTGCAAGCAAATTCAAAAGTAAATCCACACTAAAATAATGAAGATTCACGCTTTTGTCTTTGTTGGGCTCACTATAAGAATAATATATTTTTATATACACATATATCTTTGTCCGCTGGTTGCTTTATTTTTTCATTTGTCCTATGGCTCCCAACTGGCAAGCCAAAGATCATCAACGGCATAGCATTTTCCCTCTGTGTTTTCCCAGTGGAAGCCGAGGTGGTCTTTTGTCACGGAAACCCGGCCACCTCGGCGTACCTTCTGCTCCATGGTTGCTGGGCGGGAGAAACAATTGGGATGTGTGGTTTATATGGATTGATATGGCTCATTTATGGTAATGTATAGATAGATATATATATATACATATACATTTGAATGTATTTTCATTTCGATATATATATATATATCATATATATATATATAGTACCAACTATACCTGGCTCAGCAACCACAGATCAACAATCAAAGCCAAGTTCGCTTCAGCAACCATGACTCCGAACCACGACACAGCAACCAAACATACTTTGGCTTTAGAAATTACAGCACAGCAACTACGGCCCAGCAACCAAGGCATTATTCCGATTCATCAACTACACTTGAAACTAGCAAACATGTATCCTCTCTAAGTCATTGTTAAACTGTCCCCCTTCATTAAGTTTGCTTTAGGGTTTATTTGGGGTTGGTTTATGGTCTATTTGGGTATAGATTAGGCTTACTTTGGGGTTTGTTTAGGGTTTATTGGTTTGGTTTAGGGTTGGATTGGGTTTGTTAGGTTTGGTTTAGAGTCTAGTTTAGAGTTTCCGACGCATAGGTTCCTGTTCTTTGTTGTCGGGGCATAGTTGCCGAAGCATAGTTTCCGAAGCATAGTTTCAGAAGCATGCTTGCTGAAGCATATGATATATGCAGATAGGCGAAGGTGATGTTTGGTGTGAGATGTTTACACGCACACACATCCACCAATAGTAGGTACTTGGATTGGCCATGGTTGTTTGTGAGCTGGTTGTTAGTAAATGGATTGTATGCCCACAGGGCCCCATACTTGCTACAAGGTGGTGCCACCCCCTTGGCTGCGTCAGTTCATTAACACCCATCCGGCTGTATACCTTCCATGAACCTAGCTGGCTGTGTTTGTCCAACACCAGCTGAACTTCTGTAACTAGGGGCATCACCTTGCATGGCAATTGAACCACCAATAAATGTAGATATGGCCATATATTGCTCATGTCACTGTCAATAACACTGTCAATGGGATCTAGTGGGGCAAAATTGGGTATACAACCAACTATGAATACCTATGAATATCTATGAAAATCTATGAATATTTATGAATATACGGATCTAGAATAACATGGTTGATTGTAACTGTGTACACATCTATGTTTGCCAGCTCTTTTTCCGGGAATTGATCGATACAATTTCCACCGCCATGTAGAGGGTACCCAGCCACGACATGTTTAAGTCTTGATAAGGGATCACCACACATTAAATTGTGCTGAAATCTTGGTATATAATGTTATGAGACAACCTACTGGATGGATGTTTTAATACTTAATCGCCTGCCATAAACGGTGGTGCTTACTACCCAGCTAGCAAAATTGTACCATATCAAAGATTGGCCATTTTGAGGTGCCAGAAACCATTAGTGCTGGAAATGACTATAGTAAAGTGAACCTTTTTTCCGGCATCTTTTTGGAGCAATATCTCTGTGATGCGGTGCTCATTTACTTATCAATCTGGATAGCCACCCAGAAGTAAGTATATATATATATATTCCACATCACACACACATAATATGTAAACGTTTGTGTGAGCATTGTTCATATATCCATGTAGACCTGATACAGTTATTTTTTTTGTGTGGAGAAAGCTATTTGCAGAACCATGGATAGTGACATGTGAGGGGTCTACTAAATTGGTTTCTCTACAGTACGGGCTTCCACATATGGGACCGATTCAGATTTATAGCACGCGGCTTGGGTCACAATTCCAAATCGGTTGGATTAATGCTCAGCACATATCCGATGAGAGACTCCTTGGTTTCCTATTGTTGGTTCATTAAATCCCATTATGTGCGCATTGTATTCCAACATATGCCCATTGTCTTCCCATCATGTTTCCCATTCATGGCTGGCTCAACCCCTATGTGTGTGGACGTGCCGAGCTGAACTTTGTGTTAACATCGTGCGCAAAAAAATTACTTTACTTCGTGTGATCCCCACCATGACATTTATACATTTTCTTACTGGCAAATCTTCTGGCATTCTATCTGACATATCTTCTGACATTCTATTTGGCATTCTATCTGGCATATCTTCTGGCATATGATCTGGCATATCTTCTGGCATTCTATCTGGCAAATCTTCTGGCATATATTCTGACATATCTTCTGGCATTCTATCTGACATATCTTCTGGCATATATTCTGACATATCTTCTGGCATATCTTCTGGCATATCTTCTGGCATATCTTCTGACATATCTATCTGGCATATCTTCTGGCATATTTTCTGGCATTCTATCTGACAAATCTTCTGGCATTCTATCTGGCATTCTATCTGGCATATCTTCTGGCATATTATCTGGCATTCTATCTGGCATATCTTCTGGCATATATTTTGACATATCTTCTGGCATTCTATCTGGCATTCTATTTGGCATTCTATCTGGCATATCTTCTGGCATATCTTCTGACATTCTTTCTGACATTCTTTCTAACTTTCTTCTGCGCATTCTTTGTCCCATATCTTCCTACATGAGGTCCGGCAGGGAACACTTGGCATGGATCCTCGCGGTTGAGGTCCGGCAGGGAACACTGGGCGTGGATGGTCGTGGTTGAGGTCCGGCAGGGAACACTGGGCGTGGGTGGTCGTGGTTGAGGTCCGGCAGGGAACACTGGGCGTGGATGGTCGTGGTTGAGGTCCGGCAGGGAACACTGGGCGTGGATGGTCGTGGTTGAGGTCCGGCAGCGAACACTGTGGATCGCGGGTCGCAGTTGGACGAGGACGACGAGGACGACGAGGACGACGAGGACGACAAGGACGACAAGGAGGACGAGGAGGAGGCAGGAGGCAGGACGAGGCAGGAGGCGGCAGGAGGAGGAGGCAACTGACATAAAATCTAACAACCCTCACCTGGCAGGTGGGGAACAAATCGTAAAAGGGATTTGCCGATTTACCCATGACAAATTGGGACTTAAACAACAAAATTTGGAGGTATAATGTTTTTATAATCGGGATATGATGGGGGTACCTTTTGGTAACAGTTTGCAATGCCACAAAAAATGCCCAGTTTGCTATTTGGCTTTGGCGGATGCCGCAGTCCCCAAAAAGGCTACGCAAGAAATTGACATGAATGAAGTGGTCTCTGGAATTGCTGTAGGCATGACGATGAGAGCGAAAGCCTTTCGTTGTAGTGTTGCTTCTGAAGCCCAGAAACCAACGATCATTCGCATCTTCAGGAACTATTCTGCTAATGATGTGATTGAGCAATTTAGAACTATATGTTTGCGCAAGATTCAAGGTGTAGCCAAAATGTTGGTGTTTTGTCATCCTTAAAGACATGGGCTAAAGCCCATCACACATTGAGCCAAGCCATCAGTCAACATTGCTTTCAGGTTCAATGACCTACCGTCAAGTGGACATGAATGTCCAGCCCACGGGGGACTACTGGAACCTTGGGTGCCAAATCATCTACCTCAAGCGTCTACTCTACTCTACTTTACTTTGCGCTACTCTACTCCACTCCACTCCACTCTACTCTACTTTCTCTCTCTCTCTCTCTATCTCGACGTATACACATTTATGTATTATACATATATACATATATACATATATCAACATATATACATATATACATATATGTATATATGTATATATGTGTGTGTGATGCTATTATAAAAGCACTTATATTGATTCATACCCATTTTCTCAGCAGGTCTAGTGACTAGTGGAGCCGGTGGTACAAGATCAGATTTTGGGCGTCGCGGCGAGGCATCAAAAATGGTGGATTAACCAACTGATTGGTACTTAAAACCTATGGAATTATATGGTGAAGTATAAAATGGATGAATAACAGCTGGTTGATTAACAATCATTAGCCACTGAAATGGATATATTACAATCATAAAATGGATATATCTGGTATGTAGTGATGATATGGTAAAGTATAAAGTTTAAAATTGATATTTAAAATGTATCCAACGTGGCCATGGGAAATCCCTTGTAAATGGAGGCCCAATTGATTGGAACATAGTGGTTAATAGTGCTTAATAGTGGTGAATAATGGTTAATGAGATAACTGGTTGGTGGTTTGGAATATGAATTTTACTTTTCCATATCTATTGGGAATTTCATCATCCCAACTGACGAACTCATACTTTTCAGAGGGGTAGGGCTCAACCACCAACCAGAAAGTATCCAACTGATTGGTAAATTACAATCATATTACTAAATGGGATATGGGAGTGTTAAAGAATCAATGGAAATTTCAGGGCCCTAAAATGCAGCTACGCCATTTTAGGCTCCTGAAATGGCCATGCAATATTGGGTATTTGGGTGGATACGGTGATACTTGTCATTTTTTGCCATAAATTGCCTTTTTATTTGCCAAGGGCTGATCAAACACGGCAATGGAAAATCCCCCATCTATAGATTAACGCAGGGATTTCCAGCTAGCCACGTTTGATGACCGGTGGCTAAAATTAAGCAGGATCTCAGATTGACCACGGCATGAGTACAGTGGATGTTCGGCTGATATGAATTGAATTGGTATGATCCTATTATTGGATCGCACTGCTGAAATTTCATGATTTTTTTGGCTTCGGACCATTTCAACATACTCACAGTACATACAGTATAATGTGCAGCAATATATATATATACACACACCGTGTATGTATATATATATATATATGTATGTATGTATGTATACACACTGTATATATACATGTGACATGTGTGTAGTGTTTGTGTGATTTGTGTGTGTTTGTTCCATTTTTGTGGCAGCCGTTGAATTGATGTGTTTTTTCATTCGGATACTGACCCTTAGTGGCTAAGATAATGTTATGTTGGAATGGAGGGAAACCATCAGTCCGAAAAGTGTAAGCATTTGTCATAAAATAAGGGTATGCCATTCCATCCCATAATTGATCGCTATGTTCCTAACAAAAAAAATGTAATTTTGGGGTATATTGAATTGCCCATTTTCAGACACCCCCCAAGTATCAGATATTGTCCCGTCACATATACCTCCGTATAGTGCTTGACTTTATATATACCCCAACTATCCCTGTTATTGGCTCTGATGTGAGCATTAAATCATTCATATCGTATCCATGGTTGTATTCACCATATCCCATTGTACTGCCAGGTATATTGGCATCAACGTTGTCATTTTATATCCCATTCTAATCCCATTAAACGCCCATCATCCATGGAATTTACAGGGACCCCAATGATGGGATTCCCGCAAACTTCCCGTACTATTGGTGTTTGTTATGAGGTTAGTGTGGGAGTAGGGCTCCCATCCGATAGGGGATCTTTATTATTTCTGGCAATCTAACATGGAGATCGAAAACCCAACATTTGTATACAATTTCCATGGGAAACCCAGAGATTTCCACAGTTTGTTTGGTATTTTACTGGTATTTCGTTGTGAAGTTGCACCAGTCCAAGGATTTGTGAGATGTGTCTTTGGCCCCTTGGCTGACTTGGGAATTCACCGCATGAGCCATGAAAAAAAACATTGTTGATTGGTCATTATAAGGATTATTGGGGATTATAGTTGAGTTTTTAGGGGGATACGACATTATATATATATAATAAGGTTATATACAGTTATATTCCCTATATTGTAATACCCTCCCTCTAAGGATATTAGGTGGTTATACGACAACCCAGGGGAGAACATCATAATCCGTTAAGTGGGAATCCCCATGAACCAACTGGTGTGAAAATTCGTGATTTTCTTGGTGAGTCGGCGGGGCTTGTCTCAAAACATGAGATCATCCCATGACCACTGAGGCCAATCACTTAGGGAATCTACTGCCAATATCTGGTTGGTGGTTTCAAACATGAATTTTATGACTTCCATTTCATATATGATATTTATGGGATGTCAGCCTTCCCATTGACGAACTCATATTTTTCAAGATCGTTCAAACCACCAACCAGTTGTATACTACCCCCTTTTTCAACCCCTGGTGGAATGTAATGGGGGTTGATGATTCGGATCTTTTATTAGTGCCATGGAATTGGATTATACGTGTATAATCGCTTTATGTACAGATCGTGAAGACTGGAGTAGTTGGTCAATTTACTTTGTGGCTCGTAGCTGTGCATTGACCTTCACCATTTGTATCCAAACTTCAATGGTCCTCACATGTTCAACTACTTACACGACCCAGCTTGAAAAGCGTTAGAGGCCCCAAAAGAGATGCTAGATACTTGCTGGTGCATCCCAGGAAGTGTAGGATAATGACCATATCATATGATATATCAGTTATATACAGGATACACCCCACTTAGATGAGTGTTTGATGTATTTGTTCTTTCTTTACCCCGGGATCCTCTCTGGGTTCCGCACCTCTAGTCGTAGCAACGTCGACCGGCGTCGACCAATGTCCGGTCTCAAGGACCCATTGGAGCCATTTTGGCGATTTGCATTGCCAGAGTTTTAGCCATATTTGCGCCCTCCATGTCCAGGACCCACCAGAAGCTGCTTAAGGAAACTGAGGAAAGCCAAGTTGCAGTGCATTTTCGCCAAGGAACAGCAATTGTTTTACCAACAATGAGGATTTAAATGATTTAAAGATGTTTTATGTTGGTTAAGTTGGGTCGGTTCGTAAAGTTGACTATATAATGTCAACCCTGGATTAAAACCCCCAAACGGCTGTTTAATTGGGTGAGTACCATTTAAGTATCAGATTATGACTATTGGGGAAGTACCACCCTAATTAGTAAATTATGGTTTATTAATCCGGGGTTGACTATATCGGGTTTATGTAAGAACCTACCGACATCACTGCTACAGAATGGCCACAGCTGGGCTTTGTGTTGGTTGCGCATGGTCTTGATGCGGTAAACCCACTACAAGAAAAATATGTCCTTTGGGCATTGCATAGAAATATGTAGAAATATTAGCAAGATACCCTTCAATTAACTAACACAGAGATATGGAAGATCCACCATTTACAGAGTGTGTCCAAAGTGCCCACGGTTCTGGTAATTACATATAATTAAATTACCGTAGTTTCTGGGAAACCCTGGTCGAAGGCACTTTCTTTGTCGTAAAGTTTTTCTATGCAACCGTCGCTGATCAATGGTTGCTGAGCCCTTGTGGATTGATGATCGTTTCGGGGATGAAAAGCCACTGTTTCCAATAAGGTGGGGAACATCACTAAGTGAGTAGTTTATTGTTGATTTTCTGGCATAGACCGCCTTTAGAGCTCAAAGTTAGTAGTGTATTTCGCCTGAATTGTAACGCTGTCAGAAAGACCTGCAATATTTTTTGCTTAGCGAAGGGAATCCACAGTGATTTTCTCCCAGGCTGGTGAATTATTGTGATATATTACTGAGGCAACATGCAGCACGAAATGTTCATTGATTGAAACATACAATCACCATATTATATATATAATATATAGATACACATGTACATGTACAATATGCATTGTTTCGCGTGTCCCCAGTTCGTAAAGATCTATGAACCCCGCAATGTTGATTTATATGCGGAGTTATTTTTACAGACACAAACAGATCTAAATACAGAAATTGAAATACGTATAAATACACATACACTTACACATACTCATAGGTACAAAAAAAGCATGCCATGCCATGCCATGCCATGCCATGCCATGCCATACTGACAGACAGCATACATACAGACAGCATACATACAGACATGCATACAGAAATTCAGACATACATACAGACATTCAGACATACATACAGACGTACAGACGTACATACGTACATACATACATACAGACATAGAGACATATAGACACACAGACACGCAGACATACGCACAGATATACATTCAAACATAGACACATAGATATAAACATACAAACATACATAGATACATAATGATACATACATAGATACATAATGATACATACATAGATACATAGATACATAGATACATAGATACATAGATAGATAGATAGATAGATACATACATACGTACATATATACATACATAAATACATATGTACCTACATGCGGACATTAATGCAGACATATAGACATACAGAAATACAGGGATACATACATACAGATATACGGAGATCATAGATACATACGTACATACGTACATACATACATACATTCATTCATTCATTCATACATATATACATTAAAAACATACAAACATGCAAACATGCAACCATGCAAGCATGCAAACATACAAACATGCAAACATACATCCATGCATGCATGCATACATTTGCGCACATAGACATACGTACATACCTACAGACATACATTCGAACATGCATGGATACATTGATACAATGGATACATACCTGATCCATAGATACATAGATACCACCAAAAAAATACAGTACATGCAGACAAAAAAACCTGACATAAATTCATACATGCATACATTGATACATTCATGCATGCATGCATGCCATCCATCCATACAGACATACATGCATTTATCCATCCATCAATACAGACACACATACATACAGACATGTGTCAACACTGTGTTGTATGCGAGACATTTGCAATTAATGTGTATGCACGTTAGGTGCGCACGCACGACTGCAGATATTTGCAGATGTACTGGTACAATGGACCGACACCCAGCAAACTTACACTTGATTTTTGGATATGATTGCCTCCAAACATCCTTTACAAGCTGTACAAGCATGATTTGTTCCATACAATATTTCCATGTGTGTTTTTACTTTGCGTGGGTAAACCTTGTTGGATGGTAGATTTTGTTGGATGTTTATAGAGCATCATTGCTTATAAAGATGAGATTCCCGTGCTAGGGTCAAATCATTTGATTTTCAGCGAGGTGTTGGAAAATTGGCCCCGAGCGTGTAGAAACGTCAATAGGGAACATAATGACAAATGTCATTAGATTTCCATCAACGGTGTTTTCATTTCTTGTAAATAGCAGATGCTATTTTTTTTATAATTTTATTATTTGTCTGGTGAAATTTATGTTCTACCCTCTGGTAATTTAACATAGCTATGGAAAATCACCATTGTTAATGGGTAAATCCACTATAAATGGCAATTTTCAATAGCTTTTTGTTAGTTTACCAGAGGGCATGTTCTAATTTCTTGAAATAATCCATATTTCGCCGTTGCACCCACCTTTTTCAACCCCTCCGCGTGGCCGCAGGAGTTCTGCGAGGTGATTTGCAGCAGTCCAACCGTCCAAGTGCAAGCACACAACTACGCTAAGGACGGGAAAACAACGGGAAAATCATTGGCAAATCATATTTTAATGGGAAAACCATAGGAAAACCATCGAAAAATGGAGGTTTTATATGGCTTTCTATGGTTTAATATGGTTTTATAGGGATATTAACGGAATGATGGGATAATACTGGGATATTGTTGGATATACCCTTTGGTAAACGTACAAAAAACTATTGAACATTGCCCTTTTTCTAGTTGGTTTACCAATTAAAAAATGGTGATTGACCAGAGGGTACACACCAAATAGAAGTTTCAATATTACCGGAAATTCACATGTTGCCATGCAGGTGATAGGAAAATCATTGGACATTGTCATGTTCGATTGAAGGGTGACGGATTTTGTCATGCGAGCAAGCAGACTGGGATTTGTTTGATAACAGGATTTTAAAAAAGATACCAAAGCTATATGCTCCAGGTATCGTTCATATTTTCATGGTCGGGCCCTTTTTTGGTGTAAATGTTGTTGAATATACCAACGGTTTGGATCCCAAACATGCTGGCAGTTGTCAGCAAACCGCCCGAAAAACTTGGGCTGGTGGGTCTTCATGTTTGTTGACAGATGGTAACCCCTTTTGGATGGTTTAAGATGTAAGTCTTGGGGGTTGTAAAAATGTGTGTGGCACAGCAAATCATAAAACTATCGATGGGAGTGTGTTTTTTCAATATACTTATTATAACCCATCGCCATTGATCGCAATACTCGGAACGGACTGCTTATAGCTTTGGTTTGACACAAGATTGCGATTTTGATGGGGAAAATTGCTTTAAAAAAGTGTGCGATGTGGAGGAAAACTTTTTGTAGACAAACAGTACTGCCAACATTTAATGCTCCCGGCCTGTTCTAGATCCATGTTTGGGAATCGGAGTATCTTGTGTTTTTGAGGCTTACTTAAGATGACGAGGAAGTAAAAACATCCTAGCTGTAGGGTTGACCATGGTCCCTGCCTTTTGACATATTGACCAGCAGCCCTCCACCCATCAGGATTATATCAACTGCATGCACGCAGAGAATGCCTGCAGTGACCTGTGGCCCCTTGGACACAACAATGCTTGGTTGCTAACCTTGCTATCTTGGTTAAGTGGTATGATAGCAAACGTTTGTTGATTTCAGCCAGGTTTTGACCAGGTAGTGCCAGGGTAAACCTTCGCGGCCTTCCATTTTGAGTATGGCATGTGCCATTTATGATGAAGACATATAATGTTCCTGCCGCCAATACCCGGCAATCAACATAGCTGTAGGGAAAACCACCCGTCACCCAGTCTTATTATATAGGTAATTCCTCCAAAAATGTGGGCAATTGTCGATAGCTATGTGAAATTTCCAGAGGGTACCAGTTCAGAATAAGAATAAGAAAAGCGGAAGGATAGCACTGATAGCACGTTCACCAACCTAATGGCCTTAAGATCGAGCACGCATCACCAAAAAGTCACCCAAAGTGCGGATCCTGCATTGCCATGTTTGAATATCGAAGGATTCTGTAGTTCAAACCTTGAACATGGCTTATCTCATTATAAGCATATTATTCGCAGTGTTTCACATCCACCAATAGTTACAAACTGGTGCAGGATTTCTTCCATCGACGGTATGACTTGTGTTTTGTTCCGTTTCTATGCAGGAAAGAAGGATGATTGCAAGTGACGGACATTGTACGTAATTATACTATCCTTTGCTGGGCTGGGTTCCGAAAACGGTACTCAAATTTATTCATTTGGCACAGGGCAAAAATGTAGCATGTAAGATGTTACCCTTCGCAATGGTGTGTGGCCGTAGATGCTTGTCAACACCGCTGAGCCCCGGCAGCTGCCACGGCTTGTGGTCAACTTGGTCAACCGAAGTGTCGACAAGCAGAAGCTGTGCGGGCCGATGCATAAAATTTTGCAGGAAGAAGAACCGGAGCGATTGGAGGGATCCGAAGCCTCAAACTCCACCTCCGCGACAACAGCCAGGGGGTTACATGGATTAGTCAGACAAATGCTTATTTGGTATACCCTCTGGTAAACTAACAAAAAGCTATTGAAAATTGCCATTTATGGTGAGTTTTTCCATTAAAAATTGTGATTTTCCATATTTTTTTATATGTTTACCAGAGGGTAGGTCAGCACCAGCATGCACCAGCCACACTTCTGCGGAGCAGCTCACCCACAGCCATTGAACCAAGCGGACTAAAGATACGTGGCTGTCTGCAAGGTGTTTATTCTGTTTCAAGTGGCCATATTAACGAACTTTCTTTTATGTTCATACAGATTCATACAGTATATGGGTTATTATATAATGGTTATTAGCTATTGATATTGATAAGCATGGCACATTTACTTTTAGTGTGATGACTTCTACAGTGATTTGTTCAACCACTTGTTTGCTGGTGGCTTGGCTTCGTAGTTTGGCTTCGAACTGGACCCCAGTTTGTGATCATCCCCAGACCCGGGTTGATGTGTGGAATGCGTGCGGCAAGACATGGCAACCCTGACCCTGACACCCCCAAAGATGGGCATGAAATGAAGAAAAATGGGGATTTAATTCACTTCAATCCATTGACGCAGATCGCCAGGGGTCAAAAGTCGGGGCCAAGAATCATCCCCAAATAGCTAGCAGCATGGGAACAGCTATTTTCAGGCTAGTGACTAGCGACGAAACCATGTGAAATTCAGCCAGCTGTTTTTTGGTTCTCCTTTTTCCTGTTCCAAATGGCTGTTTTCTTCACAACTTCGGGGGATGAAACGAAGTTCAAGAAGTTCACCCACTTTGATTCGGCACACTTTTGCCACTTGAATGGTTTATATTTATATATGAATGTCTATTAGCAATTAACATATTTATAAACATGGGCTTTATTTACTGACCAACTTAGATGGTTCCTGGTAATGAATTATATTAATAGCTTTCCAGCTGTAGTCGTGTTATTTCCAGCTGTCGCCTTTCTTTTACAAGCCGAACATATGTGCATACATTTCTTTTTACACAAGTGAATATGTACATATGTATAAATATTAGTTGCATGATATGTATTATGTGGTTCCGCGCGTATTTATGGTTTAAGGTGTGTGTGTGTATGCATATATATATATATAATATGTTAATATACATATATATATATATTTATATGCACAGTTTTTAATATATACATAAAAGTTTTAGTATGGTAAACCAGTAAACAAATATAGAAATCAAATCCATCCAAAAATGGTGGTATATATTTTTTTTTGGGGGGGAAGGGGTTATATATATACATATGTATATATATATATACAAGGTGATGCCACTGAGTGATTGTTTGGGTTTATAAGCACCATTACCGGTTCCGATATATTTGCTATGAACCATAGCTAACTTAGTCATAGGCCCACTTATGGATCATAAACCATATACTTATAAGTTGGTTTACAACGCCATTGTATGCATATATATATAATATTTGTATACATAGATATCAACTTTAAATCCCAGTGAAGATGATAAAACCAACTCAGCTAGGATAAACCGAACTTAGGTCATCACAAGAAACTTGTTGCTTCTTCATCCCTACATCTTTGCTGCGCAACTTGTTGCGCGCGCCACGTACGTCGCGTGCCCAGGGTGAGCGAACTCCAAGTCGCGAAGAACTCGTCCTTGCGAGGCGATGACTGGATGCGGAGCAAATGGACCAGTTGGGTGTCGCTGGACGACGGCTAACGTCGGGCTGTGGGATGAACAAAATGGATGTTTAATTGACATAGAATAGGATTTTAAAACTGATTTAATTGGATTGAATGGATATGAATGGATTCATGGTGGTTTGATGTTACAGGCCAGCTTGAACAGAGAAAGCTTGACTTTAGAAACAAAATATACAAAAACAGATTCACCAAACAAACAGCGGTTGCTGTGGTTTTGTTTTTCCTTTGTTTTTCATGTATGTATAGAATCTCGTATTCTCTGTGTTGTTGGCCTCACGTTTCTATAATGAGAAACCGTTTTTGCCATTTCTACCATCCCCAGACTCAAAATTTTATGGGCGGTATTTCAATCATCCCCCGTCATGGGAGTGGGTTCATGGCATGGGGGGGGGATCATGGATGATGGGCCCATGGGGGTTTTGATCAAAATAGGCCATGGAATATAACCACTTGGGGGTTTTGATCAACCAGAGGTTGCTGAAAAAATCATGGGTGTTGTTCTTACAAATCTTTTACTTTTGCGAAAGATTTGTTTAACCCGAAAATATTTGGGATATAGGGCCCCAAGAACTATAGTGAGATATATCGCCTTAGTTCACTGGAACTGCACTTCCAAGTAATGGCCAAAAATGGGAATATCATGGGATACCGCACAAGGCGGTCGTGGAAGTTTCAATGATAGGAAACTATAGAAGAGGTGCGTTGTTGTGATGCAAGGATGGCGGCGCGAATCCATTGATGGACCGGAAGGTGGTTGGAGTTGTGCTTTTTGGAGTTGTTGCAGTGGTCGCCGCACCCACAACTGCTGCATGTAGCGTGGTGTAGTGTGTTGTAGTTGTAATTGTAGTGAGTGGTGTGGCATGGCGTAGTTGTAGTTGTAGTTGTAGTGTGGTGTAGTTGCAGTGGTAGTTTTAGTTGTAGTTGTAGTGGTAGGTGTAGTGCGGAGATAGTTGTATCTCTAGTAGTTGAAGTAGACGTAGTAGCTGTTGTGGTAGCAATATCTATCTATCTATCTATCTATCTATCTATCTATCTAACTGTCTATCTACCTATCTATCTATCTATCTATCTATCTATATATCTATATATCTATCTATCTATCGATCTATCTATCTATCTATCTATCTATCTATGTACCTTCCTATCTATCTATATTTCTGTCTATCTATATTTCTATCTATCTATCTATCTATCTATCCATCTATCTATCTATCTGTCTATCTATCTATCTATCTATCTATCTATCTATCTATCTATCTATCTATCTGCTTGTTTGTCTACCTATCTTTCTGTCTACATATTTTTCTTGCTATCTATCTGACTATCTATTTGTCTGTTGATATGTTTGTTGATATGTTTATCCATCTATCCATCTATCCATCTATCTATCTATCGATCTATCTATCTTTCTTTCTTTCTTTCTTCCTATCTACCTATCTATCTATCTATCTATCTATCTTTCTATCTATCTATCTATCTAACTATCTATCTATCTAACCTATCTACCTATCTACCTATCTACCTATCTATCTATCTATCTATCCATCTATCTATCCATCTATCATCTATCTATCTATCTATCTATCCGTCTCTCCGTCTCTCCGTCTATTTCTCTATCAATCTATCTGTCTATCTGTCTATTTGCGTATCTGTCTATGCATTTAATTCTCTTTCTATCTATCTATCTGCTTGTTTGTCTACCTATCTTTCTGTCTACATATCTCTCTTCCTATCTATCTGACTATCTATATGTCTGTTGATATGTCTATCTATCTATCTATCTGTCTATCTATCTATCTATCTATCTTTCTATCTACCTATCTATCCATCGATATTTCTATCTATCTATCTGTCTATCTATCTATCTGCCTGTCTGTCTATCTATCTATCTATGTATCTATCTATCTACCTATCTATCTATCTATCTATCTATCTATCTACCTATCTATCTATCTATCTATCTATCTATCTATCTATCTAATCTATCTATCTGATATATCTAATCTATCTATCTATCTATCTGTCTATCTATCTATCTATCTATCTATCTTTCTATCTTTCTATCTATCTATCTATCTATCTATCAGTCTGTCTATCTATCAGTCTGTCTTCCTACCTACCTGTATCTGTCTACCTATCTGTATGTCTATGTCTCTATTTATCTATCTATGTATCTATCTATCTTACTTTCTTTCTATCTATTCCAAAATTAAGCGATTCTGCGAGGCGAGACTCCCTCAAAATTCGAAGTTGACAACGTCAAAAACGATGCAATTCTGCGATACTTCCTTCAAACATGGAAAGTTGAGTGCTGAGCTGGCAGCCTCGTACCATTGCGTTTTGCGATTTTTCCATCCCATCTCTCTAACGTATTTTTACCATTCTCAGGAAGTCTGCTCCCTGACCTCCTACCATGACTGATGGAGATGTCTCTTGTATTGCGCCTGCCGCGAAATGCATGTTTATAGATCATCTTCAAACGTCGCACGCCCGCATCGTTTTGGAAACTGCTACAAAACCTACGCGTTTTGCTCGCATTGGGCAAGGTGCAAATCCATTGCACCCACCTGACACAAAATGCCCCTTGAACGTCCGAAAGTGGTCCGAGAATGTGATGTTTTTAGCATTTTGACTTCGAAGTGTGTTTCGCGCGCCAACGACGTGCACTTTTGAACATTACTTCCAAAAGTGCTGGTGTGTTTTAAACATTTTGACGTCGAAGAGAGTGCACTTGTGAACATCTCAACTGACAGTGCTCCGAACGTGGTGTGTCTTGCACCTTTTGACTTCGAAGTGTGCTTGGGGCCGCACGGCGTGCACTTTTTCCACATCTCAACTGCCCAAAATGCTCCGAACCCGTCATTTTTTACACTTTGAACTTCCAAATGTGCTTTGCGCCACAACGGTGTGCACGTTTTCATCTCTCATCTGATCACATGGCTTCGCACCCGCCGCGTTAGCGAGCCTACTTTTCTACCCTCCGGAGCCCCAAAACACACACCAGTGTTTTGCTACTTTTCTTAACCTTTTCGCGCGCCCTGATCTTTTTTCTTCCTTTCTCTTCTCTCTTCCCACCTTTCCTTTTGCATCCGTTCTTTTTTTCGAAAGTTTGACTTCTAAATTTCCTTCGACAAGCTCAATCTATAACAAGACAGGTTTCCAAAGTTACCTTCTCGCATTGGCTTTAAAAACAACAGACACATCAATGGCATGGGCACGTGGACTTGCATATCATCCATTTTTCTCTGGGATTAGGGAAAATTGGGGGCACCACTGCCAGCACTGCCACACCGCCAAGGAAAGGACCCGCATCGCCGTCCTCACACCAAGCCTCCCCACGCCTGATGTCGTGTCTTGTACCCAACAACGTCACAACCGACATGTTATATAAAATAGTTCTGATGTAAACGTGATATTTATTGATGTATATATATATATATATATCAATAGAGAGACAGGGGGGAATACAGGTATATATATGAAGATGTATTGGTATAAATTTATTAAAAAAATGTGAGTGTGTTGTTTCGAAATGCATGATATATACATGTATTTTTTTTATTGATACATATTTATTATTTTCATTGAGATGTTTATATACATATTATATAAATGCTTATAATTGTATATATATATGCATGCATGTAAGGGGAATGTATTAGGAGTTTAACAAACCAACATTTTGACGTTAGTTTGAGCGACCATCTAGGAAAACTTATTCTATCCAATGGCTTTTTTTCCCCAACAAAGCGTCCTAAATTGGGATGCCCACTAACCATCCTCATCATTCTCAGACACACCCTTGTGACCCAGGTGATGGTTTACCAAATACCCTCCAAATCAAAGACGTGTACAGTACCCTAGACATTCTTAGACCCTTGAGCGTATCACCCACATAGCTGATGTTAAGTTGACCGGGCTTGTCCATTCAGCTGGTGATAGCTGTGTAGTGTAGTTGATCGTTCTCATGGGGTTGAAACCATCCAGAACGTGGAATTTGACCTTCGGCAATTCATCAAGAATGTACACATAGCTGGAAGTTCCCATGGCCTCGAAATTATGTCCCGGATTGTTGATGAATATAAGATAAAGTACACATGATATTCACCCCAGTGAGTTGACTATAGGAATTTTCCCAAGTTAGATGTCCCCATATTTGAAAAACTTGGGCACAAACCACTTCATGTCGCCCCAAAAAGTCACCTACCGGGTCCGACCTACGTATCATACCTTCCCGTAATTTGACACAACTTTGGTATAGATGGCCCATTGTTGGATGTTCTACCTATGAACAGTGTTTCTTTCCATAGCGAACTGTGAAATTATTGGAGGGCATGTTTGGGTCCACATTATCAACCTCTGGTACCCTCCGGTAATCAAGGGTAGCAATGGGAAATTCATCTATAAATTGGCGATTGTCGGTTGCCACTTTTGATTACTGGAGGGTGCCCGTCATGATTTCCACCATGATGCCAAATGGGATATCCGAATACGCCATAGTATTCTTCGTGGGTGGGTTATACTCAAAGCGCTAGACTTTTATAGGTTTATCATGTTTCCCACTGAAAGTCAAAAATTATTTTCAATAGGGAATAGAGAAACCAGCCAGATAATTTAGCTACGATATCGATCGTATTTACCAAGTGCGTTTTATTTGCCGTATATTCAGCTAATTTTGGATATCACTGTGCCCTCGAACAGGGTTTGCTAGAAGACTCCCCAGCCATCTATAGTTCAACGTTTTTTCCAGCCAGAAACATATTTGTATAAATTTCCATGTATGATGAAAGCTTATAGTATCAACATGTCACTTGAACATATGTAAACGTATCATTTGTAGTTGCTATCGTAGCCATGTTTGATGACACAAGGGGTTCCAGCCACAAACCACCAAGATGACCGCGCACCAAGGCAGGTAGTGCCACAATGATTTTCCAATCCCCAACCTTGCACCGGAGACTGATAATGCATCCACGATGATCCGTTGCAGATTGATGGGCAGCAACTGGGTTGCCCGATTCCACTCTTAAACAGCCTATTTTGGTGGTTTTGTTTTTCACACTCAATGGGTAACAGTTGGCCAATGGGTCTCCATGAGTGGTTTTGCCACATCAACTATGTTTTTTCCAGTCTGTTTGCTTGTTAGGGGGGGTTACAAACCATCAGCTGCAATCCAGTTACACGCCATTAATTCGTTGCCAGAATCAGAAAATCTCTGCAAACGCTTTTGGGCACACCGGAAAACCGAGAACTAGAAGCGATCATGATAGGGCGGTAGACCAACATATTAGAGCCCCGTGAGCCACAAGATTTGATCATTATTTAGTAGTTAACCCCATATACCACACGAATTTCGGGGCACACGATTGCTTGAACCATGCCCAAGTATCAATGCTGGGTCTTGTTTCATTGAAAGTCAGGCGACCTTTTCCGGACGGCGGGTTTTCTGGTGAGCTTATGTCCTGTAGTCCTATCCAGCTCAGGGGCGGCCAAACACTTAAAGAAAAGATCCAGAAACAAGGGCATCCTTGAGTTGATTCAGTGTCAAAGGCAACATGTGTGTTTTTTGGCGGCGGCTGATCCCAACAGGCTGGGGGCACATGTCCCATGAAGCACCGCTGGAGAAGACTTTAACGACTTGACTTGTTGTCTTGTGTGCGCCGCGACTTGTTTATGGGCCTGGTGTTGCACAGCATGTCAGGAGATGCCAAGATTTTAAGTTGGCTATACTGTTCAGCATTCGGAATACCGTCGATAGCAAATGTATTCATTTGGGATGGATGTGTGGGTCTCTTTTTCCCTTAAAGTCAGGAATTACCGTGTTAACCTCTGGTAATCACAAATGCCTTGTTGTAGAAAGGGCTTTGTAAGAAACATCTTGAATCGGTGTACATCATTGGTTCTCCCTGCACAGAAGAGGAAATACATGTGTTTTTTGCAAACAGCGTGTTCACACTGAGGGGTTCTTACGATATCTGTTACGGCCGGGGTTAGATGATAATCCCGGCAAGAGCCCCCAATGCTTTACATACAAGCAACTCTATGGGTAGGACCTCATACCGGAACCTGAGACCAGGACATCGAAGAGAAATTTGCAAGATCGTCAAAGAATGACCTATACGGACCATATACCAAAACCTTCATACAAGAACTCCTTGGGAGCATCTCAGAAGAACTTCCATACAAGCACCTCTAATGCAGAGCAGCTGCAAGATCTTAATGCAAGGATCTTGTAGGGAGGATTTGAAATGATTTGAACAGGATCTGCACATGATCTTCTCACAGGGACCTGTACAAGATCATGTGAGGACCTCTTAGGCTCTTAGATGATTTCAGCACGATCTTCTCATAAGGACCTGCACAAGTTCATGCACAAAAGACTTCACCAGGATTTCCACAAGATCTTCTCATAGGGGCCGGCACAGGATCATGCAAGGCCGGGCACCTACCGTAAGAACCTACCGTAAGAACCCGTCAGTGTGGACGCGCTGTTTGTGCCATCAGGCTTGCGGCCTTTTTCCTGAGAATTCTCGCTCCAAATGGCTCTTGTGACTGCGCAGGCTCCCACAAACTCTGCGCCCCGATCTTGGGCCCCGGCATTTCTCCAGTAAATACTCGCGTCAAATGGCTCTTGTGACATGTCATGTGCATTTCAACTGCGCAGGCACGCACAAACTGCGCATCGCGATCTTGGGCCCCGTCATTTTTGCTGTAAATTCTCGCGTAAGATCGGTCTTATGACATGTCCAGTTGCATTTCGATTGCGCAGGCTCACACAAACTCTGCGTCGCGATTTCGTGTCCCGGCATTTTTCCTGAAAATGGCGCGTGAAATTGCCTTGTGACATGCCATGTCCATGAGAGTTTCGATTGCGCGGGCTTGCGCAAACTGTGCGTCGTGAGCTGGGGCTCTGGCACTTTCTTGTAAATTCCAGCATAAAATGGCTATTGTGACATGTCCATGTGCATTCTGCGCCGCGGGTCTCAAGCTCTGGGCATGCGGCATTTTCATTGTAAATTCTCGCGTAAACGGGCTCTTGTGGAGATCCTGCTAATTCCGCTTTAAAGGTCCTTGCATGATTCTGCACAGGCCCTTAACAGAAGATCTTGTGGAGATCGGCGAGATCGGTGTGAGATCCTATCTATGAGGTCCTTGCATGAAGATCTTGCAGATGCCATGTCTTAGAGGTGCTTTTATGAAAGCTCTTGTGGGAGGCCAGCAGGGCCTTTAATGACAATCTTGTGAGATTCTCCTAGGGGTCCTGGCATGAAGATCTTGGTCATGGTCTTCTACCATTCCTTGTGAGAAGATCTTGTGGAGACCCTGGTGAAATCCCCGAAGCGTATGAGGTTCTGGCATGAGGTCCTGATGAGTATACATAGCGTTGCTTCTTGTGCCAAAACAAATTGCATCTGCTGCAACTCCGAAAATGTCTAACCTGACCTGTTACTGTTCCATCGCTTTTGGTGCTTCTATCTGGCACATTGACTTCCTAACCCCCACACTGTTTGGAGTCTCTTGCCGGAGTATTTTTATTTACTGTATTTTTCATCGATTCAAAAGCACGTGCAAATGCCTTACACTTTAGTCAGTTGTTTGTTCACCACTGATGGTGGCGGCAGGGAGCACCAGATTGTCCGTCGCAATTGGCGAACAATGTGGCTCCCGGTCCTCAAAACATGCTATAAGCTGGTTCGTAAACACGATTAACCATGGATATAGCATGACATATAGTTGTCATGAAGTCCAGTTGTATTAGTTGTCAAGTTGGGGAACTTATGGGGCACCGCCTTGTGTTTCATCCAGCAGCATCCTCCATTGACATATTAGGGTTTATGGTAGATGTATCTAGACTCAACGCTCTCCTAGATGCCATTGATGGGCATTGTCAGTGAACATTCCGATAAGTTTGTAATTGTAATAGACAAAAATCTGCAGCATGACCAGATCAACATTACCAAAGCCTGGGTTGTTGGAGATCAGGGTTTCCGATCACACAAAAAGATATCACTTTTCCACAAAAACTACGGGTTGAAATTCAGGAACTTCACGTGTGCTTCCAAAAGGGATCCCCCCATGGCTGCCCATCATACTGTCAAAACCCAGCTTAGTGCCTGGTTGCTTTGAGGAGTAGCATGAGAAAAAATATCAGCAGAGCATCCCTTGATGAGCCAAGCTTAAAACCCCAATGATTGGGACCCAAAACCGCTGGGTGAACCACTTCATGGCCCTGCAATGTATGCGTGCAGCTCTCCGAAGAAATCCGCCAACGATGTTTTTTCCGTGGCCGGCTCCGCCCGATCACCAGCATTCCGGTTTTCTGATTGTGCCTATCGTCAAAGGCGCCAAGGCAATCAAGGAATCGTGACGAAAAAAACGGGTGATCACAAGGGTACTTAGATGGCAGAACATGGTCGTGTTCAAGTCGTATATCCTGGAAGCCTGTTTACAGCTATAGGAATGCACAGCAATCATTCGCAGTGTTTTCCCCATGGTCAACCATTTGTTATGTAGCCGTTCTCTACTAACATAAGGGAGCAACCATTCATATGATATATACATATATACATTTACCATGACCAAAAGACGAAGAACCTGGTTCATCATTTTTTCCTGCGAATGCAGTTACTAGATGATTTATTGGCGAGTACCAAAGCATACCATACGGTTTTGAGGGGTGGCATGCAACATGTGCCCCAGAAAGGTGTTGGTCAGTAATTCTGTTGGCACCACAATGAGTACGGTACGGGTAATTGAAGGGGTGTTCAGCAGGGGTAGAAGCCAACAATTGGACAGCAGTCAAACAAATGCCTGAAGAATCCGTCGGGAATGCCAAGGTGGTTTCAAGGTATGTTTCAGTTTTTTTTTCAATCTGTTGAAAATTATTTTTGGGTTCTTGCTTTGGTACAACTCAGGCAAATCTATATATGTTGGAAACACTGCGGTCTTTCAGCAGTTAGTATTGCCACTGAAAGCACAGCGAGTCTTACCCATATTTTCCAAGAATGGCCCATACATGGAGCATATGGGTTACAGTCAGTGGTCCAACCCTTAAAAGTCCCCAGCTTGTGCCGTACCGCGTTGATCACGACCTCATTCATCTTCAAACTTTGCCATGGCTCGGCACGCCATTGGGGGCTCATGAGGTCCAGGCGACCACGTCTTGTTTCCCTGTTTGTTTTAACCAACCAACACAGGATGATCAACATGGAGATTCATTTCACCAACGGATATTCACCCAGCTTTATTGGCAGTGGACATGTTCCCATCGATGGACCAATTTCAGCAGACCCGCTCATCTTGGTTTTTTCAAGTGCCATGTTTGGTGACACTCACTGACACTCACTGCGTCTTTTGCACATCAATGCACATCTAAGATTGGCCATATCCGTTTTCAACATTGAAAACCTGGGTGATGTTGGCCCAACCATTTGTTTGCTAGAAACAACAGGGCACCAGAGCATATCATAGCATGTCCAGTGCACACGCGTAACTACATGTGTCCACAAGCTTGACAAATATGTATATATATATGTTTACATATTTATAGTTATACATACATATATATATATATATTTTTTTATTTATACATATATATTTATTTACACATATATACATATTTATATATATACATATACACATATTTACATAATATATACTTGTATGCGCAAGCATGTGTATTTTGTCTGTGCGTATGTGTTGATAAATGTGAGCATGTAGTGTTTGCTGTGTCATTTGGCCGGTTGCTTTGTTGCTGGAAAGTCTTTTTCTGTTTTGTAGTGTGCTAATGCGTCATTGTCTTGCAATTTGATACAAGGGGGCTTGTATGGTGTTTATTACAGGCTTACGTTACTTTGGGATCCAGTATCGAGAAACGGACACAAAGGGAGAACAAAGACGGGCTGACAAAGCGACCTGTACAAATTCCACTCCGTGCCCGACAAAGAAATGATAACGCTCATTCAGTTTTTTAAAGTCCACGCTGGTGGATTTTTCAATTTTACTCGCTTTCTTCGCATTGGTC